TTTTTGACACTTTTGATTGACCTTTCGTTTCCCACCCTGGGGAATTTGATCGAAAAATTTTAAAATTTGTCAAATCCCCACCCCTTGCCCGCACTCCCCCCCCCCCCACGGGGTTTACATTGATAGGTGCATTACGCAGGTGCCACACAAATTGTCGTTATTAATTACGTGGTAACACTTACAGCCTGTATAATTATCATACGTATTAAAGGTAAAGTCAATACGCGCGTAAAATGTACGTAACAATGAAACCCCACCAATACTTTTTAAATCGAGGCGCTTACAAGTGTGAGTTATCACAACGTTAACAAGTTGACTATGACTGCCCAGTACTGCATTCAGAGATCGAAAGGAGTATCGCAGCTTGTTCAAGTTTATGGAAATTTGGTTTGCGCGTTTTGTGTTTTAAACCTTGTGTTCGCCGTTGTGGCAACTTTTGGAAACCTTCTCGTTATTCGTGCCCTGAGAAAAGCCTCATCGATACCTACAAATCTGAGAAAACTTCTTTTAAACCTCGCCTTCTCTGATCTTGCCGTGGGTTTGTTTCCCCAACCAATGTTTGCAGTAATCGTCGCTATGATGTTAAGAATGGCAGCGAATTCAAACTATAACTTTGACTTCTTATGTCCAGTTGTTCTAAATGTAGGTTATTTCGCCTTTTTTCTCCTCGCATGTGCATCGTTCCTGACTATAGCTGTCATCACAGTAGACAGAATTCTTGCTATTTTTCTCCATCTGCGATACCAGGAACTTGTAACATCAGAGCGAGTTGTCATATCCTTGGTGTGTTTATGGTTAACAAGTGCCATCGCTGCCTCGATACTTATTTTGGTTCCTACACTTAACCAAATCGTTACTGTCATTATTCTATTCACTGGCCTTTCCTTGACAACTATAGCTTATATTCTTATTTACAAAGTTGTAAAGTATCATCGCAATCAAATACATCATCAGCATCAGATACCAAATGCTCAAGACCTGAACTATCTACGCGAGAAGAAATCCACATTTAATGCTTTGTTTGTCTACATTGTTTTTACAGCATGTTATTTTCCACACCTGTGCTCTGTAATATTGTTAATAGCAAACAGTTCCCAGTTATCGTTTCTGGTAGTTGAACACATCACGCTATTTTTACTTCTACTAAATTCATCTTTAAATCTCCTCGTTTGCTACTGGCGATATGGAGAACTACGAGCAATAATAAATGGTACATTGATGAAAATATTTCACATTTAGACACTGTCTCATTCAGAAGAGGGAGGACAAAAACATTAAAAGCTCGGTCAGTAAAATGGCTTTTAATTTTTGGTAGGAGACTTAACATAACGTATTTATTCAGAAAAGGACTAGGTTTTCTTGGCCTCTTTTTTGGCGTAATGGCAACGCCGGTAAGAACTTTAGTTCCTTTATAGTTAGAACAGGGGAGAGTTTAAAGCACGAAATGGCGTTAACATAACATAACATAAAACTTTATTTATACTCGAATTTTAGAGTACCTAACAAGCTAATATCTTCGAGCTGACACTACATGAAAATAATATATAAAGTACTGGAGTTGGTGGCTTTTTATTTCTCCTCAAAACGGAAACGTGCGACACTAAAAACTCTTGAAAATTTTTGGTAGATGCTAAATTTTAAGATAGGTTTCGAAAAGAAGCTAAAAGAGAGAGACAAAAAGAGTAGGTCACTTCTGATTAGCCGGTTTCTTGCAACTAAAGCTTTGGGCAAGAATAACCTTGCAGATAGGAGATAGTCCGTCAGCAGTTTTCCTCTTTTCGTGCGTCAACGTTCACAAATGTGTTAGCCTTGCATTTTAAGGTTAATTGTGCAGCGAGTTCTACTTCAAACTTGCAGTTATGAAACAAGAGAGCTCTGAGGCTTATTTGCTGAAGTTAAAGAAAAATCTGTCCAAGGGTTTCGAAATTATTGACATTTCTTGTAAAAATGCGGTTTTCAAAATATGCCGATATCTCAAAGATTTTAATACCTACAAGAAGGTAAATAACAGTTTCTTTAAAGTTCGACCATTCTTTATTAAGGATGCCAAAAGCCATAGAAATCGGTTAAATCTTTCCTGCCGAAAAACGCGTTTCAAAAACATAACCAACGCGCATATAGATAGGTTCGGGCCACCTTAAATAATTCATTCCGTTAATTATAGTAATAGGATCACTCATTCTGCATATCAATGGTTATTTGTTGAAAATGATTGACAGCGAACTAAATTGATTCCAAACTTTGTAATTTATATATCATTTTCAAGTTAATAGTGACAAGAATTGGCGAACAGGAAGTTTTTCATGCAACACTTATTATCGATTCTACTAACCTGAGATCAGGCTGTATTTTCGTTTCGCTTTGAAAATTACATTCCGGCCTTAGAGAGAACGCCTGAGAACCGCTAAAATTGGGCCTGATCTCAGGTTACGATTCTACCAACGGGGTAGTTCTATTAACAGGCGAGGTTTCATTATTGCACGCTCTACAACAGAAGCCAGTACAAAACGTTGACGAGTGTTTATCACAAGCAGGGGCGGATCCAGGATTTTTTTTAGGATGGGGTGCACTCGTCTCTTGCTCTACTTCAAAACCAATAAACCACATCATAGTTTTTTTTTTTTTGCAGAATACTAGTTGTATTAGAAAACCGCAGGTCATCTCAGGGAGGGGTGCGCACCCCCTGCACCCTCCCCCTAGATCCGCCCCTGACAAGCATACTCAAAACAGGTGCGAGTATTATGAAAAGATGAAATAACAAACAAACGCTGCCCTGCTTATTTTTCATAATACTCGCACCTATTTTGAGTATGCTTGTGATAAACACTCGTCAAAGTTTTGTACTGGCTTCCGTTGTAGAACTATCCCCGTTGGTAGAATCGCTCACCTCGAATGTCTATGAGGTGCAGATGCAAGAGACAACGAAGAATAGCTGTCCTGTTTGATTCTGCTTAAAATGTGCATGAGTTGCATCATATTTAAAAGGTCAACGGACTGGACAATTCCTAAACAATGCCTTTTGAACCACAACAGTGTGTATTAAACACAACAATAAACAATAATTTCTCTAAAGACTTTCGAGGCAGATTCAAACGCGATACCTTTTGTCAAAAAAACTTCATTGTTTGCTGTTGTTTTAGACAGTTATGATTTAAAATGAATATTGAGGAATTTTTATCCATCATTCGGTCTTAGCTATCATTTACTTTATGATATTTTCAATGTCTGTTATCCTGAGGGCTTGTACGTGTTATTGTTCCGTTAATAAAAGCAATGCAGCCTGTCCAATTTTCACTCTACTTTGCAGTAGTAGCCACATGTAGTCATCGACTACCTATTTTTTTTTTTAACGTACAGGTGGTCTGTCATGTCATTGATAAGCAGGGCAGCGTTTGTTTATTATTTCATATCGAGGACTACTTACAATCACTCTTACAAAGTGCCAGTATAGGTGGTTTTCAAGCAATCTCGGGAGACATAAATAACAATGGTGATATGAACAAATGCTGGTGGACAAACAAAGCGAGCTAATGAGCGATCTTTTGTTTACCGTCCACCAGCATGGCGGTGATGACGTAACGTGAAAACCACCTATAGTGGCTAAAACTACTACGAGTAGTAGCCACAAAAAATCATACTTACGGTGTAATTACATGTAATACCGGTGTGTTATTTAATGAACTACACGCAGATAACTACTCTTCGAGCAGAAGCTATTTTTTCGTTCATTCGCGAGAAAGTAGTCTCTGCTGGCAGTGAGATAAGGCCACATTTTAGTTGCTGTCATAAATTCTTTTGTCCACGGTCGCGCTAAATGTCGGAGTAAAAACTATGGTTTTTAGAAAGAGTACTACATGTTATCCTAAGATCAGGCTTTCTTTCGTTTTACATTTCCCGCTGGACTGAAATTTATCAAGCGAAACAAAAATAAAGCCTGATCCCAGGTTTATCATCCTAGTTTTTTCTGCTTGTCTGTTATTCTCAAGTTCAGTGGCTTCCGTAAATGTTCTGATAAACCTCGGAGCGTTTATTGAATTTCATGGGTCCAAAAAACAGTTTATAGATAGCGGAATATTCAGATACATCTAGGCCGTCTTGAGATCTATATCGCTCTTTCAAATCTCAACATCAATATCAAGATACTCACCAAGCCGGTCATTGTGTTGTAATCTTTAGAGTATTCTTACTTTAAACAAGATGCAATGCGGAAACTCTTGTTAATCAAGCAAGAAACTGAATAAATTGAATGATTTTGCTTCTCTTTGCTGTTAAATTCCTAATATGTTGAAGTAACTGTCATTAAGGAGGGGGGTGGGGGGCATCTTTTGGACAGGGGGCTTTTATTTATAGAGTTGGGCGTCTGACACGAACTTAACATCGTCGAAGGGGCGTTTATTAAACAAGAAGCGTTTATTTGAGAACGGCTGTCAATTTGTCAAAAATCATTTACGGCATGTCCGGTAAATAATTGTTTTTTTCCTTTGAAGCAAGTCCAGGTTTAAGTCTGATTGCAGCACTTTGCCTTGCGCAGAGCATGCCTTGAACCATCGAACCCTAAGTATCGTTCGTATGTTTGAAGAACTAAACCGGTCGTTTTTGTTATAGTGCATGTCAACCTGTTATTCTTTGTTGTTTCCCTAGTCCTCTTTCTAGAAATTACACCATGACAACTGTTTGAACGTTCAAACAATTTTCCTGTAGGCAGTTTATTTTCAAAATATCTTACACAATTCTGTGCATGTACTTACACGTAACATGATCTAACATTAACTGACGTATGGTCATGATCTTCGTATCACTGATGAATCGAAATGAACGCCGATAGTCTTTGTAGTTTGAAATAAACGTTAAATCGTTTAGATGTGCAGGCTGCTTTAAAAGTCCTTTCGCAGTAAATAAAACTTGAAAGCAAGAAAAACTCTGAAAAAACCGTATCATTCAGTTCAGGCACAAATATAGCTACATACACATAGTCTTTTTAGTTAACTTTTATCTTCAGGGTCATTTTCTTAACTTCACATGGCAATGCACTTTGTTTATTTGTTCCAGTTTTTGGTTTGCATCATCTAATTCATTTACCAGATCATGCAAACAGCTACATTGTAGCATAAACTTTTTGTATTTTTACATTATTTTTTGACTTTGTCTAAGTCTTTTTCTGCTTATGTAGTTGGCATTCCATTTTGCTATTTTCAAACTGTTTTAATTGTGCACTTTAGTAACATTAACCCAACGGCTATTTAGAGTATTTGAGTTATCATGCACAGAATCAAGTTAGAACAATCTACTTTCTTTTCTTTTTGCTTGGCTTGTATTCTGGCTTCTCGTTGTCTTCTTCTTCTGCTGTAACATGGCTGTTTGAAGACATGGTGCTGTTGTTTTCTTTACTGGTCAAATCCTGGAGGCCCATCCTTTCCATTAGCATTAATATCACACATTCAATCTGTTCAATGCAGTAATCAGAATAATTAATAACTATAGAGAATTATTGATGGCAAAAGAAGCTATATCAGACACTCATGACAAGGGTCTTATCTGGACAGTGCTCAAGCCTTTTAGAAGTTTTTTAAGCCACTTCAAGTGACTAGCTTCCAAATGCCTTTCGAAGCTAGTTAAATCATTTTCTGGTCACTGTCTGGCAAAAAGAACTGCGCAAAACGTTGTTTATAAGTTGACCATTATGTGGCCTTTGGTTCTTGATTCTATAAGGTTAGTATTACCTTCCAAAGTACGCTCTTGCACAGAGGGCAAAAGATTATTGTTCTAAATTGGGTATGGTTCCAAAGATCTCTTCCCCCACCACAAGTTTTGGTCAAATTTGTCTATGACTGTTAAAACTGATGACATCACAAATGGTACAAGGAATGAGGAACTACATAAGTGGTAACGAGAGGTTCAGGTGTGAATGGGTTAATAATCCATACGACAAAACAAAGGAAATCACTATGGTGAAAAGGTTTGGACATCAGATTCTAATTACCACAAAAGTTTCCACATAAACATATAAATTATCTGACTTTTGTTATCAAACCTAAATCCACAGTACACCATGAGCTAGCCCTACCCATTCATTAATTAATTTCAGATGAACAAAACAAAATACTGCTGAATCTGACCAGAAAAATAAATGCGTACCTTGGTAATTCGATTTTGAAGGGCCTTAGCTGATGGTACATCAAGAAAATCATCAGATTCTCCGGCAATGCTCTGTGTTGCACTTCCAGAGCCCACTTGATAGCTGGAAGATAAACATTTACCTTTATTTTCTGTCTCAACAAGGAGCTTGTTTAGTGGTGAAATAAATAACCCCTAGTTTCAAGATGTATGACTGGTCACCAACTTCAAAAAGCTTTTTACCTTCGTATATGTTCCACATCTAAGCAAAACATATCCCTAAGAATGAAATACAAAAAAAATTCTTTACTGTTAGTAATAATTACTCTCTACGAGTTTCACGCAAATCGTAATGTGATACAGATGTACAGTAGCTAATTCTGAATACAAACTAAATTACCTCTAAGATGTATATCTATACCTGAAGTGATCCAATTCTCGCGGAGTAGTTCGATAGACTCGTCCAATAACTGATTTGCAGGACATGCATTGTAGAGGCCTAAATGTGCTACAAAGGAGATTCAAGGTAAATCAATGACATTCTACATGTTACTCGGAAGTGACAATCTTTGGACCTTCAGGAAATATATGTTACATCTGGTCAAAATTAAATTTGGGTTAAAAATTTTTTAACCTAGGTTGATTCTCAATTTTCTTTGTTTCGGGCTAGGAAACAAAGAAAATTGTGATTCAACCTACAATCAGTGACAAAGTGAGTTGAGACACTTTGCCCAAAACTTGGCTTTTTAACGTTTTTTGAACTTCAAAAAGAGGAAATATAGCATTTCCTCCGCTATCCCCTCCAAGCAATGTTGTGCCAATGTTCAAGCCACCTATAGAAAACAACAACGTCCCAACTTTGAATGGAGGGGACAGGGGAGGGGCGTGGATTCTTTTGTTCCCCTTCTTGTCGGCGATTGTAGGTTAAAATTTTTTAACCTGAATTCTATTTTGACCTGCAACATATACACCTCAGAATTTTAAGTTTAAGCTGTACTATCTCATTCTTAAGGATTTTGATTTTCACATCTTTTGAAGCATTATAGCACAAGTGGGAATTTAAATTTGTTAAAAACCTGATCAAGATTCATTTAAAATTTCACAAATCAAACTTACCTTCCCATATCTGGTCCTTCAGTGGATGTTTCCAGACACTCTTGAGAGCTAACAAGTGATGTTACAGCTATGAGAGATAAAAATTTCAAACCCAATGGCTGTTAAACATTTTGCAAAGATTTCTAGAGATAATAGCAAGAATGTAAGTGGGAATTGCGTACATTTTCTAGCAATTATGACCCATCCCCTCTCCTCACCTGGACATTTGTCAAGTCTAATTTAGTTCCCTTGGTGGTGTTTTTTTTTGTCAGGGCTGCTTAGAGGTGAGGAATTTTCCATTGTCCTGCATTGTGGAATCTTCCTTTACTTACTAGAGCCTATTCCCCCCCTCCCCCCACACTATGGCAGGTATTTTCAACATATCGCATTCTACAGGTCAGAATACAGGTCACTGTGCTACAGATAAATAAACAAGACTAAAAGTGTCTCCTAGCTCTAATTCTTATCCAAAATGTTGTTTTTGATCGAGCGGAAATTATTCGGTGACCTGTAAAAGAAACCTATCCCCTCCCACCCCACCCCACCCAAACCGGAGCTTTAGCATTTTTTCTTCAACAACGTTCTAGAACGAAAGTAAATCCAAGGGACTCCTTCGGCAATGGGTTTTCTAGATTTAGAATCAATTTCGGAATAAAGTAAGCTAATATAAAGCGGTAAAAAGAAACCTACATAAGCTTACTTCAAAATTAATTAAGTGAATACATGCAAGTTACATTGCAAGCATGGATCGCTGATGTACACACTTGCGGCACTTACCATTTAAACAAATTACTTCTAGCTCTTGGTCGGACGAAGTAAAAGCAGAGGAATCTCCGATTATGTTGTTACATCCTTTGCATTGGAACACAAATGGGAGACGTTCTTCTTTTCGCGATAAATTTAATGTAAAGTTTGACTGTTCTGGTTCAGTGTGCGAATTTACCGCCATTTTTTAGAACAACTGACCAGACAATTTAGTACCTCATGTATGATGAACCTGATATCTCTGGGGTATTTTTCATTTGTACTTACATGATAAAACCTGAAAACTTGGTAAGGAAATGGTGAATTGAAAAATTTACTTTGTAAACGGCATGAATGAAGCATGGAGAGATGAAGTGTTACTTGCATTAAACCATGCATGTAGTCAAGATCCCGGGCTTATTAAAGAAGCGGAGAAAAAACTTAAAGCTTGGGAGACTGAAGCTGGATTCTACAGCCTTCTTATGGTAAGGGTACATGCTATGCCACATGTGACACTGTTTTGAAGTTAAGCTTGTCTTTTATTTTTATAAAATGGAGCCTAAAAAGTGCTACATCGCTTGAAAAATCTTTGACAATCTTCGCTATTTCAGCTTAAAGTACTCGCATCAATGTTACATGTAGCCATTACTGGGCGGTACAGGCGCTTAAGAAGGATCAAGATTCCAACTCATCTACATGTACATTTATACACACGAATTGTAATATCCCCATGGGGATGCGTCGCAAGTGTCCAAACGAAACATAAAATAAACTAAAACAAAAATGAAATAAGTAATAATAAAAAACAAAGTTAAATAGCAGCGGATCAGCCAGATTAAGTGAAAAAAGCATTTGCAGCAAGCTTAAAATTGTCAGTTGGGTCAATTTCTAAAACATAGGTGGTAAAGAGTTCCAATCGTTAATTTTCCTTGGCCAGAAACTGAATTTGCAAGCATCTCATGAAGTTTGGATGGGAGTGAATTTAAGCAGATGGAAATTTCGAGTTGCAGAGCTGGACTTGTATTGGACATGGGATGGAATGGTGATAGCAGCTCTGTTATGTACGGCTTTGTGAAGCAGGCCCAGTCTTGTCATTTGCCTGACCTGTGTTGCAGGGATTGCCAATTAAGACGGTTCAGGGCACGCATAACACAGCCTTTCTCATGGCTTTATGTCCTTGTGACAAATCGTGAGGGACATCTCTGTACACCTTTGAGCCAGTTTATCTGGTATTTCCTATACGAGTCCCAGGCAGTGCTGCCATACAGGAGGATAAGTCTAACTAGGGTGAAATATGTTTACTGATCCTTATCTCTCGCAGAGCATGAATGAAAGTCGCTAAGTTTAATAAACCCTAGCGAGGTATTACAGTAGCTTTGTTCTTGACATGCAGGGTATGTTCCTTCCAGTTCAGAGACTCAGACAGCGTAACACTTAAGTAAGGTTGGTGATCCACTACTTCCAGGGTTTGAGTGTGAAACGCTGAGCGTCACCAACATGCATGTATGAATCTTGAGGATATAACACTTGAAAGGGTTGAATTACATTTGCCAGATTTTAGCCCATGACATGAGTTTTTCCAAGTCATGTTGGACTGTAAGAAGATCCAAAGCATTGTGGATGACACTGTATAAGAGGCTGTTACCTGCAAATAATTTCAGTTGTGATGATATATCATTATCCATGTCATTAATGTACAGTAGAATACAAAGTGGGACCAAGACTGTCCCTTGAGGGACACCAGATTTTACCACTGATATTTCACTTAGAACCCCTTCACTGGCCACCTGTGGAGTCTGGTTTACCTGCCATTTTCCAATCCAAGCCAGGGCCTGGCCCCAGATACCACAATGATAGAGTTTTAGAGGCAATCACTTGTGAGTGACGGTGTCAAAAGCTTTGGAAAAGACTGATATTAGTAGGCTAGTCTGATATTGATGGTCAATTGATTGCGCCAGGTGCTCAATGGTTTGGGTCTCGCATGATTGGTTTTGCCTGAAGCTGTGTTGGTAATCAACAAGAATGTTATGATCTTCAAGGTGTGACATTATATGTCTGAATATGATATGTTCCAAGATCTTACACGGGAGGATGTTATTGAGACTGGGTGATAATTAGCTGGATCGGTTCTAGATCCATTAAAATTATGAAGTTCTCCTTGTACCCATCCATGACAGTCCATGACCTTGGACAGAACCCTACCATATATTTCTTATGCCCCTAAAGTCAATATGAGCAATAAAACAAGCTCACGAAAGAAGGTGATTAGAGCAGATGGTTAGTGTACATGTACAACCTTCTACATGGGAGGTTCCTATAGTTGATTCCCATGGTAACCTCATGTATCCTTGTTTCAACTTCTTCCCTTTCTGTTTAGGTTTAAGTAGTTTTAAGTACCTGTAAAACAGATCCCTGATGGAAAGAGGGGGGGTAAAACAAATGGGCGCGCTGTCGGCCTCATGTTTATCAATGTAAGCAGTACTGTTACAAGTTACCAATTCCAATGTAAAATAAGGACAATTACCTTTTTAAGTGAAATGATAGTGAGACAGGGCCCATGTTTTTTGTACTTTAATATCTCAGAGAGCTAGAAGCGTAAGATCGAATTATTTGCAGGTGTGGAATCAAGCATAAAAACAAACATGACACGCGAGTTGTGTGGATGTCAGTACATTTTGCATGTAACTCTTGGCTTGGGGCTGTGCCTCTTGGTGCTCACGTATTGCACTTGCTTTTTTGCATCATTTCACAGATTTTATGGAGCAAAGAGAAACTGCTTGCAGGGTAAATTCCCCTCAGCTGATAGTAACTGTACATTACTATACAGCCTATCCTATAACATGGTTGAGTTCTGTAGAGCTCTTGTGGGTAGATCCTTCACAAAAAATGGGCAAAAGTTAGTAAATGCTTAATCAACCCCTGGTAACAATATGAATACAGCCTGTATTACATTTGGCTAATAACAAAAGTAGACATTTGAAGGAGGTTTGACAACAGCATGCCTGTTCCTTGCAGTTTGTTTTTAAAAATGAATCACTTGATGTCAAAGTTCGCTGGATGGCAATTCTGTGCATCAAAAATGGTGTTGATCGTTATTGGAGAAAAACAGCTCCCCAGTAAGTACTTGTTTTAGGAGATGAGTTGTTAATTTGACATACTATTTATTGAGATTGAGTATGTTAAATTTTGAGAATTGCTGTCATGTTAATCATCTTCAGGGTCAGATCTAGGACAAAATAAGGGCCATTTTCCTAAACGAGTGCCAAAGTGGATACCATTTTTGACAGCTGTCAATTGACCATAACATGGATGTCCACCATCAAGTTAAACACAGATTGTATATGCCTTGGACACCTAGCTAGTAAAGCCTGGTAATTACAAGAAAACAGCCAATCAGAGCATGTGTACTTAATTGCAGCCATATAATTATAAACTGTCACAATGTTTTAAATCTCAGTCCTCTGATTTTGATTTTTATCAATCTAACATTATTTATTTTCAGTGCTATTTCAGAGGAAGAAAAGAGTTATATGAAACAAAATCTAATTTTGTCATTTGATGAACCTGTTAATCAGGTAAATATTTTGGCACAGTAAAGTTTTCTCTTCATTTTTAATTGAAATTTGACTTTGTGTTTATCCTCATATGATTGCACCAGAAAAAGGCGCATTTTACTTTTGTCAAACTGCAAACACTGGTAGATTTCAGAGCTTCTTTGTGGCGAGCTGGTTTTCACAAAATGGCTTTAGTAGTTTCAATCAGTATCTTTTTTGTGACAATTATGTTATTTGTTATTATGAGGTGTCAATTTTATTTTCAGGTAGCAACTCAGGTAGCTGTGCTGATTTCTAAAATAGCACGGATGGAACTCAGAGAATGGCCAGAACTTTTACCAACCCTGTTAAAGGTTTGTTTATATTTGTATGCGCGTAGACAGAGTAAACCAGATACGTTACATATAGTTAAAGCTTTTACAGTCCTCTATTTTCTTATATAAACTTTTATTTCTTCAAATTGTGCGAAATAATGATAGTGTCAAAGAAGAGTACAAGGGGTGGGGTCAGGATGCGTAAATAAGTTTGCATCAAGAAAATAACAAGGCTGTGTTGATTGTATAATGTCAAGTCTGTTATCTTTCACTGATCTTTGTAAAACTGTTTAATTTTGTATCTGTGATCTTCCACAGGAGGTTCAGAGTGAAGATGCATTGCATCAACAGCGCACATTGTTGGTGTTTAATCATGTGATTAAAATGTTGGCATCCAAGAGGTTAATGAGTGATCAGCGACTGTTTAGACAGGTGCTGTTACCTAGATTAATTGTGTAGAGCAAGGTGCAATGTTGCAGAAAATTTATTACTTACTGTTGCCTTTTGAAATAAAGAAAAGAAAATTACCCTCTGTTATCATCCAGTGAGATGCAAATAGTAATTTTCTGTAGTCCCAAACCTGGCAATATTTTATTTGCGTATTCAAACTTATAAGGAAACTTACCATAATGGAAAAGAACTGGGTGGCTAGACTACTATTAAAATACTTGTACAAAGGGGAAAATAAAAGAAATGGAAGAAACTCTTTTGAATTTAATCCATTTATTTTGCAATTATTTTGCAGCTTTACAGATTTAACATGGGTTAACTTGGGACTTTTTTGCCTTTACATGGTACAATCAAATTAAATAAAACTCAATTCAAATTAATCAACTGAAAAAAATTTTTTTTCTAGATTACAGCTGATATTTTTGGCTTTATTCTGCAATTATGGCAAAACAGTACATCTACCCTTGTGGAATTGTATCAGATGAAGGTAGTTAATGACTATATTGTTTAATAATAATAATATAGACAGTGTATGATCAAACTAATGAATCAAATTAATGGTATATATTCAGTAGTGACTAGAATGGGTACCCCAAACTCATGTCACTGGACCCCTTATTATTATTTAACGCCTGCGTCGCAAGTGGAGGTTGGGTGCCCATGGGCCAGGGGGCTGCAACCGCAATACACCCCAAGGCAGAAGAACACCCACAGGCCTACCAACCCGCAACCCAACCACGAGCCCCCCCGGGCCCAGCCCCCCACTATAGCACCTGTCACCCTGAGGCCAGATGCCCAGTGGAAGTAAAATGAACCAGCCCCTGAAAGAATAAATAACTTAATAAATAAATAAGACAGAAAGCGGAGGGAGGGAGGGGAACCAAGAGAAATGCTACGCTACTGGAACGCCACGCCACGCCAAGAAAGCTTTGAGTACAATGCAAACACAACGTAGGCACGTGGCCTCCGCATGCGCCAAAGCGACATACCGCTGGACAGGAAACTGCCCCCATGCTCACGAACAATGGTAAATGCTACAAACGCAAACATAGTCACCCACAACGCTACGGACGACCAATGCGCTACCAAAGAATGTCCAAAACACCCAGGACCATAGCTCCTAGTCGTTAACTACATTAAATATTATTTAATAGTATTATGCAATACAATAGTCCTGCTGGAGAAAAAAGTGAAAATTAAAGAGAGCTTGTTATGTGCTAGTAAGAGAGTAGAGAATGGGTATTTCAGCACTTGATAGCAATAATTAGGGCTATTAGTACTGTATGAACTTAGATGGTCAGCTTTCAAATAATGTAATGAGCAACGCCATGTAAATTAAGTATGTTGAAAGTAACCTATAAATGTCAGTGCGAAGTTAGCGCTTGATGGTGTCATGTATTTTAAGCGCCAATGACAACCTGAATTATATATATTTGGGGTATTCATGATTCTGACTAGTCACAACCAGGCTGGCTGGGTATAATTATAAAGGAAATCTGTTGATTTTTCCTTAACCTTCAAATTGCCACAACTTTTGTACCTCATATTAACTAATGCCACGGTCCATATTTTTCAAAAATGATTTTCAATAATAATAACATTATGCTTCTTATTTGGGGCCTTAAGTTTGTCCGAGTCAACATTAAGGGACACCATAGTGCCATCAAGCTATAATGCCTATTTGAACCATAGACATACTCATGTAGTATGTTGACGACGTTACCTTATTCTTTTTTTAAGGACATGAGAGTCTTGGCTTCCCTGGAGCTCAGCACCTTGACACTTAAGGGTAAATAATTTAATTGCAGACCCTGTACACTTTCACCAGATGGAGTAATAATGTTATTAATTTTCTGGTATTTCATTGTTATGATGACCTGTCTGCAGCTAAATATTTGCTAAATTTGTTCATGTCCATTTATTATCAGATTAAGAAAGTTCCTGTTTCCAACCTTTAGGCATATGATCATTAAATAAAATGAACTTTTTAACTATGGTATTCCAGGTCTTTTTTGATCAAAATTTGGTTTGATTATAACAGTACTTACAGTTATCAAAATGCTGTCATAATTAGCATTAGTTCTTTGAAAATTGTGGTAATCTATACATGCACACAAAAGATGCAAGTACAAAGAAAACACTGTGTAATTTTTTGCTAAATAAATCAAGAATTAATGAGGCTCTTTCACAAATACTAATGTAAGCCAAGGTTCCCAATTAATAATATTTTTGTCCTTTGAGCTAATATGGATAGAGAAGTGTGGCAAAATTTCTCAGCTTCCACCCCCAAAAATTTTCATATATTTCAACATCTATCATTAGTTTTTTTATACCACTATTGTAGGGTTTCTTCAAACATTGTTGTATCGAGCATTGTTCCGTGGCTAAAACAGAAATATGGGCTCTTGTTTTCTTCTCATTCAACCAGATACAAATTTTTGCATGTTTTTGGTCTTGCAGTTTTAAGGAAGCTGGTAGTTTATGGATTCAAGGAGTTTGATCCTTCATCTCAACCAGTGGTACGATATTTTTAGACACAAACAAAACACAAGAACTTTTAATTCAAAAACTCGTTAATAATTCATAAAGAAAAAAAAAGAAATGTTATTAATGTTTAATGATTGTCTTTGTATCTGATAAAGACACGACTAAACTTTACGTCCAATTTTTTTGACTGAAATAACCCTATATTAGAGATTTTGAAGCCATTCAAAAAACTTGCAACCGTGTATTATCGGGTTTAAAAACTTTCAGCTTCGCCTCGAGTTTTTAAACCTGATGATACACTCCTGCTCATTTTTTAAACAGTACTTAACATAATTTTATCGGTAATTTCAATGTCATTTTTGTCCACAGTTTCTCCTTCAAGCAATCCTTGATAAAATAAAGATCATTTTACAGTATCGTAAGTGGTTTCATCAGTTGTTGAGTTCAGATAAGAGAAAAATGAATCATTCCTCATTCATTCCTCATGCTTTCTTCAACAATGGATTTCTTTAACTTTCATGAAATGTGGTTATCAACTTATGTAGTTTGAACTGAATTTTTTTCTCACAACAGGAAAAGATGAATCAGGAAATCATAGTCTACAAGAAAAATTAGAGAAATATTTGATATTGATGACAAAAGTGGTAAGTAGCATTGGTGGTATAATAAAATTTTGGAAATTTAGGAAGAAGCAAACTAAGAAGCAAAAACTGGGTGACAAAGCCATCAAAGTGCTGGACTCACAATCTTAGCTCTCTAAACCTAACTTTAAATTTTGGGTAGTCTGCTAACTGGATTTGTTTTTGGGTTGTCCTGAGTTTAAATCCTCGACCACGCTTGAATTAGCCAATTGCTTCGCCTACACCTGCAGTTGCGATTCTTAATCTTTTTCTGTTTCTTTCTGTTATTAATACTGCCAGGGGTAATTAAAGGGAATTTAGTTAATCCCAATATGTTTTTCCATGCTTGTTTTTTGCTTCTATGGGCATCAGAAGGGGGGACATGAGTGTCAGACAGTTGAATCTGTATAAGGTTTTGGCAAACCACCCACCCACCCACCTGTCGCTTAATTCAACATTTTTCCCTTAGTGAGAAGTCAGTGTTTACATTAGCGAAGAGGTAAGTGGGCAGTTTGCCACAATCTTATACACATACTTATCCAGTCGAGGAAGTCAGTCATAAGTTTAACCCATGCTTCTTCCAGTCTTTCTTTTGTCAACAAATCTGCATCATGAGGCAAGATTACTTGTGAATTAAATTATTGGCACAATTATTTTTCCCAGTTGTTCATTTACATTTACATCGAAGTGTGTCTGAGAACAAATCAAAAGCCGCATCAAAAATCTTAGCTTTAAACCCACCCTCAGGCAACTCTTATAAATTATGTTTCAGTTAATTGATACTCAAGAGCACCATTCACTGTCTTATTTACCGCTGCTTCAACACACTCTACAGCTGTGCTACACATATTTATTCACCAGTCAAGGACAAGGTACAGACTGTGTACATTTTATGGTTTATTCCTGCCACCTGTAGCCAAAGACAAACATGTCATGCATAATTATATAATATAAAGTCAACTCTTTTTAATATGGACACCTTTTGGACCAGCCCTATAGTACGTGTATGTGTCCATTGTAATATAAAGTCAACTAAATGGAGTAGTGAAAGGTAGGGATCAATTTCAGATGTCCATGCATTTTAGTGAGGTGTCCATGTCCGTTAAGAGAAAGTTGACGTACTATACAACTAAAATTTTCACACATTATTATGCTACTGCTTCGTCATATAATAAGCCTATAATAGTTGATGAAACGTGCACAAGTCAGTTTTAAAAACTTTGTTCTAATACTGCTTATTGGTTTAGTTGTACAATTCAATCAACATTTTTTCGTTGATTGCCTAGTGAGTACATGTTACTCATTACAGTCATTGATCATCAACCTATTGTAAGCGGGGCGGGTGTGGCAAGAAGTGACAAATATGGGAGTTGATATAACCTTTCCCTCCTCTTCTAAAACTATCATAAGGTTTGTGCAATGACATGGGTGCAATGGAGAATTTATTTATTAATTCAATTTTTTAATTTTAATTTAATTTTCTTTTTTAGAAGATATTTTCCAAAACTTCGCATTGCAGTGCTGTAAACTTATGAAAGTGATTGTCAAGTGTGACAAGTACAAACCCCCAAGAGAAATCAAAGGTAAGGGCTGTTTCATGCTACAGTCACTAAAAAAAGCTCAGTGATTGTAGCCTGATCAAATGACTCTTTGGTGACAGCACATCGTAGCAATCTCAGTAATAGTTCCTAGGACTATTGCTGAGGTATACTTTGGTTCTTTTTTAAGGCTAGTTTGCTTACGATTGCTATGATCATTCAGACTGCTCCAGACTATTTTCAAAAAGATGACAGTGACAGACACAAAAAGAAGCAAACTATTAAAAAATTAGTACATTTCACTTTATTTTACCTGAAATGCCACCATTATTATTTTTCAGATACAACTCGTCCAGAGATTGTACAAGCACATCAGGTCTGTTTTGGTCAAACAATCCAGTTTCTGCATGGCTCTTAATTTTCGTAGGAGGAACTTTATTTAACTATAAGAGTCGATTGCAATGTTACCAAGATGGGATTCCTTTTTTCTGTTGTCTAGCAATTTAAATGTCATACACCCAAACTGTACCTTTATCTGTTTCCAAGACATTTTGATTTTGCTTCCCATTGTTTTCTGTAGATCAAGATGTCCTTCTTTACACCAACAATTTTATCAGAGATTATTAAACAACTTGTTCTTCACTATTTCCCTTTAACATCAGAGGTAAGTATGGAATTTCTGTCTGTTTACAGAGGCTTATTCAAACTTTATGAATTCATGCAAAATTCTTTGAAATGTACAGATGCATGTGTACTTGTGTGTGTACTTGTACTTGTCATTGTAATTATGTCATCTGATGCTAACTCTGCTTCATAATATATAGACAAATGCAAGCTGCCTGTCTTGGACTCCCACGTCCCCTCCCTTGCAGAGTCTTGCACCCCCCTCCCCGAAAGTCTGTACGGACCTATGGATGGGATACGCTGACATCATAACCAAATTTTCTGGCATCGATAGGTTTCCAATTTCTGTAGCAGTGGTGGCTATGCTATAAGGCAAAACTTAACTTTAAACTTCATACAGGTCTATTGTAAACCCTGTGGTATTTTGGATGATATACTGTAAAGATGGTATTAAAATGGTATGATAAAATGTAATTATTCTATTGTATTTATCCCTCAACATCCTAGGATTTAGAAAGTTGGGAATCAGAGCCTGAGAATTTTGGTAAGTTTATGCATCATCACCAATAATTATCATTATCGCAAGGCTGGGGGACAAACGATCACAAGCTTCCAAAAACTGTTGGGATCTTTAGCAAGCAAAACAAGTTGGCTTATCCGTAATGATCATTTAGATTCTGGCAGTTCTACCTCAGGGTTATTTTAAACAGAAATAATTAGTACCGTGGAGAATAGGCCCTTTCAAACTACCCTACAAGGCTATTTGAGACTGTTGTATATTCTATGATAAATACTGTACTACAAATTTACTACTACTTCAAAAACATGATCAGGTAGTCATGAAAAATAATATTAAAGGCCTGATATGCCTATTTATCAACCACTTTTTTATCTTTTCATAGTTACTGAGGAAGCTGGTGAATCATGGAGGTATAATCTGAGGGTATGCAATTTCTTTTTCACCTCACTCACTTGTTATAGGTATCTAAACTCTCATTATTTATAGTCTTTATATAGCAAGTCATCAAATGCGGACACTTAATTCTGATAGCATGGTGTTCAGAAACTTAAGCAGTCATAACTATTGTGCTCTTGACTAAAACTGCATAGACTGAAGTGTACAATTGCTCTTGATTTAGTCACTGATGTAACAATTTACCCTTTTGTTTGGGCCTGTATGGAAGTTTTATTTCTAAGTTTATTGATTGAGTTCCGCAGCACAGTAACCCCAGTTGTCACTGAAAGATTACTAAGAGTGTACGCTTTTGTTTAGTACTGTACAGAGGTCTTATTTCTAAGTCTACTGAGTGAGTTCCGCAGCACAGTAACCCCAGTTGTCACTGAAATGATTACGTTAGTTCAAGGTAGGCCAATGATGGATATTAATTTTAATATTTATATAACGATTGTGGTCCTGAAGCGTTCACATTTTGGAATAGAATTTGTGTAGTTCCATGTTGTCACATTTCGGCTGATCTTGCGTTGTACTTGTGTTAGCTCTGTCGAAGACAAAATAACAATGAGGTGTTTTTCTTGACTTTCAATTTTTTAGGATCGCCTCCGTCGGAGGATATGACAGTTTTATTGCAAAAAGATGCTGGTAGGTTTCTGTTTCTTAGCTTTTTATGAATTACTAGAATAAAGAATTAGCGGAAAAAGAATGTAGTATTAGGCGAAAAGGCGGACGAAAAAAAAACCCCATACTATTCATAACCCACTTACGCAGAAAAATCTGGAAGTTCCTGTTTGTACTCGCTGTTGTTTCTTCATCACGTTTGTATGTTGGAAAGCGACCTTTGTAAACTACTTCTAAAGACCAAAGAAATCTTTTAAATCAAGCTAACTGATAGCAACTCTGTCAAACGGGCTAGAGATACATAAGTACCGAGAAACCAAGCAAATTTGGCTGGCAAATTGTAACGAAAATTTTTTCTCCCTGCCTAATAGCCTGCGAATCAGTCGCAGGCTATTAGGTCTGCATTGTCGTTTTTGTCCATGACAAGGATTTTACAAATATCTAATTCTTTTTTATATCCTTAGTTTACAATGCTTGCGGACTTGCCTCATATGACCTCTTTGATGAAGTAGACTTCGATCATTGGTTTACAAACCAGCTAATTAGTGAATTAAGCAACACATCTTCTAGGTAATTAACTTTGTTCTTTTTTTAGTAGTTTTCATTCACCTTGAGTTAAACAAAACTGATTGTACAAGCACTACTAAAATTTATGGCCATGCCGTAACTCGAACTGAATTATTTTGAGAACTTTTATAAAGTTTTGTTAAAAACCTAATGACTTCTGAAAGCAACAAAGTGAATAAGGGCGAAGAATTTTTAAGCATGTGTCTACTTTTAATTTCGTATATTCTCTAGTTTAAGAATATTTTAAGGATATAGGGATGCAAAGAAAGGAAGGCTCAGATAATTAGGGGGTAAAATTGCCCTGCTCTTAAAACATATGCTTTAAAAATCGAATAAAGCGTTTCTTATCTCTTTTTTTAATGGACTGAGAACTCTGACATGTTTTCTGCTTTCAACGTACAGACGTATGCAAAGAATTTCTCATTGTTATCATCACTGAGTAGCATCTCACCTCTTGCTAACGTTACTTTTGCGTTTTAAAAACTTCTCTCGGTAAAACTGCAATAGGAAGCATGCTGCCATTGTTGAATAATATAAGTCGGCTAGAATTATGTCACAATTAGAACAACCCTTCGTAAATGCAGGACATGTTTTTTAAATTTAAACAGCGTCTAAAGAATTGCCCTGCGTGCAAACGTCTCCTCAGTCAGTTTTCCGCTTTGAACAAAAAAGGGGACATAGAAGACGTTTGCACGTAGGCTACCAAGCCAAGATACCCTTTTACAATTTTGATGTTTGTTTGTTTGTTTGTTTGTTTGTTTACCAGGTATAAGGTGCTTCGAAGGCGGATAGTATGGATGACAGGACAATGGATTAATGTCAAGTTTGCGCGACAAACAAGGCCTTTATTTTATCAAGTGGTTCTTAAACTGATGAGCGCCCAAGAGGATTTAGTGGTAAACTTTCACATGTCATTTTAAATGTACCGATCTGAGGCGGTACTGATCTTTTGCTAAGTTGGCCCAATAAATGATTCAGTTAATCAGTTGCTTATGACTGTAAGGTCTTTTAGCCTGCGAGAGCAGACGCCTTTTTCGGCTCTTGTTTCACCCGAAAGGCAGCTATTCTCGCAAGCTGAAGGTCTTTATGATCCCAATAATTTTAGTCTTTCGCAATCTTTTGCCCTCACTAACTCATTGAAGTTTTTTTCATCATTGTCTTTTTTACAGGTTCGTTTAACTGCGGCAAATGCTCTTAAAACTGATATCCTTTCTAAACTGATTCCAATGACATCTTTACTCTTTTTTTCCTTATAAATATTCCAACTTGTTTGTAATAGCGTCGTTTCAACCTTTTTGTCCGTCCTTTCCTTCACGTTAATTAACCATAGATGACGTAGACTTCAATCTTGAAGATTTTTTTCAGGTATGTTGCGTTTAGGTTATGCTGTTTCAAAAGTACTCTTTGTGAAAAAGTTTTTGAAGAGCTGTCTTTTCAAGTTTCAAAATGCACCATTGACTGCCTCAAGTTAGAGTTTACAGAAATTCTTTGAAGTGATTTCTAAGTAGTTACCAGTCTTGTTTGGAAAAAAAGGCCTTGAGATTTTAACAAGTGTATTGAAAACCCGTTGAAAACGGGCCTACAAATTACAAGGTTCCTACGTTTTACGGCTTTTTAATCTGTTTTCTTCTCTTTTCTAACATATTATGTATTTTCATCTTCCTAGTTTTTGGATGAAACTTTTGGATCTCTGTTTCATCTTCTCAAGTGCAGCCAAGATTGTGACACAAAGGTAACGTAATACGATGACCGCGGCATAAATATTTTTGTGACGTATTCTCGTCAGGCTTGTTGAATAACATGCAAAATTGCATACAAATCTTCCAAAACATAGCTCATCTGTCAAGTACTGTTACAAACAATTTTATTATATTATGATTAAGAGATGTTGTTGTTGTTGTTTTGTCTTTGGTTTTGTTTTGTTGTTCAGGCTCTTTCATCCTTTTTTTCCAATGCTTTCTTTTTCAGATGCATGTACTTAATGTGTTGTCTCTACTGATTCAAAGAATAGGCGACAAAGTGAGTATTACGCCTTTGTTTTTTCTTTATCTTCCTCTTGACCTGGAAAACAATTTATATATTAAACAACTCGTGATCTCCAATCCTTGAACGTATCGATTCACTGTACGTCTTGTTATGAGTAATAAATTAGAACGATGTGATTTTATTGTTTTCATCAAGGTGAAGCCATTTGCCGCCTCACTATCACAGTACCTCCCTGAGCTATGGCAGGAGTCTGGTGACCACAATATGCTGCGATGTGCAATCGTTTCTACCATGACGCACCTTGTGGAGGTTAGCAAATTCTTTTAACTGTTAAAGGGACGTAACTGTTCCCTGTGAAAACCGGAACTACCCTCGGGATTACTTTATAGATATATCTTTTGAGAAAGAGCTGAGTGCATTTGCAGTATAGCTTTGGTCCTGGGTCAAAACCCTTTCCATGGTTGCCCTACTAAACCGTACTAAACTATACCCCATGAAAACCGGAAACCCTAGGAATTACTAGAGATGTCCTTTGAGAAAGAGCACTGCACTTCCAGTAAAAACTTGGTTCTGGGTCACCCCTTCCCCTAATTGCCCCAGGAAAGTTGTTGGGTCTGTGTTTTCAAATTATTTTGGATACTTTGTTATTTAAGTGGGATACAAGTTAACTTCACCGTTCTAATTCTTTCTATCTGTACGTTTGTTGAAATTAATTTGGCTTGAGTTCCATGTGGTAATTTTGCTTCTTTCTTTCAGGGTCTGGGTGTTTTAAGTCGTAACATGTACTCGTTCCTTCTGCCTCTTATTCATCTCAGCACAGATATCACGCAGGTATATCTTGCTGCTTGGGTGTACTTATTCTGATTACTTTTTCCGAAACTTTGTTGGTCAGAAACTTAAAACTTACTTTAGTTTTTGAAGAATAGTGTTGTTGTGTCAGAGAACAATAGAGACAAAAGGTGTTTCAATGGTACAGGTCTTTAAACTGTCTCTTGTCTTGGCCAATGAGTCCTTAAAGCTCTCTTTACAGACACTCCTCAGCTATAGACAGTTCTCGTGGTGCTGAAGGCACTTAAATTTCGATTTGAACACAGACGAAGATATGGCTCCGTAAAGTCGCGGAATTTTAGAGACGTTTGTAAGGTGGGGCACGAACTTGCCCCAGTCATGTTGACGGATTTTAGCTAACTGGTCCCAGTCTAGAGTTGACATTACCGTGAAAGGGTCTAGAGACCTTGGCTCTTTGTAAACTACTGCCTGGAGCTAGTAATTAAAGATTTTAAGTCCCTAATGGTTTTAATGTCATACAAGAGCCAGATCGGTACGGTTTCCCACCTCAATCGAGAAAACTAGAAGGTCTTACTGAAAAGATGGCACCTTGTAACCTTAGCCGGTTATCTTAAAACCGTGAGAGCTGGTAAGGCTGTGAATCGAGACCCGGGCTTACTGCTCTGAAGTCAGGTACCCAATCATTTGAGCTAACCAAGCAGAGGATGCAGATACTTGTAGATATTCATAGTAATACGGATATCAAGGGGAAGGACTCATAATTGGCATAAAAGAGGGAGATGTTCCCTTTGTAAAGGTTTGAGTATTTTTCATCAGGGTAGATATTAAGAAAACTCACCTTAACAGAGCGGTCTATAATTAAAGGGTTTGCCTTTGTTAATACGTTTACGTTTTTATCATTTTTTCTTTCTTCTTTCTATGTATTAATTTTTATTCAGCCTCCCCATGTTTATTTGATGGAGGATGGACTGGACCTTTGGTAAGAACTCTTAGAACTAAAGCTCAACATTCAAACGTCTTTTTAAAAACTGTACCTTAGTCATTGTCACTTCAATACAGAAGCATCGAGTACTTGATAGATTTTTTGATTCCCTAGCTTTCCTATTGCAATACTCTAGCTTTCTTCTTAATTTCACTACTTAATGTTTTTGTTACAGGTAAAAAAATCAGGTTAAATTTTTTTTCTACCTAGTTTCTTTGTCTCCTAGCCATAATTATTCATGGTTAGGGCTAAGAGACACAAGAAATTGAGAATCAACCCAGGTTAAAAAATTTTAACCTGAATTTAATTTTGGCCCGTAACATATACATAAGAAATGTAAATACAACTAACAACATTTCTGGGCGTTTTAAGGCACAATGTGTTGGTGAATGCGTCCTGTATGACTCCTGAATTACTGCAACTGTTTGTCAACATGCCGTCGTTGTTGGGTATGTAAAAAAATTCTGTAACCCACTGTGACCTTTTTTGTTCATTTGTAAGACAGATACAGTTATCTACCTCATAAATTTCTATTCAGTTGAAAGAAGAGTTGATTTTGCTAACATTGTTTATCCTCTGGAAAGTGCAGTCCATATTTGAACAACTGAACCTTGTTAGTACGAGTGCAAACAACTATTAACACTCCATACCCATTCTTTATTTGCAGAGTTAGGCTCAGAGAATCTTAGGAAGTGCTTTTCGATCATAGAATCATATGTCCTGCTAGATGAGAAGGAGTTTCTCCAGGTGTGTTAGCTGTAGACTTTTCTTAGGTGCCTAGAACTCTCTCAAATTTCATGTACTTACGTTTCTCTTATCCTCTTCCCACCGACTTATTGATAACGCCCATCGTGACTGATGTAACAATAGCACTCTTCAAATAACCATTTTCGAGTTCCACAAACCCTCACTGTCGAAACGGAGCTAAGTGTAAATCCTTTCATGTGAAGACGAGTTCTACTTAAAAGTGAAAAAACTATTTTTCATAGCGCAGAGTTCGTCATTTCTGGGTTGAATTAGTTGATGTTGGTAGGTAAACAATTTCTTGATGTGCTGCCACCCATTTATTATTTATTATTATCAATTTATTATTTATTAACTATTACTAGGCGTTTTAAATTTCAAGGCAGTAGCGGTTTCAAAACTCTCCGTCTTATTTTTTGCTGACCAGCAGATACGAAGATTTGAAAGAAAAAGCGGTGCGACAAGTGATTTTTCCAAAGCACAAAAACTTTGTTTGAAACTCGGCCTACTTGAACTTAATGTCGTTCTCGTAGTCCAAAAGCCCCTGATGTGTGCAAGCTAAGAACTGACATTCCATGTGTGTACTTTTATGTGTTTAAGAATTTCAGCGCACCTGTGGTTAACGCTTGTTTAACAATGCTTGGGAACGTTAAGCCAGAAGGTGGCATCATCCTTTCTCGGGTAGGAGTAAAGCCTGTTTGTTACTTTTCGGACTGAGAAGCTATCTTATACAGGTTTTTCCAAATAAATGTACTTGTGGATCTTATTCCCTAATATGGCCAGTAAAATTAAATGGATCGAGTAGACGTTGTGATCCCAGACTCGTACCCAGTCGCTATTTAAATGTTTTTGGGGTGAGAGAAGATTGGGGATTAGGTTGAGGCGCGCGTTAAAGGCGCACGCTCAGGCGCGCGCGGGGTCTCAACCTAATCCCCAATCTTCTCTCACCCCAAAAACACTTAAATAGCGACTGGGTACGAGTCTGTTATCCATATATTGTTCCAGCAATCGTTCCAGCATTGAATTGGAGATTTATATATAGCAGATTGTAGCCTGTTACCTCAATTCTCTAGCCTTCGCTTGACATAATTGAATCCCTTGTCCGTTTATAATATCACCTCGTCTATTCACGCTTGCAGGTCGTTGTTGTTCATACAAACTTGAATGTTTCAGTCGGTAGCCTAGTATTAAAGTAAAGCTACAATTTGGACCATTTTATGCTCTATAAATTGGCTTTTTTTCGTTGTTGCAGGTTGTTGAAACAATAGTAAAAGTCTCTCCTCAGAGAGGTACTGAAATGTTTGCACCGGTCTTGCTGAAAATATGTCACATGATTCTAGAAGTAGAGGTAATTTTACTGTCTGGATCTTACTACGAGACTCTTTTCAAATGTAACGTGTCTCTGTTGATACGATGTTTAGTTTGTTTGTTTTTTTCCAGTTCTTTTATGAAAGATTCGATACCTCTATCAAAGTATACACAAATGGTGTTAAATGTTAAGTACTGTATATATAGTTTTTCTTTCCTGATCAGAAGAGACTACGAAAAAAGAATCAAAAATAGATTTATTCCATAGTCGTTATCACTAAAAACTATTGTCTATAACAAACCATTACATTACAATCTCATGGTCTGAGTTAAACGTGGAACGTTTGTCCAGTCCCAAATTTCTGATGTTGTCTAGTTATTCTTTCTTGGTCCAGGACATTGTGTAGGTACTGTATTTACTTACAGATCTGTTTGTATGTAGGAATACACTCCTCTTCTGGTCATCTACCTGTCCATTGTTGGAGAAATAATCTTGCACAATTATCCTGCTTTTGTTCACATTGTTGAAAATGTGGCACAGCAGCTGGGCAAACAGGTAGTAATAATAATAATAATAATAATAATAATAATAATAATAATAATAATAATAATAATAATAATGACTATTACAGTATTTCCACCGTTCGAAAGGTGGCTCTTCATCCATAAAAATTGACATTAATATAAGGTAATCGGTGCGAATAATGATATCTGCACAACCTTAAGTAACAAAATACAGGAAACAAGAAACCAAAGGTCTTGAGTCTGTATCGTGGAGAAGATTTTCAGTGGCAAGCTGGTGTTAAGTCCCCGTCGTATTTGTAATTGACTATTACAGCTCCTTAATGAAAATTTGTAAAGGGCCACACAAGCTTCACTCTTGCTAGACACAGAAGATTATATGGGCAACAGTTTATTTACTACTTTGTATAGTTACAGTCTAGCCGTCATATAACCTGCGACGCAGCCGAAACCAAAACTCTGGTCATAAGTCCGTCTGCGAAACAGCGCCGAAATCTTTGTTCTGGGTCCCCACCTGTGTACCAGGATTTGAGTACGTGCCATGATTGGCCTGTCACAAAAGCCATTGTAAATTTTCCAATCAAGATGAAAGGAAACTCGAAACGCTCTTCTGGTAATTCGTTGAGTCCTTTGGGGGCCCGGAACGAGGATATCGGCGCTGCTTAGCAGACTTCACTTTCTGAGGTTAAATTACGTCTGCAAAGCAGGCTAGGCGTCATAACCCAGTCTCCTACCCTGGCGAGGTGCTAGCTTACAAGACGTGTCAAGATATGAATTAATTTACCGATCACCCAGGCATGGCTCACCTATTAATTCACCACTCCAGAAAATAACACAGCATACCATAGTACTCTTTGTTGGTCACCCCAAAATTTTGCATAAGCATTGTCTTCAGTTTCTCTTTGGGCCATTTTAACTCCCAAGAGAAACTAAAGACAATGCTTATGCAAACGTTTGGGGTGACTGGTCAACAAAGAGTACTATGGTGTGCTTTGGTATTTTCTGGAGTTGTCAATTCCAGATTATTTGACCGCTTAATGTACACGTTACTTCCCAGGTGACTGATGTTTTAGGGCAGCTCTTGGACGTTTGGTTAGAAAAAGTAAGTACTGATGTAACAGGTTTGAAAACTTGGTTTTACCAGGTCCTTTAAATATAAGGGGCGTGACAATTTGGCTGCATTTTACTCAAGACTAAAATATTTTATAGTATTGTTTTCAGCAAGTTTCACGTGTGACATAAGATTTGGCTCTTGGCGATTAAATGATACTCATACCTGGTGTCAAGGCTGGAACTGAGTAGCTTTTTGAATTCCCCTTAGTCATTGCTTTTTTGGGAAACTTGTTAATTTGTATACCACATCCTAAGCTCTAGGTAATCCTATAACTCACGTTTTCATACTCAGATTTACATTGTTCGTTGCGTTAAAAAGGCTCTAAATTATGGGCGTAAACAATTAACGGCGGTCATGTCAGCTTGATCGCTTAATTGTGACTTGTTTTTTCAGCCCATGAAGTACTTTTTCTCCTTTCACTCTCCTCTCTAGATGGATAGCATGACGCGGCTTGAACGAAGAAAACTAACAGTTCTAGCACTGATCACCTTGTTGCCTCTGAATGTCAAGTACGATACAACTGTTTTTACTTAACTTCATAAAGATTATTTGTTAAATTCAGACCACGAGGATCACTGACCAACGGACTTGCGTTTTTTCAGCATTATTCTCCACTCCCATATCGTCCCATCTCAACCTTTGTTTGCCCCTCTAACTTTGCTTAAGCTTTGCTTTCAATTTCTCTTTCTGAAGAGTTAGAATAACGTAGCTTTCTGTATGTCTTTGAAAATATACTGTCAAACTAGTGAAGAGAAAAGAACCTTTAAACCTTCGTGAGTAGTATTGTAAGGATACAAGTGGCCTTTTTTTGGAATCAGTAAAAGTTGTTTGTTTCGTCATTTACGCGGTTGATTCAGCAACTGGTGACAAACTTTAAATACCACCACTATTTCTTGTAGCTAAAACGAAAACAAGCAAAGCTGCAAAAAGCCAAAACAACATTAAGAGGGAAGTCCAAATAGGTTTTATACTAATTTGGATCTAAAGTCAGTTGTCATTTAATAATTTTTTGTCCTGACCAAGTTATAAATCCTCCGCTTTTTTATGCTCAAATAGCAATTGTGTCACAGACAAGTTTGCATTGATTGTTGATGCTGCGGTTGATGTTCTACACGAGATCCACAGAGTTGAAGACAATGGTACACATACAGAGTAAGAAATAATCACTAGCGAACTATTAAAACTCTGTTAAATTATAATCTTATCTATATTCTCCAGCCTCGTTCCCAGTCGTCCTCGGTGATTTCGGATGCATGTCACCTGTCGAGCTTGGCGGGAAAACTCGATAATAAGAATGACCGAAACCAGGCTTTATGAGCCCGCGAGACTGAGCATCCCACCCACCCAAACCCTTTTTTTCACTAAAACCGCTGGACGCCGTAAGGTCTTCCGGAAAATTCGCCAAGGACGCCGTGGCGCTATCGCGCTCGGTTCCAAGCCTCCTCTGCTCCCTCGAATAACAAGAACTGGCCAAGAGACGAGGCTGTATATTCTCTCCATAAGCAAGTTTACCTTATCATAAAATTTTACTGGTGCCAATTTGTAATTTTCCCCCACTTGTTATATCTGAATAGTGTGGAGGTTCGAGGGTGGAGCCCGTAACGGTCTTGGTTTGAGCACCAGTAGTCAGACCCACAGCCTTGGATTTCATTACAACTTGTTAGGTATTTTAGTAATGAAGAGGATACCCAACCGTTATCATGAAGTGTCTGGGTTATAACTATCCCTGACCTTCAAAGACGTTTGAAAATTGTATTCCCGATTTTACCGGCTCAGCCTTGTGGATTTTGTTTTTGTTCGTATAATCAACTATTCCCACTTTTCTGCTTTTTGAAACACTCCATACAGCCATATAAGCAAACGCCATTTGATCACACCCTCTTCTAACAGGACACTTTATTATAGTCTTAATTGAAGGATATCTGATTGTGTACATAATTACCCTTCATGTGGAGTGTGGTTCTGTTTCACTTAACAGTTGTTTATTGCTCCTTGGCGGTAGCAGTGATGATGAAGAACACAGTGGCGAGGAAACTGAAGAACATAAAAGGAAACGACAGGTAACATGCAACTTAATAAGTGAACTAGCGCGAACGGCTGCTACTGAATAAGGTCAACGTTTGTTGGTCGATAAGCAACATAACGAAGCTACAGTATCCGTAGTTATTTGCGCGGCAGGTCTTCCATACCACAGAGCTGTGTAAACGTTAGCCCCGGCTACTTTGGTAGAAAAAGGTTGCGAGAAAATGAATGAGTGAATGATTGTAACGATAGATGCCACGAGAAGTTTGATTATATCCCTCAGTGGTAATAGGCTGATTTAGCAACAGGGCGAGAACGTCAATTGACGACGGGAAAGCGCGCGGAAAGGACTAAACTTGACTCCTGGCGCCCAATTTGCCACTCTGCCATTGGTCAAGCCTGTTGTTTGATTTGCGCGTGCCGTCATCAACTGACGTTCCCTTTCTGTTGCTACGGGAACGAGGATACGAAAGAGACCCAATAAACTGATTTTTTGTTGGTTTTTTTGTTTTTATTTTTCAGCTGTGTTTGTCAGACCCAATCCATTGCTGTCCATTGTGGAAATTTGTCCGAGACAAGTTAAACGAGTGCCACTCGATTTACGGACATGAAACTTTTCAACATCTTATGGAATACTTGGACTCAGCTGTGGCCGCTCAGCTTGGTTCATTCATCAACCGCTAATACACCATTTGTGTCATCCTTAGAAAGAATTAGGAACCCCGTTCCATACCGGCCACGTTTTAAAAGACACTCTACGCCCGGGTCGAGTCTCTCATTGAAAACGGATTGTTGCTTAGCAACATAAATCGTCATGGATACAAACTGACGGGACACTTGCTTCTTTAATTGGTGCTAATTTTGAATTTGATTCAAAGACTCTAAGGAGTCATCAGATTCATTTGCCGTTTAGTCAGAACTCAATTAGCCAGTCAATAGACCCTGTATAAGATCCTATTCAAGCGTGAATTTGTAAGGTTCTTTTTCAAGTGCGTATTAAAAAATTATACTACTACTGGGAGGAACAAGTTTATCATTCATTTTCTTCAAATTAGTCATACTACCTTAAAGTTAAGGAGCAAAAATAGGTTCCTTATAAATTCTTAAATCTTTCTTACAGAAATTTCATTAAGCTCGTGCTTAAAGGTACCAAACGCAAGCAACGGTATTTTGGAGGCCTGCCTCTGTCACGATCACAAATAGAAGCGACAGAATTTAGCAATAATGTTTATGAAGAATAAACAGTTTAAAGACCGTGAACTAGAAACCTTCTTTTCTATCCAGCACATCATCAAACAGTATATCATATCTCGGCTTGTTTAAAAGAAAAACAAACTTGGAAAATAATGTCGAATTTTGGACCAAAATCGTGGGTTAAGCCCTTTGAGAAAATGCAAATTTTTCGACCATATTAAAATGACTTTTTTTATACTCTAGAAAATTTTGTTTTCTATCCAGAACATCATCAAACAATTTATCTTTGCCTGTTTTATAGCCTGCGTGGCAGGCTACCTGTTTTAAAGAAAAACAAACTTGGGAGAAATGTCGGATTTTTTACCAAAATTATGGGTTAACCCAAATGGCTCTAGAGGCAAAGAGACAGTAACAAACAAGACAAAAACACAAGGTAAGTCATTTTTATTTCTAGTTTTGTCAAAAAATGGAATTTAGGACGTATTTTGTTTATTTTCATACATTCTCTTATAAATTCAAAGTCCAACGAATTCCCACAGAGTTTGGGCTACCTGTGGCCCCTGCGGTGTCGTTTTGGCTTGGAGTTTGGAAAACAAACTGCCGTTTGGCGCTGGTTGCAGGGGCCGGATTGCCCGGCTAATGAGATGAAATGAAACAAGGACATATCAAGCGGAGGATTTTTCGCCTCTCGCATCGGGTATCCCGAACTGGACTGTGAAGCCTTGTCCTTTCTCTTAAAGTAGAAACTCGGGGTTAAAGGAAATCGCTTAAATCGCAATTGATAGGGAAAATAACGACACAGCAAGAAAAAAAATGCAAAGTAAATACGGTAAGCTGTATTTTATTGAACATTCTAGCGAGTATTTATCTACTTAAATCTTTTACCTGAATTCCGATACAAATCCTTTTATATTCACAGCCATTTTAAATTATACAATATGAAACTACATGTGTTAATGATTAAACTCACACGCTGAGCTTGGTCCACCTGTGATTTATTTTAATTAACCAATTTGTTATCTATTACGTCATTACTATCTTCAATCAGCAGTCGAAGTGTCGCGCGCTTCAAGATTTGCGTTCAAAGTTTAAAACGAAAACTGACTTGAGGATGAGAAAATTGATCGTCGCGTGTGTCACTATTGGGGTGGCGGTTGGCGCGGGAGTTTGGATTTACAAGAGGTGGAAACAGGACAATGAGAAAGGCAGCTTTGAGGATGAGGTAAGACTGCTTAACAGAATGAACAAAAACAGACAAACAAAGAATAGCATATCCATTCTGCTGGCACGCACTCTCGCAATGAGGAAATAAAAGACATTCAAAAAACGTTAAAATCAAACGAAGACACTATACAGGAAAAAAATCATTTATGATTTATTTATCATCGACATGTATCATTAAAACGTAGAATCCATACACTGCACACTTACAATTAAGCACACTTGTGCAAGAGAATGTCAGAGAAAGGGCAACACCAAAATTGGTCGTACTTACTCAGTATCAAAATTAAAATAATCCCTTTTAAAAGCCCACTCCACCCCTAATTTGTTACGGATAGCTACTATTGTCTTTCGGAGATGATCAACCAGCGAAAACACGAAAGACACTTAGTTATTTCGTGTAAAAAAAACATTTAATCTAAAAAATACTGACTTTTTTGTTCTGCTTTTTTAATTTAGCCTGGACTACAGATGATCTACTGAAACACAAGAGAGATAAGCTAAAATTTGGAATAAAAGGAAGACCAGAAGTATAACAATATAAATTACAAACAAATCTACAAAACAATGAAAACGAAAAACAAAAACATTAAAATAAAAAAAACAACAACAAATAAAGAAAACGTTATAAGCAGAGAAAAAAAAGAGCGTACAAGAAAAAAAAAATATATATATATATATAATACATGAAATATCATTATTAAAAGATAATGTCAAATAGGTGTCATGAATGCAAAACAAAGAGAACATGTCTCATGTAAATGTGAAATATGATTTATTGTTCTTCATTTTGATCATTAATGTTATTAGAAACAAATACAGCAGTAGTAATAAATTGAAAATCAACGACAAGAGATAGTTGTTTGAGTGTTTCTCTCCCCAGTATCTACAGGGCGGCTACAAACAGCCTATCTTCATTTCCTCTGTTCAGTATCCAAATATTAGCTCAATGAAGCCTGTTTGCAATTTTATTCCTTGGAATGTTCTCCCTGAGAAATAATGAGGGCAAAATTAAAGAGGCACCTGCACGTGACAATGGAACAGTCTTCCTGTTAACGTAATCTTAACCAACACCTTCTCAATCATGTGATAAGCAAGGCCAGACAACAACGTGTACATTTGATACAGTTGTCCAAACATAATTATTTGGTGTGGCGTGTGAAGAGGATAAAAGGGAAAGGGGTAACTGAAACCAAGGAGACACAAACAACTTTTCATAAATTTTGCTGCAAACAGCAGAATGGGTCATGCAGCAGCAGAAGAAGATCAATTAAGGTTTCTGGGAAAATGGCCCCCTGTCCCTCTCCTAACTAAACGTTAAAACTTACCTCTCACTTAGGGTAAAAGTTTGGCTTAAGGGAGGGGGAGGGGTGCAGTTTCCCAGAAACCTAATGCACCCCACCCCCCTACACACACACCTGCCCCACCCTTCTTGAACAGGATACCACTTTATGAGGAAACATAACAACATGGGCTCCAAGGCTGAGCTTGATCAAAGCCCAGGATTAACTTTAGCTAGAACAATGCATTGCCATGGTAGCTAAATCTGGATTTGTTTTTACCATCCTTTAAACAACCAGACCTAGATTTAAAGTCTGAGGCATTAATCTCTAGTCAAAACACTACATCCTGCCATAACATGCTTGACTGGGTTTTTAAATTACACTGACTGTGTATTAAAGTAACTGGCTTACTTTACCTTTGTGTCAAGTTTACTTCCCGACAAATGTACAACTGCAATTATTTAGAACTTACAAATAGCATGCAAGCTTTACAATACTGTCTTTTTAGTTAACTCTATCAACTGCAAGTTAAAGGGTCTCTAGTTTAGCTAAATGCTTTTTGGGGCTGACAGCCCAAGAGAAAAAATTAAGACATCTATAGGTATAATTATTTTAGTTTTGCTTTCTTTACAAAGTGGTTTTAAAAGTAGAATGTTTAGTGGGGTCTAATTAAAAATATTCTACAGTTCCAAGAAAATAATTATTATTAAAAAAAACACACACACAAGATGAAAGGACATTAGCAGCAACTTTTAAAAGGAAATACAAGGCAGAAGGGAAGACAGAGCAATACATGCAGAACAGACCTTGTTTCAATCCCCTTTAACACAACAGAAATCATAAAGTACGGAAAAGAAAGAAGGGTAACCATTAGGCAATTTCATAACCAGACATTCATAAATGCCTGTAGTGAGTAATAATGCTAAGAATAAGTTCAACAAACGCTTCCAAAGACAAAAAAAATATTAAGAGTTAAAAGACAGTAGCAGACCTGAAGAGTGAGTTGATCATGAGTTGCCTGCCAGTGTTGTAAAAGCTCTTCTTGGTTAGTCCAAGCTTGCATGCAGATTGGACAGATGAAACCCTGATGGTATAAGCACCTTTGGTTGGTTAGCAGGCAGCTTGCAAAATTCATCATTATTTTTCACAGTGGTGTTTGCTTGCAAACAGCACACATTATATGTGTTCAAATATCTCTTGAAATGGTCTAAAATCAGCCTGCTGCTTTACAGACTGTTGGTTTCTCTTTAAGTTGGGGTTGCATGAGCAAATTACCTGAACAAAATCTGACTGGTCAAATTTCAACTCAGGGCCAGCAGTACAGGACCTTATGAAAACAAGCAAACAATAATCATTGTGCTTTTAGTTTACTTAGATCAAGTAGTACTGAAATCACTAATAGAGAGAAGTGCGATGTCAGGTTACCTTGGTAGCAAGATTTCTGTATCTCGACAATCTTCTGTGAAAGAGACGGTCATTTGCATTTGCAAACAACAAAAGAAAAAATATGGGCTTCGGTTTTGCTCCTGAGTGCAATCATGCTCAGGAAAGTCACACATGTATATCAATTATTTCCGTTGAGCTCCAGAAATTTTGCTACCATGGCAACATGAAGAAACGACTTCTCTTCTCAATCATTATGCCTGCAGCAGGCTGATCTTCAACCATTTCCTTTTTATCATTAGGCGCATGTTCAACATACAGGAGACAGTTGAGTAAAGGGAACCAATTCAAGCTTTGCAAAGCGGCCTTCCGCACTACACAACTACACATAGTGCTGGTTAATAAAAAGACAAATCATTGCAAGGCTTCTTGTAAAATAATGTATGTTTTAAGGACACTACTGAACAGATTTTAAAGAACTAAATATTATCAATTTGCTTTGGAAAATTTATTCTTTATTTTGATCTTTCAATATTTTAATGGATTGAAAAGTCTTGGTAAAGAAGTCCGTCTTAGAGAGTCTGCTAAGCTTTAGCAAAAGAAGAGTTGCACATACCCTAGGGGATTTATATTTATTTAATAGTTTTTGGACTTAAGAAATTTTGCATGGTCTTGATTAACACATTTAATTTGTTAAATTTAAATAATTATTTTATAAATGACTATTCTAAAATTAATGTAGTATGAGATGGTAATTTTATTTTATGCAAAATAATTTAGTTTAACAAGTGCAATTTTGAAGTTTCTAAATTTAGTGATTGTTTCTGAAACAGCTTATATTTACGGTATTTACTTTAACCAGTTTTCAGTGAGAGAAGTCCAACAATGAAAGTTACAATGAAATAAAAGTAGACATACGTCATGATAAATGACACTTGCCCATCACTTCTCTTCTTAACATGCAAGAACTATTTCATACAAGTCCCTTAAAGTTAAAACCATTACAGTGCTGGGTTAATAAAGTCAATCGCTCAAAACAGCAACAAAGAACGAAAGAAATAAAATTGTGCACTGATATAGCATACGTAGCTTTTCCATCCCACCTCAACAGCTTCTAGAACTTCAGGCTCCTCATCAGTTCCAGCTTCTGCTGCAGCCATTGGTCTCTCTGTAGGTTTATCTTTCCTGTTTGTAGGTGGATTGTAAACTGATCACTGCTTATTTAGGTCGCCAATATAAGACATGTACATGTACAGTTATTTTTATTTCTCTCTACAGTTTACCACACATAGGAGCAATATGTTCAAAATTTCCTCACTGTCTTTCAAGACTTAATTCTTATTAATCACAAATCACCCGCACAAAAAAATGATATCAGTGAGGGCTGTGCTCTTGCGGATACTGGTGGTCAGTAGCGAGTTACTTCTGCTGTGAGGTAACCACAAAATCAGACTTTGTTTGTTCCCGAAACATAACTAGTATTAGCACCCAGGGATTTCATAGATACTGTGGCTTTTTAAAAGGGCTTTTGGGCTAACTGCAACAGAAGAGCCTTGACTATCATGCAACTTTGTCAGGTTCTAAGACAGTATCAGGATGCATCAACATACATTCTCTGCACACAACAGGTACATTAAATAAATATAATTTTATCCAGTAATGTCCTTTTAAGCTTCTAGGACCATTTTTTCTGAACATCTCATCATACTTTGCCACTGCATGATAATTTGGACTAGTTAGACAAACTGTAAGTTGCCTTCATGAAGTCATACCTTTCCAGTTTTCTTCTATCTAGGTTTTTCTTTGAAGCAATTGCACTCTTAAGGCACTCCTTAAAAAAAGATGAAGAAGATACATACAAAATTAGTAACAAAAGGATCCACTCAATAGTGTGGCTTAACCAGCAGTTTATGGTATATAAATAAGGTTTTAAAATTCTTAGCTGTGACTTGAGTCATTTAAACCAACATGAATTTAGATGTAAAAATACTCTCTGCAGAAGTTACCTGTATAATAGTGAAGTGAGAAATATTCTGCATGGACTGAACAGTTCTATGAGGCAATTAAAATTACCATTAATTTCTTAGGATCTGCAACATTTACAATTTACTCTTTTTTCCTGTTAATTTAATGTTTACACAATTAGAACCTACATAATTATTTGCTAACAAAGTAATCTTCCTCGTGAAAAATTAATGTGAGACTGACTCAAAGATTCAACCTGTCAAATTTTAAACAAGTATAACGAGAAAGAAAGTATGAGAAATATATAAAATGAAAACCAAGAGAACTGCAAACTTTTTCTAGTGAAATATGTTTGTTAAATATTGTTGGAGGTAAGTACCAGAAATAGTACTCTAACGTTTTATCTACATAACCATATCTACTGTTGCTTATGATGGTGGAAACAAATGGCCCAGAGTTTAAAGAGAAAATGGTTACAACATACTTTAGTGAATATTCAACATCATAAGATACTCCTTGCACTTTTTTATGAAGGCTCTGCATTTCAACCTAAGAATCGAAAAGTAATCTTTTATTAACACTAAATCATGTGCATTATACATTATTAATCGGTTCAATAATATAAGAATTAATAATAACTAGACAAGATGAAATGTTTTATGGCGTTCAGGACTCTGATAGCATTCTGTTCATAACAGGTTTAAACAGTCTAGCATGTAGGACACACACGTCTTCCAACATGTTTACCTTCTTGTCAACAAGTTGAGGAAGCGATCGCCTGACATGTTCTTGCACACGATAAAGACCAACTGATGGCTCATTCAACATTGTATGAATGTTTTCGAGGAATTTTTCTGTAACTAAGTCACACAATAATGTATTTAAATTAGTTGGAGAAATACATTTTGAATGAGTAAACACCCTTTCATAGCTACCAAAATAAACAATATACCGATTACATGGGCATGCAAAAAATACAATATAATGTACTTCTCGACTCGAAATTTGAGACTCTATCCTCGATCACTGAAACTCAAGACTCAATCCTTTAGACGCTAGACTTGATCCTCAAAAGTTTTGAGAATCAAGTCTCGAGGATCGAGACGCGAGTGACTGTGTACTTTTGAGCGGGACTGTAATTTTGTTTCACAACTACAGACTTGAGAAGATGCAACATCAAAGTGAGTTATGTGTACTAAAATACTTTTACTTTACAGAGTTAATCTTACCTCGTCTTAATTTGTAGTCAGTCTCTTGATTGCTGAACTCCAAACCACCCATGTCTCAATAAAAAATTTGGAAAAAATACTTGATTTACTTCAAAGTAACCTCAGGTATTGGGAAAAATCGATGCCAAATTAGAATTTGAGTAATGCTAATTAAAACAGTAATACCTTATGCAGGCCTTATTTAGAGTATGGATTTCCAAGAATAATAGCAGAGAGCCCATCTCAATGCAGCTAGTTGGCTAGCTGAAGCATTCGTGTTCCCCTGTTTCATAATACAATAAAAAGGTTCTCACCTTGTTTGCCTCCATAGATCATTTGACTGTCTAGCATAGCTTTAGCGGTGTAAAGCTCAGTTATCCCAGCCATCAAAGTACGCCTTTGTTAAAAATTTTCGCGATAACTTCACCAATACCTGCTGTCTACCCATTCTCCGCCATTTTGAAACCCTTTGCACATATCGTTCCCAGTCTCTCTCTTGAAATATTTTCGCGTATCATAGCAAAGTCGCCCTTACGCCCTTGAAGGATCTACTCAAATGTAGCGCAGTCTCAATATGAATGTCAATCCAATGAACCAAGAGAGAGTTTTAAAGAATTGTGATATTAAACTATATGTTATATAACAGGGCCGAGCAAAACCTTTTTCTCTCTTGGTTCAAGTTATGACGGGATGACTTATCACTGAAAAATCTGAGTACAAAACACTCAAATGAGAACCACTTCGGCAGAACGTTTAGCACGATGTTGGTCTGTTGCACGCGTGCAGCCAAATTCATTGTGTAAAAAGAATTCTTCTCGAACTAAATTGTCGTTTTAAACTTTTTCATAAATAAATCTAAAGACAAAAATTAATAAAACCATAAGAAACAACAAGAACGTTCTGTAAAAGTTGCTTTATTTATGTTCAAATACGTTTTACACACCTTTTAATACTGACATGATTAACACCGTGTGCCTTCACATCATTTAGAGATAGTTACAATTCAAAGGCTAAATATAACTATACGCGGATAATGAAAATAACACGGAAAGCTTGTAAAAAATATATAAAAAATCAATTAACCAAAAATGTTTCTCTTGAATACAAAAATGAAAAAACAAAAACAAAAACAAAATTTTAATTTGCTCATACAAAAAAAAAATAATTCAACTAATTCAGTTTCCAGTACCTTGAGTTTTCATTTTGATGATAGGTTTCATTATTAATGAAGAAAACACACTCCTTATTTATTATTTCAGAGAAAGGATCCATTTTATCAAAAATTTATTCAATATTTGTATCATCCTGTAAAAAAGTATCCCTTCTAGTTCTGTATGTGCACGAAACCTCTAACTCTCCATCTCTAATGGCAAAAGTGACTTCTAAATAATCACAACTAGCGGTACACTTATTTACTATGCAGAAAAATTAAGTGCAAGCAGGCGTAAAAGAGTTCAAAGCTATGTAACCCGTGGAGCATTACAGCCTTGTTGTACTTTATATAGCTGTGTGTTTCTTATGATGCCAGCTGACTGTCCATCAATTTTCAGGCTCTGTACACAACCTGTGAGTCCTTTATGTGACAAGCCACTGTCTGTCTGGAACCCAAATCCGTCTAAAAACACAACATTAACAACATCAATCTTCATCAAAATAGGGCCCGTGAATGGGGGACGAATTTATCCCTGAGTGACGACACCATCAATCTTTTGTCCGTTACAACATCCGTGTGTTCTGAACAATAGGCGCTTTGCAGCCATTCACCTGGTACAAAACCGCCACGCTGGAGAGCAAAAGTCGCACAGGGACAAGACAAACAAAAGACATACATAATTTGAAATGGTAATTTTCTTTGTTTGCCTTCTCCCAGAGCGACTTTTTCTCTCCAGCACGGCGGTTTTGTACCACGTGAATGGCTAGCTGCAGAGGGCCTATTTGTGACATCAAATACCATTGTTCCGGCCAAGGACCAAAAGGAGACATTTCTCAGCGCCAAAAACGAATAATGCGGTCCAAAATATATGGGAAGAAAACCATTCTGACCGGTAAGAAACATTTTTGGACTAATTACCCTTTTACAATATATATAAAGAAATTAACTTGATCAAATTTCATCCCCAAAACAGTTCCATCATACAATTTGACATGACACAGACACAGTCTCACTCGTCACCTAAAAATGGCCAATAAAGATAGACAGAAGTGTGACGTCACGTTACCATGGTAGCAGAATTTCTGGATCTCAAAAATCTTTCTTGACAGAGACGGCCATTTGCATTGCCGAACGATGGAAGAAAAGTATGGGCCACCGTCTGTGCAATCATGCGCAGGAAAGTCGTACATGTCTATTTTTTCGTTTTTCTGCCATAAGTGAATGACCAAGGCTTGTTGCTACCACGGATTTTGCTACCATGGTAACATGACGTAAGGACTTCTCCTGTCTATTGCGGCAACGGATTGGTTCTTTTGTATTTCTATTGTATATTTATTATTAGCCAATCACAATGTTTCAATATATTTCCTCGTTTTTGCACCGCGTTAACTAAAAACTGCATCGCTCTCAGCCAATCAGATTCGAGAAATTTTCTGATGTTTATTATTACGAGTGTAACAAGATAGGCTTCTTAAAGTTACCTGGTACGCCACCAATGTAGAAGTTGGCAGGTTGGAGAGAAAATCCAGATGGTACAGAACCCTTTACAGCTTGATGATCATCCACTTGCAATTCAACATTACTGCCAGTCCTTCTTATCACTATTTTGTGAAATTTGTTATCACAAAGATGGAATGAAGCATTATACTGTCCATCAGACGGGATAGAAGGGTCGGTCCACTTGATCACTTCCGGTGTACCCTCACCATTAAAAATTAGAACAACCTGAAACAAACAGAAGACGATGGTAAGAAAAACGCGCCAGTCTTTTGAATGATCACTTGGAAAAGGGGTTCAAGGATTTAATCTATTTTTCACTTCGGCTCACACACTTACCTGTCCCTCTAACTGCTCCAAGGTAACGGACCCATTCCCCGTTCTGTTGGTAATAGACACGAGGAGCCCGGAACGAGTTGTGGCGCGGAAGGTGATTTCTATTTCTGTCCCATTAGGAAGCGAGTAGTCCGAATCTTAAAATAAAAACAAAAAACACTTTGTTAACAGTCTTGTTAAAACAGGAAAAACAATTTATTTCGCCAAAGAAGTTAGAGTGGAAAAAACTGGACTGCTTAACGCAATTTGCCAGTAGATTGCTGACATACGGGTTGTGGTCTCCATATGGAAACTATTGGTTTAAAAAGCAGTTTCCAAAAACGAATGAACTAACCAAACGGAACGAAAGGGGGATCAAACGCGTACGGCCCTTGGTAGATTTAAACACAACACAGAGCAGAGCAAACGGACCGTGAGTTATATAACAGCTTATCTCTTTCACGCCACTAACTTTTACGTTCCAAACTAAATAGTTAATCGTTTAACTAATGGCAAATAAAACAGAGCTCCAGCTGATAGGAAAAACTAGATGTTCAAGCGCTGTTTTCTTACCATAAATAATGTAGCCGTCACCATTGAAACCAGCTTGTGATTGTATTTCATTGTAACACTGTTTATAGGTGTAACTAGAATTAGCATCTTCCCTGTCAGTGCTAAAAAAATGAAGCAGAAAGAACTTTAACACTCAACATACAATTTTGCACAGTAAAACAAAACGCCATTACCAAAAACAGTGAAAATGAGGGCACTCGAACAGTGAACCCCCGCTTTTATGCATCTTCAAATGTAGAAAGATGACTCATGATGGCTGTCGTGAAATGCCGTTAAAATCACTATTTCTAAACATTATTTCAGACGTCTATGCCCGCTTTAACACTTTTACCCGTTCCCAGAGTGACTAACATCTATTTACTCCTTATAATACCCTTACACCATCAAGAGAAAAGGTTACGACAAGAAATAAAAATGGTCACCAAAGGGAAAATGCTTTGATCTTTTATCAAATTCTCTCAACTAATTCTATAGGGAAATGTATGGAGATCAGTCTGGAGAAATAAGGGGTTTACAAGTTGTAAGTTGGTTTAATTATCTCTTTACCGCGGATTGAAGATCTTGGTTTCAGACTTGGCGTTCTGAATGGAGAGAGGTCCAAGGCAACCAATAAAACCAACTCCCTTAGACTGTCGGAAAACAAACGAAAATTCAGATCAGATAAATTTAACTGAGCAGTGAGTGCGTAAGAAATGCGCCAGCGGGCTATCATTATAGCCAGATCGAACATCAGTGTCTTTCAGTGTTGTAACATGCCATATCCAAATTACTTTTGCTTTGGTCTACCGTCTTGGGCTGACAATGGACGGAGACACAATGTTTGCTGTAAAACATTAAACATGTATAGACGATTTTCAATCGGCTGTAAAATACAAAATCACGGTAAAGACTATCATTTTTGACAAAATCGTGGCTGACCATGCCCCCCCCCCCAAAAAAAAAAAAATTGCATAGGTAGGTCTTCAATTTCTCTTCGAACGACTACAATCCCCAAGACAAATGAAAAACAAAGGTTATGCAATTTTTTTTGGGGGGGGGGAGGGGGGGAGAGAAAGGGGAGAAAGCAAGGTGTATAATGGGAGATGGGTGAATGGTGAATAATTTCGATGCTTAAAGCTTACCTCTAATACTGACATATTTATATGTGCGGGTACTCCCCCATAAAAGAAAGGACTGTTGATGACCAGGGCAGCTGTTCCATGGCCGACCCTGTTATTCTTGTAGTCGTTTGTGTTTGACACCAAAATAGCACCAAACTGAGTAATTCTCAACAATCGAACCTGTTGCAAAGACCAAAGAAGAATGCTTCGTCAGTTTGCTATGGTGCATTTTAGATTGCTACACAAGGCACTGAATTACAGGAATTATTCTTGAAGGCCTTATCTTTTCCATAGACAAAGTGAAAAAGATAGCAGTAGTGTTCAACAAGACAAATCACAACTTACAAGTTTTTGATTCGTTTAGTTTTATTTATTTCAATAGAACAATGTGGTTTTTTACTAATATTATTTCAAACTGTTAACGAAGTAGCCGAAGCTAGAGGCGAGGAAGACATTTGATTGAACGACGTCACAAGGTCAAGTAACAAACCAGAGACGATCAAGGTAAAATAACATCTCCTTGGTCTTTAGTCACGTGACTAAAACCCGCAGTCCGAATGGTTATCGCCTTTAGTAACCCTATTTCTACCACTGGCAACCCAAAGTGACGAAACCTTGCCCGCTGACAAAACCCCAACAGAGCATTCAAACAACATCTTCAAGTGTCAATTCTCATCTGACATGAGATATACGGCACTCGGGTTCCGTGTTGATATTGTAAAATAAGTTATAAGTTAACGGGGTCAATAGAGCCTTCCATATCACGTCACGTCGGCCATAATGTTGCCCCAGAACATTAAAACGTCGACCAAGTTGGTGTCTTAAATTAGACCTGTAGGAGTCAAATTAAACGCTTTCTTTTGTCGCCATAAATTTGCATGGCTTCTCTATTTATTGAACGATTTTAAAAAAGAAATTCCCCTACCGTATATTCAATTCCACCATGGGAGTAGTTACTGAATCTGCTTGCAACTCGAACTTCCCCGATGCCAGCATTTTGTTTAAACAATAGTTGTCCATTGACAAGCTCCAAGCTAATGTAATGACTGGGATTCATGACGTCATCAGCTGCATACAACAGAACTCCATTCGGAACAAGAGACCGGAACGTAACAGAAATCACAAACCTGACCAACAAAACAAGACATTTATTAGTATTACAGTACCAGCCTATTGATGGTTATTCCAGTTGACTTTATTTTCCTGAAATAATAAGTCTTTCAGTCAGTGATCACAACATGCTGCGGCGGCATATCAATAACAAACAAGAGAAATCTTGTCATCATCCAGGGGCCATTTCATAAGTAGGTTGAGCATGATCGCCCGGGTGATCGTAGTACTGAATAGGACTGCTGTTGACAGTCGTCATCTTTGACTCTGAAGATGACAACCGCACAGGCTGTCGAAACGTCAGTCACTATCAATAAGAGTCCTATTCGTGTACTTCGCTCAACCTACTTAAGAGAAATCTTGTTCATCAGAAATTCATAGAGTGCCAATACAGCTTAAACGACAATGTGTAGCAGACAACCTCGTCAACAAATCTAACTAAGGGCAAAGCTTTATGGAGAAGGTTACGTATCAGAGGGATGTTTTTAGGGAAAAATCTTCAGCCCTGAGAGTACCAAAAAAAGTAAATTTTGCGAGAGCAAAAAGAGTTATACACACAACGATCAAAAGTGCTTACCGTTCTCTAGTGTAGTTTAACACTTCTTGACTTGAAGAAAAGGCGATATATTCAGAGCCCTCTAATCGCGCATGCTCCTCTCCTAATCCAACCCGCAGGGGTGGGTTCGGTGCACCGCAGGTAGGTGGTGGTAACGTGGGGGGAGGGGTTGTGGGTTCAGCGGTGGGTACTACAACAAGTTCAGGCGGCACTCCAGCTAGTGATACATACTGGCTTCGTCCAGAGAAGATGTTTATTGGGCTGAAAACCAAAACACATCCCTTAGTATACTACACAGAAAACCGTAACGATGCACTGAATTTTGTCGCGCACCCTGTCCTTTTCTAGCAGTATTACTTCCAAGCGCCTGCCACGCAGGCTATAAATTTTCAAGAAAGAAAAAATTGGGTCCTCACTGTCATCGTTAAAAAAAAGTTTCCTATCATGATTACATTTATCTAGTAAGATATGAACTCTCTCACTTGAGGTATGTAAAACTGCATTGAAATTTCCAGCTGTAAAACTATACAAATATACACTCTTCACTGGTGCTACTTGTTTATACTGCATATCACTTCCAACAATTAAACCTGGCCGCTGCAACTGATATGATTTCATTTTTTTTGTGGGGGAAGGAAGAGTGAAAAGATCAAATAGCGGCTGAGTCCTTGAGCGTTGAGAAAAAAAGTCTAAAAACAATGAAATCTTCTTTTTTAGATTAGCACGCAGTGTAGCAACTTACTCTCCATTCAGCGTCAGGTCCTTCATATCTCCTTCGAATGGAATAATAACAGGGAAGGGCCTGGGTATGACTGTACGATTATCCACCCCACCAATCCACAGACTGCCATTCAGACTAACGGGACCCGCGGGAAATCCCGGATCTATTGTCAAATCGCGGTCATCAAGTTTTATATTGCTCCTAAAACACAAACACAAATGTTAGAAAAAGGAATTAAAGCAGCTGGATCACTTGTTCTTTTTTTCTTCGGAGGATGAACATGGATTGTACTTTAGAAATTTTTTTCGAGTTAAACGCTAATAAAACGGACCTGAAAGGAAATAAAAAAGACGCTAATTCAGCGAAATTGAAGCGCAAGCAACATGAACACTAAGATAAAACGGCGGCTTTAAAATGATATCCCCATCTTTTCAACATTTTCGGCGATTTTTTTTTTGTATTCAGCAAACTAAATGAGAAAATAATCTTCAAGCTATATAGAAAACGCTTATGACAGAAAGGAAAGCACACTGACTGGTATCTCTCTAGTCGTTTTGGTTTGGCTTTATACTTGATTAATGTACATCGTCAATCTCTAACACAAAAGAAAAGAAGTGTCTGTTGGAAGACATTAGTATTCTGGAGCCAATAACATTTTTATTGTCAAGTTCGACAGCAAAGCCCTCTGCTTTTGTTCAGGAACACTCTATAGAAGTTTCTTGAAGTGACCAGTGAAATGTGACCTGTAAACAAACCGCACTGGCGGTAAAATTAAAAAAATAGAAAACTTACTTACCCGCTACTTCCCAGTTCAATTTTAACAGCATGATAAGCACCGTCATTCAAAGTTTCTCCACTGCTAATCACGGGAACGAACTTGGTTGTTAGATTGGCACTGTACACTAAATAAAGGTTGCCATGGAAAAGCGCCAAGTAAAAGAAAGGACCCTGAAATAAGAGAAATACTGTTACTCCATTAAGCTCCGATATCCACTCACAAATTCTCCAGTGATCTTCATAAATTTCCTTCAAGGCGATGTTGAGAGAATTTGTTAAGAAATGAAAATATTTCCACTTGGTGATCATTGTATCAGTTCCTAGGACCCTTTCTTTTGATTATGTACCGATATTGTTGGGAGAAAATTGATGTTAATCACTCTTGAAACTTAAAAGGATTAAGTAAAGAATGAAAACACTGGCACTTGACTCAAAGAGGTTATGACTGCTGTTTGCTTCTTAAAATTGAAATCCATTTAACTAAAGCCGATTCCCCTGGTTTAAACACACAAAAAACCAGTAATTTCATTGGAAAACGTAATCTGAATCGTTGCAGACGATTTTCAAGGCAGACAATAGCCTGCGTAGCAGGCGCCGGTATTTTTTAAGGGCAAAAAGAGAAAATTCGAGGACGCCAGAGGGGAGGAAAGGAGTGCTCCCGTCGCGCGGCCTTTAAAAAAATTACCTGGCGCCTGTTACACAGGCTAGGCAGACAAGGTTGCATTCCACATAAACCAACACTGCATACTATTTAGTGCTGCTTAAAGCTGAGCAGTTACAAGGCTATCACACAGTTTTTAGGTCATTTCTATACTTTTTATAAAAATAATAATAACTAATAATAATAATTAAGTTATGTTACCTCTCCACTGTAAACCAAAACACCAGTAGGAGAGAGTGTCTTAAACTTCAATGAGATTGACGTCATTTGCGACTGACCAGGTTCCACGGCAGCGTAACTTTGACCCAGGAATCGAATACCTTGCTCGACCTGAAAACATACAACGGTGAAGCAGACCTATCAGATATTGCAAAATTCAATCAGATAGCAGTTCTAATTCAGCGAAAGGTATGAGCCCAGGAGTCATTTCGTAATTAGGTGGCGTCCGATCGTCCGGGTGAACGCAGTCCTGAATAGGACTGTTGTTGACAGTGACTGACGTTTCGACAACCTGTGCGGTAGCCATCCTCAGATTAAAAGCGAGTTGCATCACGCCAGACGATGGTATTAAATTCTAGTTATTGACCTACTTGGTCAATTACGTCGCTATGTTATTGGTCACTAGTAGTTGGCTCTGAAGAGTAGGAGTGTGCTGTTTGATTTCTTATGTAACGAATCATTTTGCCTTAGCTAAAAATAACACAAGTACACCATGTTTCCTATCAGACAGATATGGAATAAATAAAGAAGATTAATTTGAGAACATTTTTTTTTCTGCAGTTCGCCAAAACGTTTCCCTCAGTCTTGCCTTGTCTTTGTCTCACGAAAAGGCCCAAACAAGTTTGACCCTAGACTTTACCTTACCGTTCTATTCGCCACTGTAGAAAAGAAAAGTGAATGGGAGCCGAAATGCCTCCTGCGATTGTTTCTGGTGTCGTTACTGGGGGCGCACCTGTCATTCACTTGTCCCTAATAACAGTTTCAGATGTCTTTGCGATCGTTAACTCGGCTCAGTTCCTTTCTCGTTATTAAAGTGAAGAAAACCGTATTTATTCGATTAACCGCCCTGAGCGCTTATTCAAGGCTGGGCGCTTATTAAATTTTCACCATTTTCAGCAAGTGTAGTATGTTTATTTTGCAACACAACAATAAATGGTAATAACAAAACGCGAAACTTTGAGGAAAACTCCAAAATTCTCGTAGACGATGAATCTAGAGATTGTAAGTCAGTGAATAAATAATAACAATACTACTCTCGTGCACTTCATTTTTTGGGGGTGGGAGCGGGGAGGGGGTGGACACTTATTCGAGGCTGGGCGCTTATTAACTTTTTCTGCCTTTCGGATGAGCGAAAACCAGCTATGTTCTTACCATGGGCAACAGTCCAGAGAAAGACACCCCCTTGTAAGACTCAGTATAGTTGGAATCACTAAGTGAGCGGGACATCAGTACTCCAGAAGAAGAGCTACTGATATTGATCCACCTTAAAGCTCCCGCGAATGACGTGTCTACAGGAGCCTGGATTGGGCTACAAAGACAAAACACCATAACTATTACAATATTGTCAACATACAGCCATTACATACACCAGTCACTAACTATTTAACGGGCATGGTTTGCTGTTTTTACAGAATTATCCTCGACGTTTTTGCCTCGTTATTTTAACGTTTTACAAAGCTTTTTGCAATCATGCAGAATTGTTTACTCTAATAAGTGCTGTCTATTCTTCTTCTTCTTAGCTTCTACCTAATGAAAACAGATGCGACTCTCTACTCCCTTTAAAATCAAGTCTGTCACGCAGGAGGATGTTAGAATAATTTCAAGAAATTGCGGTTAAACGTACACAACGATAACAGGTATGGTTTGTGTAGGTACAATAGCCTATTTTCAACCTCGCTACCAGGGTCCTCTCCAACTCAGCCTATCTCTCGCTCGGGTGGCCGAGTAGGAGAGGACTCTGGGAACGAGGCTGACCTATTCCTCTCATCAATTCCCGCTACAACTCACTTGCAACTGTCATGGGAAACAGTTACTTTATTGAATGGAATTGCCAGTGAATTAGTTTCACACAGATGCACAAACCATAACGAATGGCCACAAACCTGTTGGGATATTTCCCACCAAATAGCAACGCTTGTCCAACAGGTAGATAAACAGGTGATGAGGTTGTTATTGTGCTGTGATCAACTGCTCCACTGTCTGACAGACCTGCTGGTCTGACAGTCAGACTAGCATTCCTGAGACCACGAACCACATGCACCTTGTACCAGCGTCCATCACTGTATGAACTGAGTTTGCTGTGAACTGTATAGGTGTCACTTGGAGTTTTGAAGAAGAAGGCAACACGGCTTTCGTTCAAGTAAACACCATAGACATAATTCTGAAAATGAAATTTAGATTTACTGCGATGACCGCACCAACACAACATGAAAAACAGCTAAACAGAGCAACTTCTCACAACAGACACCAGAACTTTAGAGACCATAAATACGCCATTTCCGAGTTCCAAAAACGCTCACTTTCGAAACGAGGCTAAGTACAAACCTTTCTTGTGATAAAGAGTTTCCTTGGCATGAAAATAAAAAATCATTGCATATCAGTGGTTTGGTACAGAGGCTTGGAGCAACTTAGAAAAGGCCTGTTGTGAGGGCAGCCCGATAAGCATTCTATTGTTTTAAAACTCCACATCAATAACTTGAAACCGCCGCCTGGTTGGCTCATTTGGGAGAGCGCCAGTCTGCTGAGCGGGAGGTCACGGGTTCGAACCCCGGCCGGACCAGCACTCAGGGTCTTTAAATAACTGAGAAGAAAGTGCTGCCTTTGTAATGACATCTGCAAACGGTTAGACTTTCTAGTCTTCTCAAATAAGGACGAAAAACCGTAGGTCCCGTCTCACAACACTTACACTTATCTGGTTCTTGTGGGACGTAAAACAACCCACACCACTGTTCGAAAAGAGAAGGGGACGTAGACCCTGGTGGTGTGGTCAACCTTCAGTCATCACATCATTCACATCATGGGTTGGGTGGGTACAGTAAGCTCACAAATGGACTGAGAGCGGCTGCCAGTGGCCCCTTTGTATGTTGACGTCCGAGCATACTGTTCACATGTTAAAATGTATTGTAAGAGGGCACGTCTGTTGTCCTCTCATCCACGACTCTTCATTCATTCATTCAGCTACCTTTGTGAATAACACTCGTAAGGGTTTTTTATGAAGGAAACTAAAAAACTGAACTGAGGCGTACGCGAGATCTGTCTCTCTTTAGGAGAGCAACTGTTACACTAATCCCACCAAAAAAAACACATTCTTTTTATTAAGTCCGTGAGGAAAAAAATGAAAATAACAATTAAGTCTGAAATGAAGGACGCCAACCTATAGTTATCCGCTTTATACCGTAACACACTTTATAACGTTAACGTATTGCATAGACACCAACCTGGCCGTTCAAAACGATAGTAATAAGAGCCGTTTTAAGGAATGTTCTGAACTGGAACTCCATCTCTGACTCGCCAGTAATGTTAAAGCTTCCCATCTTCTGCTTCACATGACCTTCAGCAATGCCAAAGAAACTGATTCCAGGAATAAGGTCCACTTCATCGGGAGGTCTAGAACAGCATACAATGATAATAGGTTAGCTTTAAATAGCTACAAATAATAAAGCGATTTCTTGTTTAATTCAAGATAAAATTAAAACGAATCTTTACAACTACTTACACATGCAAGCTTAGTGAAGAAAGGTATGATTAATCCCCCCCGCGAGAACAAAAAACGTTTGCTTTGCACTCATAGTAACAACATGGCCCTTATGCATGTTTTACGTCAGACGAGCAAACTTCACCACCAAGCCTTTGTTTTGAAAATGTTGATTGCGAAGTTTTCTTACATAAATTCCCAAAAGAATATCCATGCACAAAGAGTAAACAGGCGAAGAATTTTGCTTACAAAAGAGGCTTGCTCGCGAAATTTGCTTGTCTGACGTAATCATGCATAAGGGGCGTCACACCATATTTGGTATGGAAAAATATACCCAATAAGGTGTCGGTGTGGGGACATTTTAAGGGTGCACGTATGACTGGGTCAGTGCGCTGACAAATTGCCCAATGGCACTGTTTAGGGGATACTATCGCTTCCTTTATTACAATGCCTACACGAAGTTGAGTAGCAAACTGGGTCCCATTCGTCCCATAGTGCAGTTCGACACAACACCAACCCAGTCTGACGCGCCACCTCTAAATGGCCAATAATCAGGACTAATAACGAACACCAAATTTGACTACAACTGTATGACCCCTATTACAAATTGCCGATACCTTCTGGAACAGAATGAGCGGTTCCCTTCAACCTTGACTGGTTCCCACAAATTCAGCGACTCCTGGTTAAGCACAACATTGTCAATGCAGCCGTCAAAGAAGCGGTCTGTCTTGTTTTCCTGAGACAGAACAAAATGCGGTTCTGATAAGACAATGACACCTTACATACATCATCTTGATGTAACCTAATAATTTCTCAAGAATAGCGTAACGATGGGACCAAAAGCCGGTATTGTTATATCGTCTACGGACGCAATTTATGTCGCTGCGGACTTTAAACATTTCTGACCTAGCTTCCTGAGAACATTTTGATATACAAGCAACGAAAGACAAACTGCTGTTAGAATCATAAAACAACCACGGCATTTATTTGTATGGTCATACACGCCTAGCCGCGGACTTAACGGCGAAACTCTAAGACACAAACATGGAGTAAACAGTACAAATAGAAAAGGTCAAACAACATGACCCTGGAATATATCATGTCAAACAACGTGACTAAGATATCGGAACACCTGCATCCATTTCTTTTGGAGTGAAATATTATGTACGATAACAACAGCTCAAGAGCTACACCATCAATTTAAGTCTCACCATGGCTCCAGTAGGCAGGCCTCCAATGTAAAGATTATCATCAGGTTTGAAGTCAGTAGTCAAGGTATTTGCTATAACGTCTGTGCTGGGTTCGTACGTACGGCTGAAGTTTCTTCTGTGATCTGTCACCGTCAACCGTCCGTCTTTCTCATATCTGCAGAGAAACAAAAACACCCCAATTTCAGAGTAATTTTACTTAATAGCTCTATCATAAGGAGTGAAAAAGGTCTACTTTAACGTGGAAACCAATCAAAAGCGCTACCCAGATCTGGGTAGTAAGGCGTCATCAGAATGGAATTTTCGACCTCGTTCCCAGGTTCTCTCTCTCCCTCTCGCTCCGCAGGGACGAGTAGGAGAGGACCCTGGAAACGCGGTTGTGGAATTTCTGCACTCGTTTCTCGTCTCGCGCGCGGGGAAACCGGTAGAGGCGTCGCGAAATGTCTGCTGTTTTCTCAGGCTACATGTCATCTATTTAAGATACTGACCGTGTAGCATACACAGTATACCAGTCACCAGGGTACACTCTAACAGCCCAGTTGATGATATTAATAGGATTCGTGCCAAGGTTGTACTGAAACTTCACAAATGATCCACTCTCTAAAGTTAGAGCCAAAGACTGCGGAAGAAAGGAAAACTGAGTGAAAAGTCTGCCAGCAAAAGGTACTAAATTTTCGTTTACAACCTAGTAATGAAAAAACTTTTCCCTGCGGACCTTTTGCCACAACGCATGCGCCACTATAGAAACGAGAGGGAAACTGGGTCGAGTTAACTGTCGCAAAGAATTCTGGGGCTGTCTACATCCCAGCTTGTCTTTAAAGCTGAAGGATTACTCTAACCTGAAGCTTTCAAATATTAACGTGCGACATAAGAGCAACGGAAAAGAAAATATGGGGTGGTTCTCCGCCTCCGCCAAATTAAAACAGGCGTGAAATTCCTTAAATATGACGAAACGTCAACAACGAAACAAGATACCAAATTTACGAACAGAAAAAAAAAACGATGAAAAGGCTAAAAGGAGAATTTTAAAGATGAAAAAATAGTAAAAAACAAGGGCATGGAAGTGACGCTAAAGACCCCTCAGGAATATTTCACTTGGCTGCCGCTGCGTAACATCACTGCACACTCACCCTGCTACTTGACCCATCAGAAAGGTAAAAGAGCGAGCCCTGGACACGAGTCGCCCTGAAGTCTATCGAGATCTCTGTGTAACGAGTCGTGTTTATTAAACGAGATGTAGGACGGTACTGTACAGCGGTTTTCCCTTGAACGTTCAGAGCAAGACGAATCTGAAACACAAGCAAAAGATTAACTAATGCACTTAAACTCACTGGTAAATTTTTACATGCAAGGCCAGTGGGGCTGTTAATGGATGTAAGTGGACAACGCTTTTCCCTAGCTATTATTTCTCTGCTCTTAAGTAATGGCAAATCTTAGCTTTTTCTTCGCCGTGAGTTTAAGTCTGATATTTACAAATTTTACAAAAGTTCCATATTTGCAGAGATGTTGTCATTGCGGTTGAATAAAAAGCCAGAGTATGAACAAAGCTTAAGAAAAGTCTCTTTACGTCAACACATACAAGTGTATTAATGAGGTGCACATTTATGTATTTTCCACGTTCAGTAAAGACTTAATTTATCTACCTTAGCCACATATTCTTTAGCTCTTCTTAGTTTTTCCTCCAACACTGACATGTTCTGCCTGAGCTGGGCTTGTAAGTTAGCTGTTAGGTTTTTCAGTTCATCCGCTCTTTGCACTGCTCTATCCACCCCACCCAATAATGCACTTGCATTTTTCACTGTAATAAGTAGGCAAATACAGTATACTTTAGCACAAAATCTTCAAACATAAAAATCGGTTTACACATACAATGGAACCAGACTTTTTGAAACACGTTGGGAGAAGCGAATTGGTTGGAAAAATTGGGTGTAATATTATAGTGTTTGACTACTGGTAGTTCGAGAAATCGGGATTCTACAAGTTCAAATTGGAAATTTTTCTTTGGCAAAGTGAATTTAGTGAAGAAAATCCGACAAATCACAATTTCCTTCAAACGCGCAAACAAAATTACCATCAGGACTTCAAACAGTACTTTAAAGTTCACCCATCCCCCCCCCCCCCCCCCCTCATCACGAGAAAAAAGTGACGTTGTTTTTTATTTAGTAGATAGAAATCACGTTGGTGTGTGATTCAGGACAGTTAATCCGGGGTTCCGAATGCTCAAAATTTTCATGCACAGGATAACTACCAACAAATTGTACATACACAGGCTTACCATTTGCAAATGCCTTGGACGTGAGACCTGCAGCTTTCTCAGCTGATTGGTTAATTGCCTTCATCCGTTGCTCAAGTCTGTTGACTTGATCCAGCAAGGCTGGAGTGCCACCATTAACTGGATTGGCGCGAAACAGTGCCTCGTTGGAATAGTCGCTAGCAGTCTGGGCGTTAGATAGGACGGAGTGTGTACCACTTCCCAACTCAGCTGCTTGTACAAGAGTGTCTCGCTGAGATTTTAAAGTACCGTAAAGAGAATCCACTGAATCACCAGTCGTTACAGCGTCCGTGAACGTCTGGTTTGATGAGGTAACATTGGCTCGAAGTCCTAAATAAAGAGCGTTAAGTTAAGTAAACATTTCACTTTGAAAAACGTAAAGCATTAGCATGCGTAGCACGCGCTTGAGCGTAATGGGCACTAGAAAGAACATTGTGCCATAAGGGACTTTGAGATTTAACGACGCGATGGCGTGATGCACGTGTGAAGTTGTTGTTTTTCTTATTAAACCTGTTGTTTTTTAAGACGTTTTCGTTGCCGTCGCGTCATGGAATCTTAGGGCCTGTTTACATGGAGGTGGGGGACCCCAGGTAGGTGATGTAATCCGTCTAGGTGGAGTAAAAAAATAAACCAGTTTTTCTTTTTGTTAGTTCAATAACCACAAAGCAGTTCAATAAGTACACAACAGATCAATAGCCACACCAGTAGTTCAATGACTACACATCAGTTCATTGAGCGAAAACTACATGCAGCTGCGCCACAAATACGTTAGTTATTTTTTAATAAGAATGCACAGAATGCTTGTTGCTACGTGCTATATTATGGGAGGTAATAGAACCATTGGAATATGGAATTACGACTGACAAAAACCCGGAACAATTTACCTCTTAGATTCGCATCCCTGGCCAAAGTATTGTTGGAAAATTCTTCACTTTGGTCTTTTGAATCAGCAACTCTTGTTTGAAGATCGGAGCTAACTCGCGTTACATTCTGAAGCTGAAATAAATTAACCAGAAATTGAATTCATTTAAGTCTTACATGCAAACAAGAGGGACATTTTGTCGCTGCAGTAGAATCATACTCACTGTTAGCCAGACTACGCATCATACATGTTCCGACAAAATAATAAAATAATTACAAAAAACGATTTTTGCTCACAAGTGCAACTGGTTAATAAGGCTAAAAAATCACCGATGAAAGGGAAACAAGTTACTTTCATAGGATTAATTCACAAGATTTCAGTTGTTTCATGTTTGGAGTTCTCTGTTTGCTTTCCTTTGAATACTGATTGATTTGTTGATTTTTTTCAGCGATTGCTGTTACTTTTAAAGATTGTTCATCCTTCTCTCCCAAATATCGCATTTCTGGATTTGGTTTAAAAGTAGCCTGTGGTTGGTTGGTTTAAAAGTAGCCTGCAAAACAGGCGGTATTATTTCGCGCTTTTCAGGCGAACAAAGCGCGAAGCGGGCGTGGAGCGCGAGACACGCGCAAGGGAGGGGGCGTGAATAATAACGCCTGTTCTGCATGCTATGAAACCCTTCTAGAGAGAGTTTGTTATAACTCACCCTGGTCATAATTTCTTGCAGTGACTGGTTGACCTGCTGGGAAGTTTCAAGCGATTGATTTCCGAGCCGTACTACTTCTTCAAACGTTTTGATAGCATCAACAGCACGCGCTCCGTGAGACAGGGTGGTGTTAAAAACACTGAAAACAAAATAAAAAACATACTTTTATCGCATCGTCATAATTTTGCAGAAGCATGCGAGGAAGTTCTCCTCTGATTTTTGGCGAGCGAAGCAAGCCGCGAGAGGAGTCCCTTGCACCCGCGTCTCCTTTCGCGTGCTACTCTCGCGTGACTTCTCGCGACTTCCCAAAATGGAGAGCCTGCTCGCAGGCTAACTTCGCATAGTTAGTATCATCAACGTAATCATCGTCGTCAACCAAGTTTGTTGTTGGGTCATCATAAAAATCCTCACTGATGTCGTGGACGTTATTTGTTTTATCATCACCATTATCATAATCGCCATTAAAACGGTGCGATTTACGTCGTCATCATCATCATCATTATCATTAGTCTATGATCATATCCTTGCTTATCTTCTCAAAATCAGCTTACACCATTATTACCTTAGACTTGCCTTAAGTCGACTGCGGCCGAAGGCGCGAGGACAAAAGCGAGCGAGGAAGTGCGAGACGAGCATCGAACCAGTATGAACCGGAAACAGGCTTTGAGAAAGGCTATCATGGTCTATCATTACATTAACATTTGATTGATTTATTTACCATTTTATTTTTTTATTGCACCACCGTAAATAGCGAGTCGTTTTATTCGTTTCTGTTCGGCGAAATAAACTCACCTTTGCCGTTGCCTGGCTTCAGCTGTAAGATTAGCCGCATGTTTAGTGGCGTTTTCAGTTACACTCTGATTTGCAGCAGTTAATTCAGGCATTAGAGCCTGAAGAGAGTTGTCCAATGTGGTCATATTCTCTCTTAAGATGCCCAGACGAGTACTTGCATCCTGGAAACAAACAACAGCAATGACTAATTCAACTACATTATTTTAAATTCGTGTTTTACTGCGATTCCTGGCTGATGTTGGGATATAATGCACATGCACCTCCAAAACAACCACTGACCACTAGTACTGTTGGCATTCTTTGCTGATAACTCAGTGAATATAATAAGTAGGCAAATACAGTATACTTTAGCACAAAATCTTCAAACATAAAAATCGGTTTACACATACAATGGAACCAGACTTTTTGAAACACGTTGGGAGAAGCGAATTGGTTGGAAAAATTGGGTGTAAAATTATAGTGTTTGACTACTGGTAAAGGTCAATTGACTGGGTTCCAAATTATCGGGAATATAGAAAAAAGGAGAGTTCGAGAAATCGGGATTCTACAAGTTCAAATTGGAAATTTTTCTTTGGCAAAGTGAATTTAGTGAAGAAAATCCGACAAATCACAATTTCCTTCAAACGCGCAAACAAAATAACCATCAGGACTTCAAACAGTACTTTAAAGTTCACCCATCCCCCCCCCCCACCCCCCCCACACCCCCAAAAAAAATTCCCACCAGGACTCCAAAAAGTACTTTAAAGTTCCCCCCCCCCCCCCCCCCCCCCTTCATCACGAGAAAAAAGTGACGTTGTTTTTATTTAGTAGATAGAAATCACGTTGGTGTGTGATTCAGGACAGTTAATCCGGGGTTCCGAATGCTCAAAATTTTCATGCACAGGATAACTACCAACAAATTGTACATACACAGGCTTACCATTTGCAAATGCCTTGGACGTGAGACCTGCAGCTTTCTCAGCTGATTGGTTAATTGCCTTCATCCGTTGCTCAAGTCTGTTGACTTGATCCAGCAAGGCTGGAGTGCCACCATTAACTGGATTGGCGCGAAACAGTGCCTCGTTGGAATAGTCGCTAGCAGTCTGGGCGTTAGATAGGACGGAGTGTGTACCACTTCCCAACTCAGCTGCTTGTACAAGAGTGTCTCGCTGAGATTTTAAAGTACCGTAAAGAGAATCCACTGAATCACCAGTCGTTACAGCGTCCGTGAACGTCTGGTTTGATGAGGTAACATTGGCTCGAAGTCCTAAATAAAGAGCGTTAAGTTAAGTAAACATTTCACTTTGAAAAACGTAAAGCATTAGCATGCGTAGCACGCGCTTGAGCGTAATGGGCACTAGAAAGAACATTGTGCCATAAGGGACTTTGAGATTTAACGACGCGATGGCGTGATGCACGTGTGAAGTTGTTGTTTTTCTTATTAAACCTGTTGTTTTTTAAGACGTTTTCGTTGCCGTCGCGTCATGGAATCTTAGGGCCTGTTTACATGGAGGTGGGGGACCCCAGGTAGGTGATGTAATCCGTCTAGGTGGAGTAAAAAAATAACCCAGTTTTCCTGTTTGTTAGTTCAATAACCACAAAGCAGTTCAATAAGTACACAACAGATCAATAACCACACCAGTAGTTCAATGACCACACATTAGTTCATTGAGCGTAAACTACATGCAGCTGCGCCACAAATACGTTAGTTATTTTTTAATAAGAATGCACAGAATGCTTGTTGCTACGTGCTATATTATGGGAGGTAATAGAACCATTGGAATATGGAATTACGACTGACAAAAACCCGGAACAATTTACCTCTTAGATTCGCATCCCTGGCCAAAGTATTGTTGGAAAATTCTTCACTTTGGTCTTTTGAATCAGCAACTCTTGTTTGAAGATCGGAGCTAACTCGCGTTACATTCTGAAGCTGAAATAAATTAACCAGAAATTGAATTCATTTAAGTCTTACATGCAAACAAGAGGGACATTTTGTCGCTGCAGTAGAATCATACTCACTGTTAGCCAGACTACGCATCATACATGTTCCGACAAAATAATAAAATAATTACAAAAAACGATTTTTGCTCACAAGTGCAACTGGTTAATAAGGCTAAAAAATCACCGATGAAAGGGAAACAAGTTACTTTCATAGGATTAATTCACAAGATTTCAGTTGTTTCATGTTTGGAGTTCTCTGTTTGCTTTCCGTTGAATACTGATTGATTTGTTGATTTTTTTCAGCGATTGCTGTTACTTTTAAAGATTGTTCATCCTTCTCTCCCAAATATCGCATTTCTGGATTTGGTTTAAAAGTAGCCTGTGGTTGGTTGGTTTAAAAGTAGCCTGCAAAACAGGCGGTATTATTTCGCGCTTTTCAGGCGAACAAAGCGCGAAGCGGGCGTGGAGCGCGAGACACGCGCAAGGGAGGGGGCGTGAATAATAACGCCTGTTCTGCATGCTATGAAACCCTTCTAGAGAGAGTTTGTTATAACTCACCCTGGTCATAATTTCTTGCAGTGACTGGTTGACCTGCTGGGAAGTTTCAAGCGATTGATTTCCGAGCCGTACTACTTCTTCAAACGTTTTGATAGCATCAACAGCACGCGCTCCGTGAGACAGGGTGGTGTTAAAAACACTGAAAACAAAATAAAAAACATACTTTTATCGCATCGTCATAATTTTGCAGAAGCATGCGAGGAAGTTCTCCTCTGATTTTTGGCGAGCGAAGCAAGCCGCGAGAGGAGTCCCTTGCACCCGCGTCTCCTTTCGCGTGCTACTCTCGCGTGACTTCTCGCGACTTCCCAAAATGGAGAGCCTGCTCGCAGGCTAACTTCGCATAGTTAGTATCATCAACGTAATCATCGTCGTCAACCAAGTTTGTTGTTGGGTCATCATAAAAATCCTCACTGATGTCGTGGACGTTATTTGTTTTATCATCACCATTATCATAATCGCCATTAAAACGGTGCGATTTACGTCGTCATCATCATCATCATTATCATTAGTCTATGATCATATCCTTGCTTATCTTCTCAAAATCAGCTTACACCATTATTACCTTAGACTTGCCTTAAGTCGACTGCGGCCGAAGGCGCGAGGACAAAAGCGAGCGAGGAAGTGCGAGACGAGCATCGAACCAGTATGAACCGGAAACAGGCTTTGAGAAAGGCTATCATGGTCTATCATTACATTAACATTTGATTGATTTATTTACCATTTTATTTTTTTATTGCACCACCGTAAATAGCGAGTCGTTTTATTCGTTTCTGTTCGGCGAAATAAACTCACCTTTGCCGTTGCCTGGCTTCAGCTGTAAGATTAGCCGCATGTTTAGTGGCGTTTTCAGTTACACTCTGATTTGCAGCAGTTAATTCAGGCATTAGAGCCTGAAGAGAGTTGTCCAATGTGGTCATATTCTCTCTTAAGATGCCCAGACGAGTACTTGCATCCTGGAAACAAACAACAGCAATGACTAATTCAACTACATTATTTTAAATTCGTGTTTTACTGCGATTCCTGGCTGATGTTGGGATATAATGCACATGCACCTCCAAAACAACCACTGACCACTAGTACTGTTGGCATTCTTTGCTGATAACTCAGTGAATCCTTTAAATTGCATATTTTCTATTGTATTTGCAGCAAAGCGAAACCAACATCTAAACAATCATAAGAAAAAATTTTATTTCATGTAGTCCGTACCTCGTAATTGTTTTGTCCTGTGGAAACGTAGAGGTCACTGCGGTTTAAAATCCCGCGAACTGTCTCAAGTAAATGAAGTGCTCGATCGGTTATATTCCTTGCTTCACTGATCAAGTTCTGTTAAAAGAAAACAAAACAAACATTAAATAACCAAGAAATAAAACATATTTAGTAAAATCCAACTAGTGGTCTATTATCAATGCTGCGTTCTGATTGGTTGAACTACTACTGGGCTATATGTTATAGCTCACTAGTAGCGAAAAGCGCCGGCTTTGGAAACCAAAACAATGGCGGCTGAATCACGTTCTGCTAGCTAAAGTTGTTTTGTCTTGATATTTTTGACCAACTAGTTGGATTTTACTAAAACAATTATTTCTCTCGCCCTCATATCCTCTGAGTCAATACCCCATGAGGCCTTCGGCCTCATGGGGTATTGACTCAGAGCCCATTCGGGCTCGAGGAATAATTGTTAAATAACTGACAGCAGCAAAGATTGAAGAAATACCTTGAAAATCTACCGTTTAGGATATATTCCCACCATACCTGACAGCTTTTCAAGCCGACACGCCGGAAAAACTATCAGGTTTAGTTTGAACCTCTATCTGAAATGTAACTCTCCGCTTCAGAGATGAGGTCGGCGCGGCGTAGCTTCGCTCCTTTACAGAAATCTCGCCGAAATCACTGTTCCCGTGTGAACAAAAGCCTTCTCCGCTATGGTTTTCGTGCCGGCGCAAAAGCTATCCAGTAGAGTGTCATAGTGTCACGTCTGCGTTGGTTACACGTCACAAAATCACAATGCAGTGAACACACCTTTGTTCGATTGATAAGAATAACGGCATCATCCGTGATAACAGCCGTAGTTATGGCCCTGTTTGTTAATTGGTCGAACTCTCCCATCGAAACAAGAAGCCTTCTTTCTAGCTGCACCGCTGTATCGTTTAAGTTCTTTCTCAAGTTTTCCTGAGCTGTTACGTTGAATCTAGCTGACATAGCTAATGCGGAAACATCTTGCGCTTGTCGATACTCCTCATCAGCCTGCCTCACTTCATTGTCATACGTCCTATTCATAATGCCATTTATCCCAGCTAATAAATTATCAGCATGCCTCTTTAGACTTGTAAGTCGAGTCAATACGTCAGAAACGGTGGCATTCAGAGCTGAAACCAAAACAGCACAAACAAGTTCACTTCATTAAGCAATGCCCTCATGAGCAAATACAATGACTGTGTCAGTCTACAAAATAACCAAAACCAATAAAAGATATTTTTGTTTCACCTCCAACGTGATCCAGTTAAGTCAATAATGATAAGCCAATAAAAGTCCAATTCAGCTTGAAACTAATTACGAGCATGAAGACCAGGGCTTGCACTTTCGTCACGTCTCAGGAATTAAAATGTCTGCATCGTAGAAGTTTAATGAAAAATGATGATGGGTGGAGATCGATCTTAAGGCTGCGGCTTACTACAGTTTTTTCCGCTGGTCTCATCTGTATCTTTTGCCGTTTGAGGCCACCTCCGGTTGCTTTTCTTTCCCTATCCTTACCCCCCTCCCCCAAGCTAACAAGAGGTTGCTCGCAGACACCTTTATCATCCTCAATGTACTCGATTTTTTCCGTTGGTGAGATTTCATTTGGTAAAACGCTACATATAGCACGTTGCGAAAATACTGCCGAAGAAGTTTCACTTGAATGGTAACAACAAATGCTTCATCAACAGACTCAAAAGTTAGAACCACCTCACAAGACTCTGCCGGGGAGTGAAAGTGCTAATACAGTGATATTACTTAGTCGCTAACCTGTAACATTGTCTTTCGCAGACTGGGTATTAGTATTCAGCTCTCGAATACGGTTCAATTCTCGAGTGACATTGGCTTGCAAAGAAGCACTTTGCTGTAATGCGTTTGACAACTGAAAACAATAAAAAGCACAAAATAAGTTGATAATTATAGTCATAGTAAATAATAATAATCATCATCATCATCCTCATCATCATCATCATCACTTATAACTTTACTAACGCCTTTTTGGATATACAATACTTTACCGTACGTGGTTTAGGCAAATAGTAAAAAGACAACAAAGCACAAGTGCCAGTCCCAAAGAAAACCGAATCATAGAATATATTATGTTGCATCTTACCAAGATTTGAATATCAATTATTGTCCTGTTAAGCTGACTATCCTTCAGTTGAGTCAGGTTGTTAGAAAGACCTCTCACGACGTCATCAAATTCTTTCTCTGAGGCCTGAAAAACAACGAAGTTAATTGATTACTTAAAAGAGTAAACAAATTATGCTTATGCTGACGTAAGGTTATCTCACTTTTACTTGAAATAATTACTCCATGATATGTAGGACACTAGCCGTTCAGAATAACGTGTAGCCAGTCAACAAATTATAACAATCGCCCTTGAGATTGTTACACCGGACAAACCTAAGCATATTCTCCTCTTCCCATCTATTTTTGCTGAATTTGTTCGTCCAATGCTTTCTATAAGGTGGGGATTTGCAACTCTTTTGGATTTTAGGTCATTCTGCTGGTATCACAGACTGACAGTGTAAAAACAAACCTCAGCGTCATCAATAAGTCCTTCCACTTTAGTCAACTCTGGCCATAAATCTTTTAGGTTAGAAACTTTATCTGCGTTAGCTTGGGCTTCCTTTAGGTCCAAAAGTGTTTTGTTGATGTCAGCTTGTAATCCAAGTCTGCTACAAAGTGGACACGCTACAGACAAATAAAAAACAACCAATTTTTTGGACAGTTTTACCATGTTATACGTAAACTTTTTATCACTTCCTCACAGGCAGTACACCATATTGTGCACCTGTTGTACTTCTTGCAATATGCTATGCATTGCAATTTCTTCTAAAAGGACTGCTATTCATTGTTATCAGTTTTGACAATCCCTATACACGAATAGTCCTTTTTATATTCACGACTTTTCCCCAAGCAATGCGGTCCCACAACCGCTGGGGGTTAAAGGTAAAAAATCAATCGATAGATGAATAAAGTAAGATATAAAAATAATAGTTGATAGTTCGAGAGCTGAGATGAATACATTACAACTGTCAAGGCTTATATACCTAAAACCAATAGAGTCAATTAACGCCATAGCGACTCACGTGCGTTCATACCAATAGGAAAGTATTTATATTGTCTGTCACTGCCACTACGTTCAGCGCCGCCGAATGTAAATACATTTTTCATTGACAATTGCAACATGTCTTTTGATATCTACCTACAGTGGAATCCCGATTTTTCGAGCCACAGTGGGAGAGGTAAATGAGTTCGAATTATCGGGAGGTTTGAAAAATCGGGCATACGATTACAGTGTTTGACTGGTGAAAGGAAGTTCGGTTTGGTTAGAATATCGAGGGGCGTTTTCCATTTACCAAAACCTTTCGGAAACGTCCATGGAAAGGTCCATCGAGTGAAGAACGTGTTCCATTTGACACAAGTTCCATTCGTTTATGCTCTCGTCCCAAAAATTCAAAATGGTGGCAGAGATATTGCCATGAATAGCCTGGAACTGGTGATTCCTTGTGAAAACTCGTAAATGGAACATGCATTTCCACCGGAAAGTTTCCGACGGGAAAACAGGGCTACGTTTTCAAAATTCCACTTATTCCCGGGAATTTTCCAGTGGAAACATGTTTTCTATTAGCATCCCAGCCGGAATTTCTTGATAAATGGAAAGCGCCCCGGGATTCTACTATAGAACTTTTCCCCCAACTGCACTGGCTCTCAATGGCTTCTTCAAGGTCACATGGCATCTCCACTAACACTGTCTCTCGCCCACATATAAGGTCAGAGGGTAACAGAACACTGTTAAATACGTAGGACTTCGTCACGATTTGGGGAGGATTGCGTGACAAGCCAAAAAAACGTCTGAGTGAGAGGCTTTGTTTTTCTACTCGATTAGCTACTGTCTTTGTTGAGGACACATTGCAAGTCAGACTTGGTTTGTGGAGAACAAAACTTTTCACTAATACACTGCCAATATCCTCAAACCATAGTCATTCACAGTTCATGTACGGTTCATGTACAGTAATAAAGCTTTTACGCTTTGTTGTACTTACGATCACAGCCGTTTCCTGAGAAGTTCGTGTGCTGTATCGAACACTGATCACAAAGTCGGTTTGTTACGCCTGGTTTGCAGTAGCACTGGCCTGTGCTGCGGTCACACCTTGTGTAGTTGTTAGAACCAGTCTCATTGCAACCACATTCTGGAAATTATCATATAACAAAAAACTGTCTGCGTCCTCATCCAAAAATTGTACATAAAATAAAAGTTACAATAACCCGAATGGATTTAGCAAAGTTAATACATGTAAGAAAAGAAACAGTAAAATTCCCTACCTTGGCATGTGGCATTAGGAAGCCCAAAGAATCCCCACTCACATAAGTCACACTTTTCGCCAAGGGTGTGGTTTTTGCACTCACAGATTCCTGAATCATTACACTGAAGTGAATTTGAGCCAAATTCGTTGCAACCACACGCCATGCAGCCACTTGAGGTAAAGTTGTAACTGTTCGGCTGCAAGGGAGTACATTTGCAAGAATTATCTTTTTTAAAAGGCTTAACGGACGTCTAAAATATGAACTATACAGCAATATATTAGGTGTTAATAGACCTTTCAACGGTTTTTTTTTCTTCCTGCACGAACGGTGCAAATCCAGCAGCTAAACCCCTGCATCCGGCAATTCCAAATGTTACCGAAAACCCTGCTTCCTAATAATATTATCTATTCCTTACCTGGCATGCTGAGCAGTTCATTCCTGTCACGTAAGGCTTGCATACACAGTCGCCAGTCACGTGATTACAAACGTTGTGGAACGCACCAATACCGTCACAGGTACAAGCTGGAAAGAAAAAATATAGTTTACATACACGAGAAGTGAGGTAAATTAACATGACTAATTAAGGTATTAAGGTAGCGTTCATCAAAGGAAAACAGTCATTAACGACGAAGAGGTGCCAAAACAAACTCCGCTATTCCCTGTTTAGCCATTAATTGTTCTGATAGCGCGTCACTCAGTTTTTTTACACTAAAAATTTGTGGGTTGGTCATCTTTCCAAGGTAGCCATGTTTCATCATGTAACCTTCACCTTGGTTTATGAAGCAAGCCACGTAAAATCTGGGTAGGGTGGGGGGGGAACCTATGGTCACCTATGCTACGTGCGGGGCATGGGTTCCCAGATTTCTCTCAAGACTAATCTACAATGGCAGCTCATTACAACTTAATTTAACGGCCGAACAAGATTCTAAACAATTTAGTCCGCTAGATCAGTTTACCTTGACATTGCTGCTGTGTGGCATTACCCCATGTTCCATTCTCACAGCGTTCACAGTTAAATCCAGTAGTGTTGTACTGACAGTTAAGACATTCACCAGTTGTTGTATTGCACACATCCGAGTTGTTGTTACACTGACACCTTGAGCAGTTTCCTCCTGGGATCATAGGTTCACCAAAGAATCCCTCCACACAGCTGAAATATAACACAACTTCTAATCTGGGTACTGTGTGATTGTGACCAACGTGTATACATACACCTTGGCAATACCAACAGCGAGTGGGGACTTCAAAGTTTTTTAAAAAGCACGTTTAAGGGGGAAAACAGAAGGATTTTGCGGTGAACAACCCAGTCAAAATGAGCTAACAAGTTTTCCGCTTCCAGTGGAATATTTGCCGGCTACTCAACACTTAAGTTTAATACCATTAAATGAAAACCACACAAGTTTAAGCCATTGCTGCCTCCTGCTTTGGTCATCCTGCATACAGCTAAAAAAACACTTTGACTGGGTAGATCATGAAAGTGGGTTGTGGTTATTTTCTGAAACCATTCATTCTATGTCCACAAGAATGACATGTAATACACGTGTATCAATGCTTTGATCTCTAAAAAGATGATACAAATCAAGTGCTATGAGTAGCACTTATACAGACCAGGAGTTTACCACAAATTACTTTGAAATTCTTACCTTTCACAAATATCGCCCTGATATCCCTCAGAACAATTAAGACACCTGGGTTGACCATCAGCATCACCCACACAAAGGGATCTGGAACAGACAGATTTGTACTCCAACAATTACTATAGTAATATCATGGGTGACAAATTACTCCTTAATTTTGGTGCGAAATTTCAGCGTTTATACTACTAAATGAGAAATTTATTCAATTTGATAGGCTTAGAGCAATGGTATTTCAGCTTAATTTAAAATACCTGCGTGTGAAAATTTCAAACCTTTTGCGGGTAGTAGTATACAGTGATATTGGTATAATTACCACATGTGACATTTCAAAATTGTCTCAAATTTCACGAGCCGATAGGCGAGTGAAATTACGTAAAGCAATTTCGAAACATCACTTGTGGTATTTATGCCGAATATCACTGTGAAAATTTGAGAAAAAAATTGAGAAGCTGCTTCTTATTTTCTTTAAGCCACAAAACTAGCTAACAAAACAAGAACCTGCACAAGCCCAATGATTAATGCTAATGACAGTTTGATGAATGAGTACATGCTAAAGCAGAAATGTCAAAAGCTATAACCCAAGAAATATGAAATTACAGTCTATAAATAAAGCGCAAAATACTCACGTTGTAGTTCTTGGACTTTCACAGGGGCATTTCTTGCAGTCCCCAGGGGTCCCATCAGTAGCGTTACCATAGAATCCATCTAAACAGATCTCGCAATGAAAGCCAGTGGTATTGTGAAGACAGTTCTGTCAGGAAACCGACATACTTAGCTTTCCTTAGCATTAACAACACAACTGTACAGCTACAATCCGCGACAAAATGAAATGAGGTAACTTCAGAGAACAAAGCAATCCACACCCCCCTCCCCTCCATGTAAAGTTGGGGTGTTTGCCGTTTCCAACAGGTAGTTTGAAGAGTGGCACATGCACGAAGGGGATGGGGGAGGGAAAGCTTTATTTTCCCCTTTTTAAGTTGGCAAAATGTCAGAGAGGCCCTCCCCTTTAGGGCAAAGTACATCTCAACTTATTTTGTTGCTGATTGCAGCATGTTTAATTTAGCACAAGAGAAACCAACCCCGAAAATGGAAATTCAATTGTTTCGATTCAACACTTGAGAAATTTAAGCAGATGCTTACAATAAACTGACTATTTCAGCAAAGTTAACAGAATAACCCATAATAAGTATTAAAGAAGTACATCTTAAAGAAACGTCCTCCTATCAAGTTAGAGGAGAAAAGTTTCACTCACCAAGCACTGTCCAGTAGCAGGGTCACAATCATCAGAATGTCCATTGCAGTTACACCGCTCACACTTTCCAAGATAAAAGTCCCCTGATACATTCACTCTGTGATAGCCCCTGGCACAACGCTGTTTTAAGATAAATGATAACACGCTGAACAACAAAATATATAATACTGGGTATCTAGTGCTGGTGTGATCTCCTTACATAAGGAGCAAATGATTGTATTATTTTAACAAGATTAACCTCAAGTTGGTATAATTTGTTTGTAACATATTCAAGTAAGTTCTGCAGTGCTCTCACACTATTCAAAACAGGGCAAATGCTTACTTTGTTCTCTTTTCTTGCTCTCGGTATAATGCTGTTGCAAGTACCAGCAAGAACGGAAGATGCGTTGACAAAATACCATTTAAACTTTCCACAAAACTCAATTTCTCCCGCTCTCCCAGTCCTTCACGAGAATAGACTCCTCAGGGGAGGAGCATGGCAGCTCATTTTCCGAAAAGCAGCTGCTAATCGAGCCTAACTCGCTGTTTACAAAAACCATTCCTGTAAACAGTCTCCTCCAGTTCTCATCACCATTTCTGCTCCCTGAGGGTCACCACGGCAAGTATGCCTTTATTATATTAACATAAATCATTTTAATGATATAGAACCTCAATCACCATAACATTTTTCCCGAAGAATGGAAGTTGTTTAGAACTATGGTAACTATTTTTTAAAACTCACTTACCTCACAAGACAATCCAGAATATCCCTGTCCACAGTTACACTGCTCAACATCGTAAGCTCTGCCCGCAACAGATGGTGCAGGACCTACATCAGCGACTTTGAAGTCACCAAGACTGCAAACAACATTGTTCTTTAGTTTGTGCTTACTGATAATAACATGCAGATTAACATGCAAGTGACAGGATAATATATTATTAGCATTTTGGAGTTTAGACCAGTTCTAATGCATTTGTTGAAGACTTACTTATCCCTGGTTTTCACCTTTGTGACAAGGCAAGGGAATTACATTGTTTTCACATATCCAGTTGAACCTCTCTACAACGTCCACTTTGGGGACAGAAGAAAGTAGCCATCGTAGAGAGGTTGAAACAACAGTGAATGTTAGGACTATCTGCCAAAAAAAAGGCAGTTGCGTAGAGGTGAGAGTTTGACTGTATTTCAAATGGAGTTTCTGGATATGTTGCCCTCAGCTTCACAAAATCAACTGATTCCCTTGCGATGAGTCAATAAGAGCTTATTGTTTAACTCTTAGAATAATATTTTATTATTTTTATTTAATTTAATTTATAATAACATTTTTCACATTTAAATGACCTGTAAGTACTCTCAACATAATATTCCAGAATGTAAAATGTATAAACATGCAAGTCAAATGCAAATTATCCTAGCTCAATCTACCTCGTAAGGTAGAAACCTTGTCCGTCAGAGTAAAATGATGCTGTTATATGTAACCCTTGAAGTTTTGCCAAGACAAGAAGAAACTCTTCCCTTGTCACTGGTGTGGAACTTCCACTATAAGACCAAGAACTCTGCAAAAAAAAATAAAGAAAACAAAAGATGGTTTGAAGGTGAAAGACATAAAGTACACATTCAGCTTCATGTACATATAATTTAAATACCTACCTCTTTCATCAATATTGTTCTGGTGGCTACTTGGTCAGCTGGCACAGACATTAGAGCATGCTCAATTGAGATGTTTTTGACTCCCTGTAAAAAAAATTGTGAGAACTCATTCGATGAAAGTCAAATAACCAATGCCCTGCAGATGCTTTAATAATAAAACCCTGACCATTCTGCAGACTATAGCAGCATTTGCAGACAAATAAATACCAGGTGTAAATTAAAGTGTGTAGATGAAAGTCACAGGCGAGCAAAATACCCAGAAAATTATACCACTTCACCTTCTTTCACAACATACTACCCTTTTATTAGGTGAAACATGGACTCAAAAAAAACTTAGACCCATGATCCTTCACTATGTATCTTTCATTTGCTCCACTACTATTAACATGATAACCTGACTTTACCTTCAGAATAACCTTTGGTTGTGATAAGTGTAGTGTTCCATTTAATAACTCCTTGAAATACAATTTGAAACTCAGGTTTCCACCATAAGCATCAACCTAAAAACAGTCAAATGATTATATGTTTATACTTTATTACAGAAAATGAATGTCTTCCTATGCAACAACAACAACAACAGCAAAATGATGAAAAATTCCAAGGCAGATGTTTCAAACAAGATCTGTACAGTCAAGTTTGAGACAATTTTTTTCAGCGAATACCTGCTTAAGCATGTAAAAAATCTTCTGAGGTGTAATCTTACCAAACTGTGATCAGTGAAGTTTGATGCTGCTTTCCAGTAGAGGGTCTCATTGGTTGAGATGTTTGCAGCAATCATTCTCACATTCTACAAACATAAAGCAAGATATTATACAGATGTCAGTGTCAATCACATTGAGATACAACTGTACAAAAGTAGCCTGCCCAAGTTAGGACTGAATTCCTTGTTCTGGGACCCAGGCCAGAAGTGCAATGGCTTTTTTAACAGACCAACCATGGCACATACTCGAATTGTGGTAAAAAAAGGGGGCCAAGAACAATGAATTGGGTGCTTGCTTGTAGACAGACTTAGCAAGAGGTTTTGTTTCATAATGTGCCACAGGAACTCAGTACAAGAAATACACTATATAAAACATCAACACAGGTCACTTATTAACATCAATAGAAAATCCAACAATGAGAAACTTTACCATGACGGAAAATGATAAGAATAACGGCATCATCCGTGATAACAGCCGTAGTTATGGCCCTGTTTGTTAATTGGTCGAACTCTCCCATCGAAACAAGAAGCCTTCTTTCTAGCTGCACCGCTGTATCGTTTAAGTTCTTTCTCAAGTTTTCCTGAGCTGTTACGTTGAATCTAGCTGACATAGCTAATGCGGAAACATCTTGCGCTTGTCGATACTCCTCATCAGCCTGCCTCACTTCATTGTCATACGTCCTATTCATAATGCCATTTATCCCAGCTAATAAATTATCAGCATGCCTCTTTAGACTTGTAAGTCGAGTCAATACGTCAGAAACGGTGGCATTCAGAGCTGAAACCAAAACAGCACAAACAAGTTCACTTCATTAAGCAATGCCCTCATGAGCAAATACAATGACTGTGTCAGTCTACAAAATAACCAAAACCAATAAAAGATATTTTTGTTTCACCTCCAACGTGATCCAGTTAAGTCAATAATGATAAGCCAATAAAAGTCCAATTCAGCTTGAAACTAATTACGAGCATGAAGACCAGGGCTTGCACTTTCGTCACGTCTCAGGAATTAAAATGTCTGCATCGTAGAAGTTTAATGAAAAATGATGATGGGTGGAGATCGATCTTAAGGCTGCGGCTTACTACAGTTTTTTCCGCTGGTCTCATCTGTATCTTTTGCCGTTTGAGGCCACCTCCGGTTGCTTTTCTTTCCCTATCCTTACCCCCCTCCCCCAAGCTAACAAGAGGTTGCTCGCAGACACCTTTATCATCCTCAATGTACTCGATTTTTTCCGTTGGTGAGATTTCATTTGGTAAAACGCTACATATAGCACGTTGCGAAAATACTGCCGAAGAAGTTTCACTTGAATGGTAACAACAAATGCTTCATCAACAGACTCAAAAGTTAGAACCACCTCACAAGACTCTGCCGGGGAGTGAAAGTGCTAATACAGTGATATTACTTAGTCGCTAACCTGTAACATTGTCTTTCGCAGACTGGGTATTAGTATTCAGCTCTCGAATACGGTTCAATTCTCGAGTGACATTGGCTTGCAAAGAAGCACTTTGCTGTAATGCGTTTGACAACTGAAAACAATAAAAAGCACAAAATAAGTTGATAATTATAGTCATAGTAAATAATAATAATCATCATCATCATCCTCATCATCATCATCATCACTTATAACTTTACTAACGCCTTTTTGGATATACAATACTTTACCGTACGTGGTTTAGGCAAATAGTAAAAAGACAACAAAGCACAAGTGCCAGTCCCAAAGAAAACCGAATCATAGAATATATTATGTTGCATCTTACCAAGATTTGAATATCAATTATTGTCCTGTTAAGCTGACTATCCTTCAGTTGAGTCAGGTTGTTAGAAAGACCTCTCACGACGTCATCAAATTCTTTCTCTGAGGCCTGAAAAACAACGAAGTTAATTGATTACTTAAAAGAGTAAACAAATTATGCTTATGCTGACGTAAGGTTATCTCACTTTTACTTGAAATAATTACTCCATGATATGTAGGACACTAGCCGTTCAGAATAACGTGTAGCCAGTCAACAAATTATAACAATCGCCCTTGAGATTGTTACACCGGACAAACCTAAGCATATTCTCCTCTTCCCATCTATTTTTGCTGAATTTGTTCGTCCAATGCTTTCTATAAGGTGGGGATTTGCAACTCTTTTGGATTTTAGGTCATTCTGCTGGTATCACAGACTGACAGTGTAAAAACAAACCTCAGCGTCATCAATAAGTCCTTCCACTTTAGTCAACTCTGGCCATAAATCTTTTAGGTTAGAAACTTTATCTGCGTTAGCTTGGGCTTCCTTTAGGTCCAAAAGTGTTTTGTTGATGTCAGCTTGTAATCCAAGTCTGCTACAAAGTGGACACGCTACAGACAAATAAAAAACAACCAATTTTTTGGACAGTTTTACCATGTTATACGTAAACTTTTTATCACTTCCTCACAGGCAGTACACCATATTGTGCACCTGTTGTACTTCTTGCAATATGCTATGCATTGCAATTTCTACTAAAAGGACTGCTATTCATTGTTATCAGTTTTGACAATCCCTATACACGAATAGTCCTTTTTATATTCACGACTTTTCCCCAAGCAATGCGGTCCCACAACCGCTGGGGGTTAAAGGTAAAAAATCAATCGATAGATGAATAAAGTAAGATATAAAAATAATAGTTGATAGTTCGAGAGCTGAGATGAATACATTACAACTGTCAAGGCTTATATACCTAAAACCAATAGAGTCAATTAACGCCATAGCGACTCACGTGCGTTCATACCAATAGGAAAGTATTTATATTGTCTGTCACTGCCACTACGTTCAGCGCCGCCGAATGTAAATACATTTTTCATTGACAATTGCAACATGTCTTTTGATATCTACCTACAGTGGAATCCCGATTTTTCGAGCCACAGTGGGAGAGGTAAATGAGTTCGAATTATCGGGAGGTTTGAAAAATCGGGCATACAATTACAGTGTTTGACTGGTGAAAGGAAGTTCGGTTTGGTTAGAATATCGAGGGGCGTTTTCCATTTACCAAAACCTTTCGGAAACGTCCATGGAAAGGTCCATCGAGTGAAGAACGTGTTCCATTTGACACAAGTTCCATTCGTTTATGCTCTCGTCCCAAAAATTCAAAATGGTGGCAGAGATATTGCCATGAATAGCCTGGAACTGGTGATTCCTTGTGAAAACTCGTAAATGGAACATGCATTTCCACCGGAAAGTTTCCGACGGGAAAACAGGGCTACGTTTTCAAAATTCCACTTATTCCCGGGAATTCTCCAGTGGAAACATGTTTTCTATTAGCATCCCAGCCGGAATTTCTTGATAAATGGAAAGCGCCCCGGGATTCTACTATAGAACTTTTCCCCCAACTGCACTGGCTCTCAATGGCTTCTTCAAGGTCACATGGCATCTCCACTAACACTGTCTCTCGCCCACATATAAGGTCAGAGGGTAACAGAACACTGTTAAATACGTAGGACTTCGTCACGATTTGGGGAGGATTGCGTGACAAGCCAAAAAAACGTCTGAGTGAGAGGCTTTGTTTTTCTACTCGATTAGCTACTGTCTTTGTTGAGGACACATTGCAAGTCAGACTTGGTTTGTGGAGAACAAAACTTTTCACTAATACACTGCCAATATCCTCAAACCATAGTCATTCACAGTTCATGTACGGTTCATGTACAGTAATAAAGCTTTTACGCTTTGTTGTACTTACGATCACAGCCGTTTCCTGAGAAGTTCGTGTGCTGTATCGAACACTGATCACAAAGTCGGTTTGTTACGCCTGGTTTGCAGTAGCACTGGCCTGTGCTGCGGTCACACCTTGTGTAGTTGTTAGAACCAGTCTCATTGCAACCACATTCTGGAAATTATCATATAACAAAAAACTGTCTGCGTCCTCATCCAAAAATTGTACATAAAATAAAAGTTACAATAACCCGAATGGATTTAGCAAAGTTAATACATGTAAGAAAAGAAACAGTAAAATTCCCTACCTTGGCATGTGGCATTAGGAAGCCCAAAGAATCCCCACTCACATAAGTCACACTTTACGCCAAGGGTGTGGTTTTTGCACTCACAGATTCCTGAATCATTACACTGAAGTGAATTTGAGCCAAATTCGTTGCAACCACACGCCATGCAGCCACTTGAGGTAAAGTTGTAACTGTTCGGCTGCAAGAGAGTACATTTGCAAGAATTATCTTTTTTAAAAGGCTTAACGGACGTCTAAAATATGAACTATACAGCAATATATTAGGTGTTAATAGACCTTTCAACGGTTTTTTTTTCTTCCTGCACGAACGGTGCAAATCCAGCAGCTAAACCCCTGCATCCGGCAATTCCAAATGTTACCGAAAACCCTGCTTCCTAATAATATTATCTATTCCTTACCTGGCATGCTGAGCAGTTCATTCCTGTCACGTAAGGCTTGCATACACAGTCGCCAGTCACGTGATTACAAACGTTGTGGAACGCACCAATACCGTCACAGGTACAAGCTGGAAAGAAAAAATATAGTTTACATACACGAGAAGTGAGGTAAATTAACATGACTAATTAAGGTATTAAGGTAGCGTTCATCAAAGGAAAACAGTCATTAACGACGAAGAGGTGCCAAAACAAACTCCGCTATTCCCTGTTTAGCCATTAATTGTTCTGATAGCGCGTCACTCAGTTTTTTTACACTAAAAATTTGTGGGTTGGTCATCTTTCCAAGGTAGCCATGTTTCATCATGTAACCTTCACCTTGGTTTATGAAGCAAGCCACGTAAAATCTGGGTAGGGTGGGGGGGGAACCTATGGTCACCTATGCTACGTGCGGGGCATGGGTTCCCAGATTTCTCTCAAGACTAATCTACAATGGCAGCTCATTATAACTTAATTTAACGGCCGAACAAGATTCTAAACAATTTATTCCGCTAGATCAGTTTACCTTGACATTGCTGCTGTGTGGCATTACCCCATGTTCCATTCTCACAGCGTTCACAGTTAGATCCAGTAGTGTTGTACTGACAGTTAAGACATTCTCCAGTTGTTGTATTGCACACATCCGAGTTGTTGTTACACTGACACCTTGAGCAGTTTCCTCCTGGGATCATAGGTTCACCAAAGAATCCCTCCACACAGCTGAAATATAACACAACTTCTAATCTGGGTACTGTGTGATTGTGACCAACGTGCATACATACACCTTGGCAATACCAACAGCGAGTGGGGACTTCAAAGTTTTTTAAAAAGCACGTTTAAGGGGGAAAACAGAAGGATTTTGCGGTGAACAGCCCAGTCAAAATGAGCTAACAAGTTTTCCGCTTCCAGTGGAATATTTGCCGGCTACTCAACACTTAAGTTTAATACCATTAAATGAAAACCACACAAGTTTAAGCCATTGCTGCCTCCTGCTTTGGTCATCCTGCATACAGCTAAAAAAACACTTTGACTGGGTAGATCATGAAAGTGGGTTGTGGTTATTTTCTGAAACCATTCATTCTATGTCCACAAGAATGACATGTAATACACGTGTATCAATGCTTTGATCTCTAAAAAGATGATACAAATCAAGTGCTATGAGTAGCACTTATACAGACCAGGAGTTTACCACAAATTACTTTGAAATTCTTACCTTTCACAAATATCGCCCTGATATCCCTCAGAACAATTAAGACACCTGGGTTGACCATCAGCATCACCCACACAAAGGGATCTGGAACAGACAGATTTGTACTCCAACAATTACTATAGTAATATCATGGGTGACAAATTACTCCTTAATTTTGGTGCGAAATTTCAGCGTTTATACTACTAAATGAGAAATTTATTCAATTTGATAGGCTTAGAGCAATGGTATTTCAGCTTAATTTAAAATACCTGCGTGTGAAAATTTCAAACCTTTTGCGGGTAGTAGTATACAGTGATATTGGTATAATTACCACATGTGACATTTCAAAATTGTCTCAAATTTCACGAGCCGATAGGCGAGTGAAATTACGTAAAGCAATTTCGAAACATCACTTGTGGTATTTATGCCGAATATCACTGTGAAAATTTGAGAAAAAAATTGAGAAGCTGCTTCTTATTTTCTTTAAGCCACAAAACTAGCTAACAAAACAAGAACCTGCACAAGCCCAATGATTAATGCTAATGACAGTTTGATGAATGAGTACATGCTAAAGCAGAAATGTCAAAAGCTATAACCCAAGAAATATGAAATTACAGTCTATAAATAAAGCGCAAAATACTCACGTTGTAGTTCTTGGACTTTCACAGGGGCATTTCTTGCAGTCCCCAGGGGTCCCATCAGTAGCGTTACCATAGAATCCATCTAAACAGATCTCGCAATGAAAGCCAGTGGTATTGTGAAGACAGTTCTGTCAGGAAACCGACATACTTAGCTTTCCTTAGCATTAACAACACAACTGTACAGCTACAATCCGCGACAAAATGAAATGAGGTAACTTCAGAGAACAAAGCAATCCACACCCCCCTCCCCTCCATGTAAAGTTGGGGTGTTTGCCGTTTCCAACAGGTAGTTTGAAGAGTGGCACATGCACGAAGGGGATGGGGGAGGGAAAGCTTTATTTTCCCCTTTTTAAGTTGGCAAAATGTCAGAGAGGCCCTCCCCTTTAGGGCAAAGTACATCTCAACTTATTTTGTTGCTGATTGCAGCATGTTTAATTTAGCACAAGAGAAACCAACCCCGAAAATGGAAATTCAATTGTTTCGATTCAACACTTGAGAAATTTAAGCAGATGCTTACAATAAACTGACTATTTCAGCAAAGTTAACAGAATAACCCATAATAAGTATTAAAGAAGTACATCTTAAAGAAACGTCCTCCTATCAAGTTAGAGGAGAAAAGTTTCACTCACCAAGCACTGTCCAGTAGCAGGGTCACAATCATCAGAATGTCCATTGCAGTTACACCGCTCACACTTTCCAAGATAAAAGTCCCCTGATACATTCACTCTGTGATAGCCCCTGGCACAACGCTGTTTTAAGATAAATGATAACACGCTGAACAACAAAATATATAATACTGGGTATCTAGTGCTGGTGTGATCTCCTTACATAAGGAGCAAATGATTGTATTATTTTAACAAGATTAACCTCAAGTTGGTATAATTTGTTTGTAACATATTCAAGTAAGTTCTGCAGTGCTCTCACACTATTCAAAACAGGGCAAATGCTTACTTTGTTCTCTTTTNTAAAGTTGGGGTGTTTGCCGTTTCCAACAGGTAGTTTGAAGAGTGGCACATGCACGAAGGGGATGGGGGAGGGAAAGCTTTATTTTCCCCTTTTTAAGTTGGCAAAATGTCAGAGAGGCCCTCCCCTTTAGGGCAAAGTACATCTCAACTTATTTTGTTGCTGATTGCAGCATGTTTAATTTAGCACAAGAGAAACCAACCCCGAAAATGGAAATTCAATTGTTTCGATTCAACACTTGAGAAATTTAAGCAGATGCTTACAATAAACTGACTATTTCAGCAAAGTTAACAGAATAACCCATAATAAGTATTAAAGAAGTACATCTTAAAGAAACGTCCTCCTATCAAGTTAGAGGAGAAAAGTTTCACTCACCAAGCACTGTCCAGTAGCAGGGTCACAATCATCAGAATGTCCATTGCAGTTACACCGCTCACACTTTCCAAGATAAAAGTCCCCTGATACATTCACTCTGTGATAGCCCCTGGCACAACGCTGTTTTAAGATAAATGATAACACGCTGAACAACAAAATATATAATACTGGGTATCTAGTGCTGGTGTGATCTCCTTACATAAGGAGCAAATGATTGTATTATTTTAACAAGATTAACCTCAAGTTGGTATAATTTGTTTGTAACATATTCAAGTAAGTTCTGCAGTGCTCTCACACTATTCAAAACAGGGCAAATGCTTACTTTGTTCTCTTTTCTTGCTCTCGGTATAATGCTGTTGCAAGTACCAGCAAGAACGGAAGATGCGTTGACAAAATACCATTTAAACTTTCCACAAAACTCAATTTCTCCCGCTCTCCCAGTCCTTCACGAGAATAGACTCCTCAGGGGAGGAGCATGGCAGCTCATTTTCCGAAAAGCAGCTGCTAATCGAGCCTAACTCGCTGTTTACAAAAACCATTCCTGTAAACAGTCTCCTCCAGTTCTCATCACCATTTCTGCTCCCTGAGGGTCACCACGGCAAGTATGCCTTTATTATATTAACATAAATCATTTTAATGATATAGAACCTCAATCACCATAACATTTTTCCCGAAGAATGGAAGTTGTTTAGAACTATGGTAACTATTTTTTAAAACTCACTTACCTCACAAGACAATCCAGAATATCCCTGTCCACAGTTACACTGCTCAACATCGTAAGCTCTGCCCGCAACAGATGGTGCAGGACCTACATCAGCGACTTTGAAGTCACCAAGACTGCAAACAACATTGTTCTTTAGTTTGTGCTTACTGATAATAACATGCAGATTAACATGCAAGTGACAGGATAATATATTATTAGCATTTTGGAGTTTAGACCAGTTCTAATGCATTTGTTGAAGACTTACTTATCCCTGGTTTTCACCTTTGTGACAAGGCAAGGGAATTACATTGTTTTCACATATCCAGTTGAACCTCTCTACAACGTCCACTTTGGGGACAGAAGAAAGTAGCCATCGTAGAGAGGTTGAAACAACAGTGAATGTTAGGACTATCTGCCAAAAAAAAGGCAGTTGCGTAGAGGTGAGAGTTTGACTGTATTTCAAATGGAGTTTCTGGATATGTTGCCCTCAGCTTCACAAAATCAACTGATTCCCTTGCGATGAGTCAATAAGAGCTTATTGTTTAACTCTTAGAATAATATTTTATTATTTTTATTTAATTTAATTTATAATAACATTTTTCACATTTAAATGACCTGTAAGTACTCTCAACATAATATTCCAGAATGTAAAATGTATAAACATGCAAGTCAAATGCAAATTATCCTAGCTCAATCTACCTCGTAAGGTAGAAACCTTGTCCGTCAGAGTAAAATGATGCTGTTATATGTAACCCTTGAAGTTTTGCCAAGACAAGAAGAAACTCTTCCCTTGTCACTGGTGTGGAACTTCCACTATAAGACCAAGAACTCTGCAAAAAAAAATAAAGAAAACAAAAGATGGTTTGAAGGTGAAAGACATAAAGTACACATTCAGCTTCATGTACATATAATTTAAATACCTACCTCTTTCATCAATATTGTTCTGGTGGCTACTTGGTCAGCTGGCACAGACATTAGAGCATGCTCAATTGAGATGTTTTTGACTCCCTGTAAAAAAAATTGTGAGAACTCATTCGATGAAAGTCAAATAACCAATGCCCTGCAGATGCTTTAATAATAAAACCCTGACCATTCTGCAGACTATAGCAGCATTTGCAGACAAATAAATACCAGGTGTAAATTAAAGTGTGTAGATGAAAGTCACAGGCGAGCAAAATACCCAGAAAATTATACCACTTCACCTTCTTTCACAACATACTACCCTTTTATTAGGTGAAACATGGACTCAAAAAAAACTTAGACCCATGATCCTTCACTATGTATCTTTCATTTGCTCCACTACTATTAACATGATAACCTGACTTTACCTTCAGAATAACCTTTGGTTGTGATAAGTGTAGTGTTCCATTTAATAACTCCTTGAAATACAATTTGAAACTCAGGTTTCCACCATAAGCATCAACCTAAAAACAGTCAAATGATTATATGCAGAAAATGAATGTCTTCCTATGCAACAAAAACAACAACAGCAAAATGATGAAAAATTCCCAGGCAGATGTTTCGAACAAGATCTGTCCAGTCAAGTTTGAGACAATTTTTTTCAAAGAATACCTGCTTGAGCATGTAAAAAAACCTCTGAGGTGTAATCTTACCAAACTGTGATCAGTGAAGTTTGATGCTGCTTTCCAGTAGAGGGTCTCATTGGTTGAGATGTTTGCAGCAATCATTCTCACATTCTACAAACATAAAGCAAGATACATGTATTATACAGATGGTGAAGTGTCAATCACATTGAGATACAACTGTACAAAAGTAACCTGCCTGCAAGTCAGGACTGATTCCTTGTCTGGGCCCCAAATGGGCTCAACGAATTACCAGAAGTGCAATGGTTTTTTTAACAGACCAACCATGTCACATACTCAAGTTGTGGTAAAAAAAGGGGGGCAAGAACAATTAATTTGGTGCTTGCTTGTAGACGGACTTAGCAAGAGGTTTTGTTTCATAATGTGCCACAGGAACTCTGTATAAGAAATACACTATAAAAAACATCAACACAGGTGACTTATTAACATTAATAGAAAATCCAACAATGAAAAACTTTACCATGACAGAAACTTCAGATAGTTGAACAGAGCTCTGAAAACCAGCTGCTGATACCAAACTCCAAACACCAAGGTCAACCTCTCTCTATGGCAAAGAAGATGATAGTTTACAGAAGAAGTCAAAGATGAATCAATGCTTGAAAAAGGACTCTTGGAAATCATGGTTCAATTTTTAACAACCTCTTCAAGTCTTTCAGGAATTACCAGCAACTTTCAAGAAAAAAAAAACTAACAAATAATAACAACTACCTGTGTTCTATAATCCATTGTGCTACTGCAGTTTGAACTGATTCCCATGCAGACACAGTTTGTACATCCCTGGGGATTACTACTTGTCAGATAGAAAAATCCACTCTTACACTCATTACACAGCAAACCAGCAGAGTTGTTCTGAAGAAAAATTAAACAACAATGATAATAAAAGAGATGAAGTAATCAAGGTGCAAAGAAAGTCACTTTTAAAGCCTGCCCAAAGGGAAACTCACCTTACAAGGGCACTGACCGGACGGCTTATCACACACTTCACTCAGACTACCTCTACCATCACAGGAACAATTTGAACAACCCTGACTGGAGAAATTCTTATAGCCATCCATACACTCTGAACACTTATCTCCCTGCACTCCTGGCTTACAGCTGTCAAACATAAACAGAAATATGTGAAGAAAGGACATCTTATCTTAAGTCAGCAACGAGAGCTGGCCTTCAAGCTGAGCATCTTACACAAAAAGATCCTTCCGCATACTTGTACGTCTATCCAGCAGCTTTCTATAAATTATCACTCGTTTTAATTTGCTTCTTTCTGTTTGTTTGGATGGTCATTACAGTTGTGTAAATGTCAGTTGAAAATATTAACAGGATTCCCAGATTGTATGATTGTTCTAAAAAATAATTTAATATTTATATATTTTTTGTGTGGCTGAATTGGGAAAATAAAGAGGCCTTGATAAGGATGGCATTCAAAAGTCTCACAAAGAAAGGCAACTTTAGCATGGGGTTTCAAGAGTTTGAGATGATCAGTAATTCACTTTACCTGCAAATTCCCGAGGTGAGATTACACTGGAGATTACTCGATCCAATTGTACTGCAGTTACATGCCTATTAAGGAGAAATAAATAAATACATTACAGTAATCTGAGCAATTCCAACAGATCGAGGCAGCATGATGGAGCCTGGGTTTAGGAAGCTACACCACTACAACTCTGCAGTCCTTATCTGGCTGCTAGCTGGAGTTGTTCTTGGTAGTCCTGAATTCAACTCCTTATCCTTAAAATGGCCCAAATGACCATACACAAATGGAAATGCGAGCAACATGAATTGTCCTTAACAGTGTTTAACCTCGCCTAATTAAATTACATTTAGCCATATTAGGCAAATCAGGCCAGTTGGCATTCTTACTTGTTAAGTTTCTGTCTTTATCTGTGGAACAATGTGAACTACTGCATCACCATTGGGCATGTCAAATTGGAAGAAGATAAATACATTACCTGACAACCAACAGTTTCATTCCATCCCCAGTAAGTGTAGTTACACTGGCCACATGTACGACCCACAGTGTTAGGAGGACACACGCATTGCCCAGTGCTGGAATCACAAACTTTGTTTTCTCCATCACAACCACAAGCTGAAAAAAATTAGCAAAACAAATTTTCAGTCAGTCATTAAGCTTTCAAAAACAAAAACATATCACTCAAAAAAATTAATATTCCATCCTGTAGTTTAGTATTACTCGATCATCTGATTGACCAAGGTGCATTGTAAACCAGTTATCCACTTTTTCACTGGTGCATGATTAACTAAACATAGAGACAACTATACCAATCCCCAAAAACTAGCTAATCACTTTAGCCCAGGTGGCAGCTACAAATAGCAGGTCACAGGTTACAGGTCACAAGTCACTGTTCCACGGCGAATAAACAACACTAAAAATGTCTGATATTAGCCCTAATCACAATCTGAAATCTAAGGGGAAACTACTTATCTCAGTTTCATATCTATCAATAGAGTGCCACTGACATGCACTTGTGACCTGTGTTTTGTAGCTGCCAAAGCCCCAGGCCATCAAATGGAACCTTCATATTGTCTAATTGCACTGTAAAGAGTGAGTTTTCAATGTGTATAATAACTGCAAGTGAGACAACTAACTTATTCAGATTTTAATATCTTACCTGAACAACCCTGTGAGGAAAAATTATAGAATCCAGGAATACACTGGTTACAGGTCCTTGCCGTTACTCCAGGCTTACAATGACACTGACCCCCGTACTTCTGACATGTACTGTTTACTGAACCAGTTCCATCACACTCACATGCTACAAGCAATGATCAAGCAAGAATAACAGAAATATTTAGTTACAGTCATGTAGCAATGTAAGAAAAAGTATGCAAATAATTATACATTTAGTGAATGTGACAACTGTATTCTAGAAGTCTATTTTCCCATGGGCCATAATACACTCTATTTGCCCCCCAAATTTAACATGAACGATTGCTGTCAAATTTTGCTGGAATGGTAGGGCTGCATATTCCCAACAACGTTTGAAAACAATGAATTGTGCAAAATTTGGAGGGTGAACAAGGTGTATTATTGGGGGTTTAAAAACTAATAAAATACATAAAATTATAAATAAGACATAAAATCTTGACAAAACTTAACTTCTGAAGATTCTACCAAGATCGCTCAAGATATACTGTAGTTTAAAAATAAAGATCATTCTATAATATTTCAATTTCTGGTACATGATGAACTTACGCAAAGCTCTCCCAAGATAACTGACTACAAGGGAGAAAACTTGTGCAAGGCAAAACTCTTCCCTGTCAGTCCCAACTCCCATGTCATTGTCTATGACCGAACAGTTGGCCAAGAAATCCTCTCCTGTTGAGTTCTGAAGTATTGATGGCTGATAAAATTCTCGTGGTAAGGCCACTATCTTGAGTGCTGTAAACTGAGTTACAGATGCTCCATAGGTCACATTTACAACAACTGAACCTCTGAGAGACATTTCTCCAAACAGTGTTGACAAGTTGAAATAACAGCGCTGAGGACAGCTACTGAGGGACACCTCAGCAGATCTAGATCCTGTACTGATTTCTACAACAACACTTGAAGCACTCGTGTAGGAGAGAATAAGAGTAAACAAGCCACTGGACCTAACTCCTTGAACAATGTTCACTGTTGTTGTCCACGTTTTATTTCCCTACAACACAAAAAATTGAACAATATTGTGGATAATGTCATTGGGTTTTTGCCAGCTAATGTTGGGATACATCGGCATGTTAGCATCAACAATTAAAATAATGTAAACCTGATAAATGCTCATACCTGTTGGGATGTAACTATATGTGAGCTTGCACTACTGATGAAGTGCAGAGTTGGGTAGTAGAATCCATCTCGAGGGCTAACAAAAAAAAAAGAAACACATCCTTTAATTAACAAGTTGACTTAACCGCATTACATGCTAAATGGAGGTTGGTGTACACTGGAGGCCAGCCAGTCAGCAGCCCCTAGACCCCTGAGTGCCACTCCCATGGAGAGCAATCCCTACAACCAAGCCATCAGTTGAGCCACCATGGAAGGCATCCAGGCACCCATCACAAAAACTTGACAAGCGATAGAAACAGGGAGAGAAGGGGGAGAGGAAGGAGAAAACTGGACTAGGACAATGCAATATGGTTGGTGAAGCTACAGGCACCCTGTCAGGGCTCCATCACTAAGATTTCAAGTTGCTGTGCATATGCAATTAGTAAATGAGTAAGGGAATGGCTAGGTAGCTGGGAAGCTCCTTTGGCTCTATTTTCCTTTTGTTTCCTGTAAAGTAGCCAGGAGTCATGCTCATAGTAACTGGGGGAAATCTCCAACCCCTGGCCATTCCTGAAAGTTGTGTACTGTTACACAGTGCATGCTTCAATATGACTCAGGCATGACCCAAGGGAGAAACTTGTACAAAGGTCATCTTACCAGTGATGACTGGTAAATGCTCTTTGAATGGATAATACAAGACAATAATAAAACAAAACTATTATATGTACTTTATACATGTATTTCATATTCAGAGTTATTTCAAAAGGTAAAACTAAATTGACTACATGCACTTTGCAACTCATTTTAATCTTAAGAAACAGAAATAAAGCAGCTAGTTCATCCTCCTCAAAATTAATTGGGTACATGTACTTTTTAACTTCTCGTTATTTTGTTCATTTATTTTTAGATTCATAGTTATGCTTCTCACCTGTTACACTGTCGCTGAGTTATGTTCCCTTTGCATTCACACTGACCAGTTGTCTTATTACATACTGGACCATATGAACCCCCAACATCGCAGTCACACTCTTAAAAGAGAATTGAATTTAAGAATTACAGCATTATTACATTTTTAAGATGGTGTCATTTATACATTCTTTTGTTTTAGTAAAGGAATCCCCTTTTACAACTACACTGTACTGAACCCAGTCACCACTTTTGACTTGCTAACAGAAAATAATTCTATTAAAGCCATCTTGTTAAAAACACCTGCAAAATATTACATGTATTAATAAGCACCTTTGTAATGCAGTAAACTGCAGTAGTTCTAAAAGCTCACAAGTCAGATAGCAGATGAGGGAATAAAGGATAGGTTTCCTTCCATGCCCAGATCAGCACTAATTCCTTTAGCATATCAGGATGCCAAACTTCTAAATTATCGACCAGCGCATATTCAGAGAGACACCGACTAAATTCTTCTGTATAACCCACACAGCTGACTTTATTCATTTCACAAAGGACAAGTACCTGAACAGCCATTCATATTATCTGCACTGAGGCCATAAAACATGTCTTTACAACTTAAGCAGCGGGGTCCTTCAACATTCTTCTTACATGTACAGCGACCATGTATATCAGGTTCACAAACATTGGATCCATTCACTGTTCCAGGCTGATGACAGGTACATTCTAAAATTACAAAGAATGCAATATTAAAACCCCAGTTCCTCCTCTTTCCTTCCACCATTTAACCACTCAGACAACCATTCACATAAAAGCCAAATAAAACTTTTCTCCTGTAAGAAAAGAGAACTGTCAGGTAGATATTTTCTAATAATGACATCAGTCAGTGTACTGCACTCTTTGTTTAACACTCGAGGTTATGCATTGCACTCAGCTGCGGTAAGTAACAATAATTAATTAACAATATATAATCATATCATATTATTACCTTGACACCCCTCAGGATTTTCTGCTGATAAATTGTGGTAACCAGGTTTACAGAGGTCACACCGTCTTCCCATGGTGTTGTTTTTACAGATACAGTCACCAGGTCCCTGAAAAAATTCAGTGCAGCCTACTATGACCCCAGATGTCTTTATGTACATGTTGTGGTTAAATTTTATCCTTGGCCTACACTTTATTTTCCTTCATTTTGGGGGTATGGTAATGTATGATAATGAGTTTGAAACAATAAGAAAAATAAAATTTCAACCAAAGATAAAAATTATTAACCACAACATATATTAATGTAATAATATTTACTCCCTGGGCAGCTATGTTGAATACATTAATTAAGAATTTTGAGAGTAAGATTTTTTTAATGAAGTAGGTAGCACTTTGAAGACAAAATAGATTAAGCTGCAAGCTCTGTTATGAGTCCCTGTTAGGGGTGTAGGAGGGGGTATGCATGTCTCTAGTCTAAATTACAAAAGCTGTTGTTTATCGCATTGAGGAGGAAGCAGAAATTTTACTTATGTATTTGAGATCTTTCTCCTTGCTATCACAGTTTCAAACCACCCTTCCGTCATTTCTAACTACAGGGCTTCTGATAGGTCGCGGAAGAAAAAGTAAAATTTCGCGGGATTTTTAGGGACAAATTCGCGGAAAAATCGGCCGATTTCGCAGGAGTTTTCGGGGCAAACTTCACTAAAAAGCAATCGGTAAAAAACGGCCGATTTTGTGGCTGTTTTCAGGGCAAATTTCGCTAGAAATCGATCGGTTTTGCACTGATCAGACCAGCATTTTAACGTTTTTCTAACAGAGGTCATCCTTTGCTCTTTCAACAACAATATGTTCCAGAAATGAACCAATGGCAAAGCCTTTAACATCATGGCTAGTGCCCAGTTTTTCGCAACATAATCTATGCCTGGTGGTTTCAGGACGTTTCAGTGATGAAGTTCCAAGATAAATTTGCACGTTTACGGCAAGTAAATAGCCCCTATAGCTGAAATAAGTTTCAAATATGTCGTACAGACATGTATTTGATAAGATTTCTTCCGAATTTTGCAGTATTTTTCGTGTTTTTGTGAATTTCGCAGGATTTCACGGATTTACCTGAATCTCGTGGCTCCGTGACCGCGCGAAATATCAGAAGCCCTGTAACTGCTTCATTAAATTTTGTGCTTATGTTGCGGTTTCAAGCCCATGTCACTTGTCCGAATTTTTACCTTAAGTGGGTCTCAAGAATACACAAATGCGTGATCAGAAAGCAGGAGCACTGGACAACTTACCAAGGTTGTGCTCTAAGGGATATCTTCCTGAGGTAGGCTAATTATTTTACCGGTACAATTCAATGAAGGTATTTGGTACAATTTATGGATTTTCTTTTGTTTTTGGTTTTTTTTCACTTCATTATCATAGCTTACCATTCCAGGATGAGGGGGAACAACTGTGTCATCTCTTATACAGTCTCGATACAAAACTCCTGGGAGAGTTACATTTCTAGTTCCTTCAACACTGCAATTACACTCTGTCCAAAAAAACAACAAAAATATTACTGCAGTGAAAGAGCTACAAATTTCAAAAAGTAATGAACATTACTAAAATAGCTCTAAGTGTCGGTGAAATAACATTCTTGATCTCTTGTTCAGCCATCATGTTAATGAAAATATTTAGTTAATATAACCCTTAAAGGACACGACCACACAACATTAATTTTTTTATATACTTGATCTACTTCCCTCCACTATTTATATAGGGAATGTATAGGGGTGACAAATGAGAATTTAAATTTTGATACTCTTGATAGGGTCCAAAGTGTTAGGGCCCCAAGGGACTACTGATCTAATTTCAAATTCTCCTGTTGAAGATACAAGGTAATACAGAAGGAGACTCTATAACATTATAACAGCGTGCAAAAAAAGTAGTGTCTGATAGCCTAGGGCTAGTGGATTTTGTTATTGGGCTAGTGAATTCTGTTTTTAACTTGCCCGACGGGCAAGTGATGTTTTTTTAGGAATTTGAATAACAGAAAAACCGTGAAATCAATTCTGCTAGTCAAAAGGTTTCGGGGGCTAGTTGAAATGACATCTGGGCTAGTAAATGCTAACTTCAGCTTGCCTGAATGGCAAGCTGTAAAAATGATTTTCTTTGTACCCTGTATACACCAAAACAATACTATCAAATCTTTCAGGGGCTTTTTCTCGACCAGAAGCTGGTATCTACATTCTGCCTCAGTTTCAATTTTTAGCCTTCTTTGCACAAAAATCATGTGAATGGTTCAGTGAAATCACTGTCAGACGCACTCCCCTAATTTTCAGTTACTACTAGCTATTGTTATATAATTTTTACATAGTTATTTTTGACAACTGTATATAATGAACCTAGCAGATGTTCTCAAAAATGTTTGGAAAACATGTCAGAAAGACTTCAAAAACTTTGTCAAGTGACAAACACTGTAATGCAATCTCCACTGTAACTGGACTACCTTGACAAGCATCTTTGTCCCAGCGAGATTTATTGCTTGGTCTGAAGAAAAATGGTGTACACTTTTCACAGTTGATTCCTTCAGTATTATCCTAAAGGAAAGAAGAGTTATTTAACAGTTAACTTATTAGTTTTCATGATCCAGCAAACTGTAATATACTTTCAAAATGCATGTATGTGTTAGTTTTTATTACCTGGCAGTTTTGACAGACTCCTCCACCAGAATAATTTCCATGAATGTCTAAGCTCTTATTCATCTGAGCGACAGTTTCATTATATACACACACTGCACTATGGTTGTGACAGTTGCAACCTGCAGAAAAATAAAACAATTTAGTTTGCTTTGACACCAGACCCAAATGTACCTTACTTAACACTGGAGAGAAAAGAAAATATGTCTTATTTTAACAAAGTTAAAATAAGTAGTTTTGATAAGTTGGCAGCTGAGCTGACAGCTGAGCTCACCAGTTACTCGATGTTACCTGTGATCAAAGTGGAAAGCTCAAGAACACACTAATAAGTGCTTTCTTCAGAAATGTCATAGTTGAAACCTCACTTGCTACCACACACTGCTTCATAACTTACTAACAACAGCCCAGGAGTGTAACCATGATCACGACTGTTGATGACAGTGACAAGTGTTTTAGAAAACCTGTGCAAAAGTCTTATTAGAGTCAAAGTTATTTGTCTATTGTCAGTTCTCTTTATGGTAACAATTATCGTTGACCTGGGCCCGTTTTCTGAAAGGGAGATTAGTCCTAATCAAGGATTTAAAATGTTGATCTGTTTTTGTATTTTTCCTTCCTAAGTATTACTTAGAGTAACATTTTGTGCTATCATTACTGCATCTTGGAGTAAAGGCCGAATTGTCTTTTTTAAGCTGTGACAGTTGCATGTTCATAGACAAGAAAACCTTGCTTAAACTTTGGCTTAATCCTGGGTTATTCTTAATCATCTTTCGAGGAACCGTGCCCTGATTGGTCAGTTATTATCACGATGTCTGTCAGTCAAGCCTTGACCTTCAAGACCCTAACCGCAAGTGTAAAAAATGAACGTGAACTTGGATTTAAAAATGCCAAAAGTAAGGTTACAACATACGCTGACATCTAGCATCTGGGTCAGCTACAAGAGGGCCTTTGTTTCCACGTTGCCATGGATACTGATTGTAAGCAGGACAACAGGTTCCGCAGTCTAAGCCGCATGCACCTTCCTGACATGTGCACTGATTATCTCCAAGTGTGGCATTATAAACACACTGCAATCCATTTCCTTGTCCATTGCACAAGCAGTAGGCATCAACCTCAACTTCCCGTACAGCATAGTGGTGCTGTTTAAGAAAAAAACAGTACACCCTTTTAACCCAAAAAGTGACCAGCATTTTTACTTTCTTCTTAAAATATCACTGCTTAAGAGAATTATCACCAAGTAAATACAAAGCTAATAGCTGGCAACTTCACACCTGTAACTCTTTTCTGTTCAACAAATTCTCATCATCAAGCACAAAATAATTATGTTAATGGGTACCAGTGTGCTGAGATTAGGGTTCAGAAGCTTAATAGTAAGGTTGGCAAAATTTTTTAACTACAGTTTAGTTTTCTTGATGATAAAAAGTCTCTGTATTACAACAGAACACATAAAGGTTAATTATCATTATTATGATTCATACCCATCTGACAGCCAGACCGTCAAAGATCCGTCTCAGTGATAAAAAGTGCAAACGGACATTGGTCACATTCATCCAATCCTAAAATAGTTTAAAATAAACAAAACAGTTATACAAAATATCATCATGTGGAAATTTCTTTACAACCGATGATTATTTGAGTCACTTGAGTACTTTATTATTACAAGAAGTCGATACATGTATATCAATATGCATATGAATTTTCTCATGAACCAGCAAAAATTCAGATCAACAATGCTCATCACATCAACAATGGTTCACTGAATGTTCGTCGACACAACTGGTACAAACGATTTGAAATGCTTCCAATGGATCAGTATATTTTGGCATTTTTGGGATTGGCTTAAAGAATGACTACATTGTTAGGCAATCTTAACAGCTACAGTTTTTTCTCCCTCTTACTAGAGGATTATTGGTCTCCTGACATTAGAACTTCAGCTCTCAAAACAACAGTTGTGCCTTAATTATTAGGCTGCAGAGGGGCTGGTAAATTTTCTTATGAGTCAACCCTCCCACTTGCAATCATTTTAGTCACCATGGTGCCTAAAATTTTGAAGCTGGCAACTTGATTTGTAAAAAAGTCTCCAATGGTCACCAAATGGCGACCAAGCAAAAACTTTAACTTGGAGGGCTGCTCTGAGTGGTTGCATACAACATCAAAAGGACATTTCTACAAACCAGTAGATCATTGGACGGATTATTAACATCTCCCCTGGGACCAACCAACAGTAAGGATATCTGGGAAGAAAGGTAGAGAACTTTATGAGCATAGTAAATTTGATAATACTACTACTACTACTACTACTACTAATAATAACAATAGTGTTCATTAAGAAGACAAACAAGAACTGTCAAATTATATATAAGGCAATTCCAGAGGATGGATGGGTGAGAGAAAAGGAAGATGAAAAAGTTGAGAAGTATCTTGTGAGAGAGGTTTGAAAAATGTGAGGATGTGACAAAGGTGATTCTGGTGGTAAGGAGGACATTAGGATCAGAACCAATGAATGTGAAAAACAACCTGAAGGTTATTGATGTGGAAATCTCTGTGAAAATGATAAGATATGGCAAACATTGCACTTAATTTAAACAGTCAAATTTAATTGATTCAAACATCGCACTTCACATACATTTAACTCTCGTGTTAAGTTCGGCACATGTGAAATTCAATGTTTGAACCAGGCCTTAGTCTCCTCTTGCCTTATTGGCTTTCTTCTTACATTATGTTACACAACAAAATTCCACAAATTAATGTCTCTGGTGATCAAGGTTTTGCAAGTTTCATAGCAGAACAGGCCAAGTCCCATCCAGCAGTCCACGACAAGTAAATTTTTTTGCTGGGCATCTAACTTTTAAAGCTTACTTGCCAGCAGTGGGCAGGTGTCCAAGCAAATCATCCTAGCAACAAAATCATCAACTAAGACGAGTAACAAATGGCCCCAGAAGCAAAAAGTGAGAGCTGCTTGCCCAAAGGACAAGGTCAAATTAAAGTTTTTACAAGCCCATGTAGAAGTTAAAAAGAGATCAAATTCACACTAAAACAATATGCTAAGAAGGTAGTGACTGATAGCCCAGGGCTAGTGGATTTTACTATGGGGCTAGTAAATTCTGTTCTTAACTTGCCCAATGGGCAAGTGAGGTTTTTTGGGGAATTCAAATTACAGAGGAATAATTTGTAATCAATCTTGCTCATCGAAAATTTTTTTCAGGCAGGTTGAAATGACTTTTGGGCTACTACACGTTAGCTGCATCTTGCCCAAATGGCAAGCTATAAAACTGACTTTCTTTGCACCCTGCTAATAATTTATATCCAAAACAAAAAAGAATATGCTCAATAATTGAACCACCCTGCCAGGAGAGCCTTTTCTTCGCTTACTTAATTTTGGAGTACTCAAGAAAGACTCTGCATGTATGAAGTAAGATCTTTGTTGAGCATGCGTGACCTGTCGCTAGGATGTAGTTTCGAACTCAAGCCTAATAGCCCTGTGCTTGCTACAGCGGGTTCAGTTAAGACCATCGGTTTATCAATAAACGGATGCTCGCACTCAAACAAACCACTTAGACAAAAGAAAACAAGATTAACTGGTCCAGAAGTTTGGGCTGCGGCGACCTTGCGGGTTTGATGTGATTCAGGCAGAGTCTGCACGTCTCCTCCTCGATCAAGAAGACAAAAGGAGGCTCTGCTCACAGGTGTGATGATGATGATGATGATGAAACTTTATTAAGGTGTCTAAAGAAGCTTCCTAGCTTAGGTTAAAAACCTATGCTAATTAGGGGACACAAATTAAATAAATATAAATTAGAGTAAAAAATATTTAAATATAGGCGCAGGTATAAAAAAATTAATGACATTAACAATATTTACAGTATGACAAATGTGTCTATGAATTGCAGAGATGACAACACTTGCATCCATTATCCATTAGTGTAACTATATCTAATGTACGTATTTTGTTTTTGAAACATTTTAAGGTGGTAACTTCTCTCAAGTCTGGGGATAATTTTCGCCAGAGATTGGACCCCAAGTGGCGGAGGGAGCGCTTGCCATATGTGTAAAAAAACACAAGGTGCTCACTCAATAGGATTTGATAAAGGCGTCTGCTCAACCTTAAATATAAAGTGGCTGTGACAAACGGAGGGACCATAAACTAGGGAGGGAAAGGAATAAAAAAGCATGCAAACTAAGCAGCTACAAATTCCAAAGTAGGCAGCGACCAACGTCAGGCGCTGGCCTCTATTGAGAACCCTGAGAACATACCACATCATTCTTATCAACAGCTTCTGATGTATATTCCATACAAAGGACGTCATTTACTGTAGTTGGTTTGGTCTTATATGTCACACCAAACTTCTCCTGACAATCATCCACATTTGAAACAAAATAATGCCATGGCTCATAGCTCTGACCATAATCGCTAGACTTGTAGAATGCAAGTTGGCCAGGTCGGTAGTATTCACCAAATCTTATGACTAACTGGTTCACATAGTAAAACTAAAAAATGAAAAATAGTAATTTATTAGCACGCTCACAAATCAATTTGTAACTCAGTAGCTGCATAAGTACCAATGCAAACATTTCTCCTACTGTCCTGACGAGTGCAATGACTGATATTTGAAAACCAATCGATAAATGGATAACTATCACTAATCATTTTTTGACTGATACAAATTGCATTTCATCTTCAGTGAAACCACCCTATACACTTGTACTGACAAGTGGACCGCAAAAAATCTTACGTCACTTGGAAATAGGGATGGTAAAGTTTGATGATGCTTCTGTCCTGTTTCATTTCTCTAATATTAATAAGGTTTCAATAAAAGGTCTGTTTTGGGCATTAAATTGTGGTCCCCTCAGTGTGTGTCTTAACACAGGGTTCCACGGTATGGTCAGAGCCCTTGGTTAACACAAGTTTAAACCAACAGTGATACAACAGTTACTAGCATAAGTTATATTATATTTAGGATAAAAATGAGGGTGCTGTATTTGAACGTGATTCCCATGGTAATAGACAAGGAAGCATGCCATCCGATACAAGAAAGACAACAGAGGAATTTGGCAAGGATCAGCTAACGGTTGTATGAATTCCTTCTGGGTTTAATCCTGAATTTCTCCCCATGAACGATACAGAATAAATCTTTTTCTATAAACTCACATTCACATAGCAAACAAACAACAAAAATCCTGCAAAGAACACGAAGTTTGGTTATTTTCGTTTGATTTGAAAACCTGCGCGCGAGTTTATGCATCTGCGAAGAATTTCAATTCGAATATTAACTCTGGTGGCGCTTACCTTTTGATAATTTCCTCTCAGATCAATTGTAATAGATGTTTTATCTACAGATGCTGGAGACTGCCACCACGTTGCAAAATTTCCATCAACCATATTTGACGCGTTATGCGATACACCAGGATTGGAAGCATTGCAGCAGTCACAGACGGAAAGCTTTCTCAACCTCAGTGGTTTGGAGCGTTCCACGACGCTATAATACGTTTCCGCTGGAGATCCACAAGTTGCATTAGCTTTAGTGGGCTTGAAAAGAGCAACATTTGCGGCCTGAGTATCGAGGGAAAGAAAGCCAACAGTTAACAACGAGCTAATCAAAACAGTCGGCCACATCGCCATCTTGTGGTTTGATGTTTGATCCGTTGAGACGCTGGTCGCTGCTAAGGAAATGACATTTGATACCTTGCATAAATTATGCAAATAAATCTTTTGCATAAATGCTAACGGTCTCTTGCAAAAATAACAGTGACGTATCTGCTTACAAAAGTAATCCGTTTTACATTTTGCATCTGGCTTGCTAGAAATCTCTTATTTTGTTCAGAGTCACCGGGGTAGCACACGTGAGCCGCGATAAACGAGGGCGAGGGCGGGCGAGAAAGAAAAATTGGACCAGAAAAATGAGAAAAATACGTTTTCTGGTCTCGCCCCAGTCCGGTGTTAGCTAAAAGTTTAGTAGCCTGTTCCAGGCGTTCAGATAGTGGGGAGCGGTGCGAAGTCAAAAGAAGCGCGAAAAAATAAAAGCGAGGGAGGAGGAGAGGTGAGAGAGGGAACGCCTGTAAGATTTGTTTTTTAAACTAGTAGAGTCTTCTGCCCACTCAGACACTGTATTGCCAACACAGGGGCGTAGCCAGGATTTTTCAAAGGGGGGGTCACAGAGGCTACTCACCCGCTGCTCTTCCTCGTGTATCAGCGGGTTCAGTCGTATTATCGCGGCATGAAGGCCCATATTAACTAAAGACAAGAGCCGTTGATGAAAATACTTTACAATGGCTTTTACGGCCAAGATATTGTCATGGCGTTTTCGCCACCTGAATATTGTAGGTTGTTTGCTCAAAAGAAGGCCTATCAAGGGGGGGTCAGGGGCACCCCAGGACCCCCCCTAGCTACGCCCCTGCAACATCAGCAGAATAGGCATGAGTTTCAGAGAGACCACATATCCTAGTAAATTGGGAAGGTCGGCAAAGTTACTACACTTTTTTAAAGTGGTGTAAGAGAAGATTGCGGAAACTATCGACCCTTATAACAACGCTACGGATTCCCAACCTCGCCCAGGGCACTTCTCCGGAAGCCAGGGAAAAGCGCCCCGGGGACGACGAGATTGAAGTATTCCCAGCAAAATAACAGAATCGGTCATATGTGAATCTTTAGATTCACACTTAAAATACGTTTTGCTACGGGACCAGTACAAGTGGGCTTACAGAAAGAGTCTATCTTCAAAGTCATTGTCAGTATACCTCACAGTGAGGTGAAAGCTATTCATAGACAATGGCAAAGTAAAATAAATTGGATCAATTTTTATTGATTTTAGAAAAACCTTTGATTCCGAAGACCATGATATCCTAGGCTAAAAGTTGCAAGCCAGCGACATAACTGGTCACGCCTTTGGGAGTGGTTACTAAGTTATTTAACAAATCGCCATCAGTTTGTAGAAAATCAGTGGTACCAAGTCAGACCATCGTAAAGTTGAGTATTGGGGTTCCTCAAGGTTCCATTGTGAGCCCGGGACTCTTTTCAATTTATGTTAACGACTTTCCGCAATCAATATCGCAAAGTGAATTCGTCTGTATGCTGACGACACTACAGCTTTTGTCATTAGTGATAGCACCAATGCACCTACTTCCTGTTCAATGTGGAAACACTGCACTTGAATACACGTATTCAACCAAATCTTAGGGCGTAGTAATTGATGGCAGCCTGCTTTGGAGGGACCAAGTCAATGAAATACNCACACTTAAAATACGTTTTGCTACGGGACCAGTACAAGTGGGCTTACAGAAAGAGTCTATCTTCAAAGTCATTGTCAGTATACCTCACAGTGAGGTGAAAGCTATTCATAGACAATGGCAAAGTAAAATAAATTGGATCAATTTTTATTGATTTTAGAAAAACCTTTGATTCCGAAGACCATGATATCCTAGGCTAAAAGTTGCAAGCCAGCGACATAACTGGTCACGCCTTTGGGAGTGGTTACTAAGTTATTTAACAAATCGCCATCAGTTTGTAGAAAATCAGTGGTACCAAGTCAGACCATCGTAAAGTTGAGTATTGGGGTTCCTCAAGGTTCCACTGTGAGCCCGGGACTCTTTTCAATTTATGTTAACGACTTTCCGCAATCAATATCGCAAAGTGAATTCGTCTGTATGCTGACGACACTACAGCTTTTGTCATTAGTGATAGCACCAATGCACCTACTTCCTGTTCAATGTGGAAACACTGCACTTGAATACACGTATTCAACCAAATCTTAGGGCGTAGTAATTGATGGCAGCCTGCTTTGGAGGGACCAAGTCAATGAAATACGTAGGTCATATTGTAATCAAATTAGTATGCTTAAGAAAATGCGGTATCTACTATCCAAGCTTTTGCAAGACGTATATTTCAAGACAATTATTCCGCATGTAACTTTCTCTATTTCAGCGTGGGGAAGTTGTTCTCCTGCTACTTCTTTTTTAATTTCTGTTGGAATTGAAGGCCTGCATCTAAGAGCAGCCATGACAATTCATAGCTTACTTAAGGATATCATGAATTGTGACTTGTTACAGCCGCGTCTTCACTGGCAAAGTCTTGGGTGTATTTATAAACGAAGATTAGCTATTGAGATTTTTGAGATGTTTAAGGCAAAACACACGCTAAATAGGCTGCCTCAACATGTAAAAATTGTGGACTAAAGACGCAAAGGGACGTTGAACAGTCCCCAGAGTGGCTGACCGAGGGTGTGACTTTCCTGATACCAAAGTCCGAAGACACAGAGAACCATAAAAACTACAGGCCTATCACATGCTTACCAACTATGTACAAGGTCCTGACCTCCATCATTACAGAAAACGCCTACACATTTCTCGAAAGTAACAACCTGCTCCACAAAGTGCAAAAAGGATGCCCCCGCAGGAGCTATGGCTGCAAAGATCAGCTCCTCATCAACAAGGCCATCCTTGAGGAGGTGAGATACAAGCGCCGTAATCTCTCCACGAGCTGGATCGACTACAAGAAGGCCTTCGATAGTGTTCCCCACACTTGGATCGTAAAGAGCCTCGAACTCTACAAGATCTGCCCCACTATCACCCGATTCATGCGGGAAAACATGAAGTTGTGGAAGACGATCCTCCACCAAAACCACGATAAGGGCATGATGAAATCCAGACCTATCAAAATCAAAAGTGGCATCTATCAGGGATATTCTTTGTCACCTCTGGTCTTTTGCCTTGCTCTTGCTTCTCTAAGCTCCCTCCTGAACAAGAGTGGCTATGGGTGCAACACCCCCCATGGAAAGATGAGCCACCTCTTCTACATGGATGACCTGAAGACCTACACGCAAAAAAAGACGACGAACTAGCTGGCCTGTTGAGAACCATCGAATCTTTCAGCGACGACATAGGCATGGAGTTGGGGTTGGACAAGTGCGCCAAGGGTCACAATCAAGAAAGGGCGACTAGCCAACTCCAGTAACATCGAGCTCGACGTCAACACCATCATCCAGGACTTAGATCAGGAAGGTACCTATAAGTACCTCGAAGTTAGCGAGGGAGACGGAGTGCAGCGGTCTCAGATGAAAGAGAAGATCCGGAAAGAGTACTACCGCAGGATCCCGATGGTACTCAAGTCTGAGCTTAACTCCGCAAACAAACTGGAAGCCATCAAAGCCTTGGCAGTACCAGTGGTAACTTACAGTTTTAACATCATAAACTGGTCGTTACAAGAGCTGGGCAAACTTGATACAAAGACCAGAAAGTTCCTGACTATGTACAAGATGCACCACCCCAAATCTGACGTGGACAGGCTGTACCTGCCCAGAACTGAAGGAGGTAGAGGGCTCACACAACAGGAGCCTTCTTACAAGTCAACCACTATCGGTCTTGATAAATACCTCCAGGAGACGCACGACACTCTTCTCCACATGACGACAGGAAATCCTTGTACTCCATCAGAAGACAGTCAATGAAGTTCAGTCGGGAACTGGGAGTGCCTGCAATACCACCTGCAGGGGATGAGGCAAACACCAGCCAGCTATGCCCGCAGAACAAAGGCCAAGGCCAAACCAGGGTCGCCAACAGCTCAGGTCCAAGTTGGAATAAAAAGCGCTCCACGGCAAATACCCACAAGGGGTGAAACAGGCTGACGTGGACCAAGACAATACCCACAGATGGCTAAAAGCAGCTGACCTCAAGGCAGAAACCGAGGGCTTTATCGTCTCAGCCCAGGATCAAAGCCTCCCAACACGCTGGTACTAACACCACATCCTCAAGAAGCCTGACGTGGACCCATAATGTAGACTGAGTGGCCATTTCGACGAGACCATTGACCACCTGGTCTCTGCTTGCCCTGAACTAGATAAAACTGAATATATCCACCGCACAATGTGCTAAAGAACAAGAAGGATAAAACCTGCCTTCTCATTGAGATGATTGTACCCCTCGACACCAATACCTCAGTCAAAACCACGGAAAAGCTTAGCAAATACAAATACTTGGAAATCGAGGTTGAGCGCATGTGTGGGCTCAAAACAACAACAGTCCCGTTGGTTATGGGAGCCTTTGGCACCATTAAGAAGGACATGAAAAACTACTCCTACACAATCCCTGGCAACATCAACATACATGAACGCTCAGGCGGGTCCTCTCCATCAAGTAGAAACCCTCTTTGCCTCCCAAAGTCCATGGTCTGGACTCGGATGTTGAGAGAGAAAATCAATCGCAATTACATTAGTATATCTTATATAATAATGATAATAATAATAATAATAATGGTAATAATAATAATAATAATAATATAATGATGATAATAATAATAATTTTTTTAATGAAAAAATTTTATTGACAACAATGCTAACTATTAAAATCCTATTTACAATTAATTCGCTTGAAGAAAAGAAAAAACTATTCATTCAAAACACTATTTACAATTCCTGTCGATTTAAAAAGCACTTAATTTAGCTTAGAAAGAGTTAATTTAACTAAGAAAAATTTATTCGAATTAAAAACATTTCATTTCAATAAAAAAAAAACTGTGAGCCTCTAAAATTCAAAAGTTTCTTTCCACTGTTTTAAAAAATAAAATAAAATAAAATAAAGACAATTAACAAAGCATCTATAGCTGTTGAGTCTAGGGAAGTCCTGCTTGACCCTTCTCTATTTCTAGAAAATAATAAGAATAAGAATAAGAACAAATACTTAATAATAATAACAATAAATATTTAATTATCTACTCCCCTTAGCTTATTGGGCCTTTCAGGGATAATGAAAGAATAAGTCAAATGTTTAAGGATCCCAATTAGTAGGAGGCGAACCAGTTGGCTATTTTACAAGTGTAGCCGAGGATTTGAACTTGGGACTACCATGAAAAAATCCGGCTAGCGGTCAGAGCGGGACTTGAACTCGGGGCTTCCGGATTATAAGTCCAGCGCTCTAACCAGTTGGCCACGCTGCCTCCAATTTATATGTATATTAAGTCTTAGTTACCAACTAGTCATAGAAATTACTTAGTATAATGATTGTACAACGACGTTTGAAGAATATGTATCGAAACGCTTTTTAACGGCCCATTAGCACGCGCACCTTTGGCAACTTACCGGTGCCTTTTGGGCACGGCACTACCGATTCACACGACCGAAAATGATAATACGTTTCCTCGTCTAAGAAGGATGCCAATTTTCCATTGGCACCCCTTTTATTCCATTTGTCTCTTTATTAGAAAGGATGGAAAAAAAATAGAAACCGCGATGGCTATTCCATTCTTCTGCTCATGATAATTTATAGCAAAGTTTCTGTCGTCAAGTTTGACCACAAAAAAAACGCCTGTGCCTCATTATTTGCAACCTCAGAAAAACTGATCGTACTAAATGGATAACCTCGAGAAGGTAGTCTTGGCATCCCTTAAGGCTGGGGCACTAGCAATTGTTTTTTTGATATTGTTGCGTTTACAAGTCGGTAATCGCGAGTGCCATGCCAAAATTTGCCACCACGGTACCAGAAATTTGGGGTGCTGTGCTGATTTCTTTTGCGCGCGTGTCAATGGAGTTTTGAAGTCTGCGTAAAGACTGGAGTCTGATTATGAGGTCCAACTTTGTTGTGCAACTCCTGGCATATTTTACCATCTTTCGGCTCCTGTCACCAATTGAGATGAATAAACACCAGCGGTCAGAATGCTAGATTTTATTGTCCGTATGTGGGAAATGCACGTAAAGTCGTCTCTCTTAATATAGACGCTGATATGCAAAGGTGTGTCAAAGTCTTCACGCCTGATCTTCGATGTGTTTAGGTAACTCACTTCAGTTGAATTTATCAATTTGGACTCTTCTGATCCATGCACTTGTCTTCCCTGGAAGACAATTGGCCTAAAAGTCGCTAATTAAAAGAAGTAAGTCTGTTTCCTTTATGTTAGTGTTTTTAAAATTCAAATATAATGGGACTTTGTTATGTCATTATTTGTTAATGTATTCTTATCTTATTATTGATAGGAGAGCTATTGACCACTCCAGAAAATACCATAACATACCATAATGCCCTTTGTTTGTCACCCCAAAATTTTGCATTAGCCTTGTCTTCAGTTTCTCTTGGGGCCATTTTAACTCCCAAGAGAAACTGAAGACAATGCTTATGCAAAATTTTGGGGCCACAAACAAAGAACATTATGGTATGTTATGGCATTCTCTGGAGTGGTCAATTCAGTTGCATGTTTGTTAGGTTTTAAAAGCTATTTTGTGCTATCTAAATGACTCGAAACCTTCGGTGTCGTAATAACTACATTTTTACAGTTTAAAATATCAGAAATATTCAGTTTAAACTTTGAAAAACAGTTGGTTAAAGATTACCATATCATAGACATTCAAGTCACAATAAGTTTGGCTCGAATAATTATTATTTGAGTCGGATTGCTCAGTAAGAGACGGTGTATCCATATTAGCAACAATTCGCGCACTTACAATCGAAATGTTTCTTTGAAACCTGTCAAGGTACCCAAAACATTTTGTGTCAAGGTCTTCGGAAGCCGTAAGTGTGTTTGTCAGTACAGTGCTTGCCAAAAGGAAAGGAATTTTTTTGTGCTAATCCTCGGGATGGCTTAAATGCCTCAGTGAAAGATCAAATACTACTCTAAAGAACTCAAGTTGTATCGCAAAAGTCGCATTGAAATTGATAAACCAATACGCCGTGCTAATTTACAATAGCTGTTTTGTTGTTGCTGTTGTTTTGAATTTAGTCTCCTACTGGACATTGTTTACAGCGATAATCTCGCATAACCAAAGTAGTGAATTTCACACATACTATATCTCCATATGCGGTAATTATTCACCGAGCTTGGGTGTCCTGTGGTAAGCTTGCCAGCCTTCATGACAGTGAAGAATAGACTCAGAGGAATTTCCATGAGGCTGACGGAAAATTGTAAGTTTGGAAAAACACAGTTTAGTTTATGGAAAGCGTTGATTCCTTTGGGTTTTAATGTTAGTCTGTACCACAACTTTGAAAGCTGGCTTTAAGTTCTGTTTAAGATTCATTATGTAATTATTACTAGCACGTCTTATAACTATTGTGAATAGTCTACCAACAACTATTTGTAAACATTACCAAATTAAAAACTCAGAAATACAATAATACAAATACAACATACAAATTCAAGATTTTCCCAAAACGTTTGACGAGAAAAAAGGAGAAAAGACATAATTCAACAAGCAACTGTTCTGTTACAGCGCGCGAGATGGTGGGTATTCAATTCTTAGATTACTTTAGCATCTTCATTATAAGGAATCCTCCCTCGTTCAGGCAGTTCACGTGGTTTCAACACTTACAGTGGAACCTCGATATAACGGTTGAACTCGTTATAATGAGTGATATTCTTCGCCCAAGTATTGTCATAGTAAAATACCGTATAAGGAAAAGAACTTCGATATAACGAAACCTCGAAATAGCGAACATATTTTCCCAGTCCCTTGACCCTTCGTTAAATCGAGGTTCCACTGAACTATGTTTTTGAGGTCTATAATACATTCAATCAGCGCAAAGCTCAAGAGCTTCCTTTCCCACGTTATTGATAACGATATATCTGTATAAGCCTTAAACTCTTTCAAAGAAACTAAACTAGATATCACTACCGCTTATCTATGACCTGAATTCGTTAGCTTCACGCATCACACCGCGAAAAACAAACTATGAAATGAACGAAGAAGAAGACAAGAAATTTATGTCCTCCAGTGCAGTTTGGGTTGTTTTATACTTGTGGCGAAGAAGGTAGAAAATTTTACAAAATGGCAAGCTGTGTTTCATTACTTGAAGCAGCAGTGTCTGGGCCAATATTGACATTATGTTAAATATCACATCATTGGCGGACATTGAATCTTAAACTCACTAGCAAGCTTTTCAACAGTTTCTACATTGCTCCATTCCACCTTACGCCCTTGTTTAATCTGAAGACCAACTCGGTTATAATGACGTTCCAGCACCTCCAAACATGTATTGGTATAGCTACCTGTACACGGTGTTTCGTCCACAGATTTAACGAACTGAAGATCGTGGTTGAAAAGAACAAAATTATCGCTAAGTGATACTGAACGATTGGAACATATATCCAAATTATTTCCTGCCGCTTTGTGTGACAAGCAGTAGCTTACAATAACGTTTGAATAAAGAAAAGGGGCGTATGGTACGTGAAAAGTTGTTTGAGGTTCCGACAGAATAGTTTCTACATGTTCTGGTCTAACGCGGGTATGATCGGTTGGAAACTTCTTATTATATTCCGCCAGGTCATCACAGATCTCGAAATTCCAGTCGTAGCGGTCTCTCTCAAAGTACCAAGCATAACTCAGCACAACACAGACTGGAGAGTGCGGGACATTGATTAGCTTCTTAAAAACTTCATCAAAGTTAATCGTGTTAAATTTTCTCAGTATATACTCTCTGCAGTGAGTGAAGGTGTCCCGATATATGTATACAGGAAAGAAGGACATAAAATTAGCAACCATTGGAAACCCAAGGGCCAGTTTCAATGTGTGTGCCCAAGACCGTATCCATGCCCTACCCAACTGACAACCCGTTCCTAACGTTCTTAACTTTGTGCCATTAAAAATGGAAGATTTCGTTACTGGAGTTATGAAGGCAGCGTCATTATCCATCCACGCAATAATGCTGTCATTTGAATACAAGTCGATAAAATAACTGCTCCAAAGCTGCCTGTTGTAACCGGGTTTTCTGTGCATCCCAGGAAAATCCAATGTACTTTTGTCTTTTGGAAGGGCCTCATAAAATACTTCAAGCTTGCGATCAGGAAAGTATCTTTTGGTCTGATCCATTATTTTCTCGCCAAATTCATGATCCGCTTTCGTTTCTTCGTCAAGTACCATGACTATTTTTCCGTACGAAGGAGGCCAGTAAAGAACAGTAGTCCTGAACAGATCACAGTAATATCGTTGCCTGTGAAGTGACGATTCGCCAGACATCCTAACAAATAGACTTAATGATGTATCTACGGCTTTTTTAGCGGCCGCTTTGGTTGGGCTACTGTTGATCCGTGAGATCTGGGGTGGCAGTGATCGTAAAGTTCCCTCTTTCGGAACAACATGAGTTACGAAAATCCCTATGGCTAAGAGCGTTGAAGCGAAACAGGTGATAAGAACGACTCTACGTTTAAATTTCCCTCCCAAAATCATCGTTTGTTCTCACAGACGTCTTCTTCTGGACACCTGTTCAAGTGAAAAGATCGACAAACTGTAATTAAAACAACAAATTCTGCTCTAGCTGTAGCTCCCACGGATTCGAAATTTAACTTAGCCTCTTGTAGAATAGACTACGAGTAGTCCCCCATTTTTCCTCAGGGATAGTAGAGCAAGCGAAACGCGAGCGCGCGTAAAAATCGCCCCACGCGAGAAAAGGCGACACGCGGCGGGGAGAGTCATTTTTCTCTCTCCCCGCCGCGTGTCGCCTTTTCTCGCGTGGGGTGATTTTTACGCGCACTCGCATTTCGCACGGAAAAATGGGGGACTACTCGTAGTCTTCTCGTAGTCTACTTGTAGAACCATTTGCACTTGAATAAAAAGCATCAGAGCCCATCAAGTGTAGTTAAAATGAGATGAAAGTTGTCAAAAAACTCTAGCACTGAGTAGCACCGGCAGTTTACTTCTAAACCAAAAGAATCATTCCCAAATATCAGAACTGTGAATTGGGGTCGTTTCGCCCGAAGGCGCTAGGACCTAAGTC